ATTTGAGATGGTGGATATCTTACACACCAACTCGCGAGCAATACTCATTCAAGAGATTGAGCGATATCTGACCGCCTGATGCCCACCCAACGCCTTGAACCATTCTCCAGCACCGAAGGATTCCAACTTGATCTGCCAACAGGCTCCCACTCGCGGACCGTTCTTCCCGTCAAGGAGGATTAGACCAGCGAGGGGATGCGAGCCTGGTATTGTTACCTCGGCGTTTTCGAGGGGCTAGCACAACATTCTCAGACACGGCTAGGGGGTCATCTGATGGATGATAATGGTCGGTGGCAGACGAGAGAATACGTCAAATGGCAAAAAAAACCACCTTTGCTCACCGAACAGACCGGGGGTCAGCCAACGGCACAATCCTCCTCGATGAAACGTCTTGCCTGAAGCGGGAGGACTAGCATGGCGTCGTCCTTCGACGAGTCGAGAACGTAGGGTGGTGACAGGGGTGTCGATCGACGACCCAGACCCCGCAACCTGTCTTTTGCCAACAGGCTGGAGTGCTCGGAGATATGAGGTGGCTTCAGAAAACCGATTCTGTCGTGACTGACAGAGGAAGCCACCGTTACGCCTTTCTGCCGGTGTCAGTCCTTGGTTACACTTTGGACCCAGGGGTTGCCGTGCCCGTGCGCCACCGGTGTTTTGGATCGTCACCTCTGCACGGACTTTGAAACGAAACACGACAAACTGGAGCAACGCTGGATTCGCGCAATCCTTGAAGGGCCTGACACATTCATATCAATACGAGAGATTTCAGGTAGATGGATTGAAGGTCCCAGGGCAGTGGTAGAGGGGTTTGTCGCCCCCCTTGACTCAGGACGGCGTGCATCGTTTGAATCAGTCCGCGTCGAGCCAAGTCAGCAGGAGGGAGGCACAGCTGCAACCCACACTGCAGAAGTCTGCCCCGAGTTTCCATAGCGTTGGAGATGCTGGTGGTGGTGGAAGTGCCCCTGCTGTCCAGCTGAGCCTCACGACTCAAAATCTTGGTTCAAGAACTGCAGGCGTGATAGATAGTCAGATCAGGGGCCTTCATTGTGGGCCGGTGCTAACAGCGAGTGCTTCAAGATCTGCATTGCGACCATTTCATCACGCAAAGGCAGTGGGATGTAGTCACTAGAGGGCTTCTGTGGTGCAGTCACACAAGCCAAGATCACGAAGGCATGTAGGAGATAGGCAATGACTGAGGAGGACACACATGACGGGCGAGAACAGGTCCACACTTCGTTGCTCTGTTGGCAGTCTGGGCGGGTGCGAGTTGCCCTGGTCAAGTCAAATCCAGCCAAGTCTGGCTCAATTGGCTGGCGATTATCTTCGGTAAGATCCCGGGCTCGGGCATGTTGACATGTAAGTAATCAATATATCGACTTGGACATATGTCGGCAATAAAGTGGAACGAAATGCCAGTTCACTGCGGTACCATAGTACTAGCCCTGCACATACGCAGACACGGAGCTGCCCCGGCCGAGTGAGTGGGTGTGGAGACCGTTTCTCCGGTGGAGGATTGCTTCGCTTCGCTTCGCTTCGCTTCGACCAGCCACCACGGCGGGGAACCCTGTGCTTGACCGCAAGAGAAATCAGAGGGTTACAGGATGGTGATGCTCATTGTCAAGATGATGGCAATGGCAGGCGTGGGGGATGATCTCGAGAGTGAGAATGAAAGCTCAGGCACGTTTCTGATCTCAAACAGGGGGGAAAAGCAAAATGGGTGGGCAAGTCGGTGTTGAAGCTTAACTTTGATCTGAGGCCATTCCCGAAAATGATCCACAATGTAACCTTGGACAAGCTGTCCACCGTCCTCGGTACAGAATAGTGTGCCCCCCGCGCGCGCGGCCCCTGAGTCTGCCCTCCCAGCCACGGACTCCCACGCCGTGGAGTACCATGGCGCAGGGCCAGGCATTATGCAGCATGTTAAGATGTGTATTGTAGATGTAAACTTTCTTTCCGATGGAGATGCGAAACAGACAGACAGGAGTTCAGACGAAGTCAGTGCTGGACTGGCAGGACAAGGGCCAGGTTGCCCTGGCTGGGTGCGCACGTCTACTCTACTCTACTCCGTACTCCGAGCCGGGAACAGTACCATGCCAGATTGGAAAGGCTCCCAATCTACTGCTGTGCACTTGCTCTCGCTTGGGAACCCCAGCTCATCAAGGATGTGAAGGTGCCCCAGTCTGAGTGACTTTTGGATGACAACTCCGAGGGAGCAAGCACGCAAAGGAGGGGAACAGGTGGGCCTGCACCGCGGAAGCACGACGGTGAACACCGTGCACCGTAGTACTTCCCAAAATTAGAGATCAGATGGACGTGAGGAGGCGAGGAGGCGAGGAGGCGAGAGCGTGATGAGCAGAAAAGAGCAGAGAGGCGGCTTGCCAGCCACATTCGGCAAAAGGGAATAGTAAAGGTAGCAGTGCGTCCTGTTGTGCACCCGTTCTAAAATTGTCCCCCAGCCAGGCAGGCAAGCAGGCAGGCGGGTTGGCCCAACACTTGTCGACTTTCCCCATCCAGCAAAGCCAACAAGCAACATTGGAAGGTGCGGCCCCGAGGCACCCCACTTCTTCAGCCGCTTCAGCGAATGAGAGAGACCAGATTAGCCGCGCAGCTGCTTCTTTCCAAGGTCCTTCCAAGATTCCAGGTTGGCAGTGGCCGCCAGTGCGACTGCACCTGCACCTGCTCCTGCACTTTGCCGTCGGTCGGCTGGTCTTGCAGAGCTTGGAAGCTTGACTGCATCCCGCCTGCAGTGCTCCATCTCCCAATCTCGACGAATCTTGCAATCTTGAATGTCCATTGGCAATCATAGTCCGCCGGTGCAACTGCAACGATGCCAGTCTTGCACTCAGCCACTTGACCATCTGATCATCCCCTTTGTGGTCCCTGCAGGGAACCTTCTGCAAGTCAGCGATAGCCGACAGCCAGTCTTTCCTTGCCTCTCGTCCCTCTTGCTGGCCTCCCACCCTTCTGTATCCTGCAGTTCGTCTCTGGGAGCTTCTGCCCAGATGCGAACCGGATGCTTTCCTGTGTCTTGTCGATCGCGCTTCCGGTGGACACGTGCAACGTGCACAAAGTTATGCTATCCGTCGGCAGTATGCCATGAATCCTCCCTTCCAAGAGACATGGAGACACGGAGACATGGATTCGAGATCATTCATCGGGCCCCAATTGTGTCTGAAACTGAAGCACTGAGTCGAATCTAATCGGTTCACGGCGTGCAAATGGGTTGCACAGCCGGAAAATGAGACACGCATCCAACAGCGTTCCCCTATTTCCCCCAAGCGTTATCATCCCAACTGTGGGCATGAATGAGTGCACTGCACTGACAAGCTGCACAAGATCAAGGTTTCTCGGTTGTTTCTGGTGCATCAGACAAACCATGAAGAGATCACTCCGGCAAGGGTCCTCCTTTGGCCAGCTAGCGTCGCCCGCCAGCCTGGACCGCGCTTGTTCCGCGACGGCTCCGAGGACCCCACAACGGCGGTCGAAGGAAAGACGGCTGGGTCAGCGTTGACATAGTCGTCGGTGGATGGCTCTACCCTATTTGGCTGTCCAACGGCTCACTGAAAGGTCTAAATTTGACGGAGCCCGGCTGAGTGAGCACTTCGCTTTCGGCAGGCCAGTCTTCCGAAGGCAAGGCGACGCTGCGTGCAGTCAATATTTCTAAAGTTGGCATCGGCAGCGGCAACGACCACGAGGCGTACCGCATGCCGCGTACCGCAAGCTGTTGGTACCACAACCAGGCCTGATATCAGGCCTTGGTCCACCCGCCAGGCCTCTTCGAGAAGTACTGGTCGCCAATATTGCGACTGTCGGGCGGAGGCATCGCCTACTGCAGCGAATAAGCGGCCACCTGGCCCCCCTCCCCAACCCGCGCAGAATAGCCGATACAACAACAGGAGTCATCCTTGATGCCGCCTGCATGACCTTCATACCCTAGTCATGAACCGGGCGCAGCCTTCTTTTCGTCGTCGGGCCTGGGGTATGGCCGGTATCGACATGGAAAAGCTGGGCCTTTCCGTCTGACAACCGCCGCTTGGTGGTGCACGGCGCGGTTGTTTTGCTACACTGCCGACCTAGGTGTAAGTGCAGCCACGCTCAAGTTTGGTTGGAACGCTCGTCCGCGTCCTCATGCCGTCTTTTTCGCTCCTCATCCTTCCAAGAGCTAAAGTCCCTTTTTAAATTGACTCGGGCCTCCGAGCGGCGAGCATCCATACAATGTACCCCTGTTCCACTTCTGCACGTCTGCTCCCTCTGCGTGGTGGATGTAACCTTCCTGCATGCCGAAGGGTATCAACCTTGTTGCCCATGTTCATCTCGAACCTGGAGGCCAGGGGCCAATTTTTCCTGTTCGTCTCCAGTACAGTACAGGTACTTTCTTCCCAGTTGACATGGGTCTAGTGACTGTGGTTTTGTTCCCTGCGAGCGCCACAGCCCATTTTGGGAGAGGTTGGGTGCCGGGTCCCGATCTTGGTGCCGGAGCACACCTACTAGAGAAATCTTCCTCCTCCTCGCCCACCTAGTCACCCCCAGACTACAAAATGCATACGGAGCCCTGCCTCGTGTGTCAGAATTCAACCTTGCTCGCATTGTCACAACGGGCGTACCTCCTTGATCAGGGTCCGTGAGCATCTTCGCTCCTATCTTACTAGGTACCTTGTCTTTGCAACACATCGATTGCCTTTGGTTAGGCTATCACTTCCTCCACAGACGGGCGAAGCTTGTTGATATAAACCTCTTCCCATCCCCTTCTCGCTCCTCATTTGGAAATCATATCATCCCATCGTGTACAATCAGTCTCAGCAGCCCGAGAACTTGTCCCATCTTTCGGTACCACACTGGTCACTCAATTTCGTACCTCTCGGTATCATTTCTCCAAGCGCTCAGGAAGCCTGCCCAGCCTCACTGCCTCCCGTCTCTAAGCGCCGTCCTCTGGGATATAAACCGGACCCACCTTCACTTTGTCCAACTGTTTATCGCCCTTCGATTGCCAGTCGGTCATCATGCTGTTTTCAAAAACCGTGGTTATTGTTGCGTCGATCGCGACGGCAGCTGTCGCTGCCCCATACCAGAAGCGCTGCAAAAGGGACCCAGCAGTGGCTATCTCTCTTCCGAGCACAGGGTGTAAGTCACAAGCATGCCCCTGACCAACCATTCTCATGCCCTAACAAAAGAATAGCAACCGACCTACCTGCTCCTGATGCAAACCTCACGCTCAGATATGTCGCCGTCGGCCATGGCATCCAAAACTATACATGTGCTACCGCAAACGCAACAGCCGTGGCCACGGGCGCTCTGGCCGTTCTCTACGACGTAACGCCACTGTATCCTGGCACGCCCGACACCGGCTTAACCGCCGATGTCTTCAACAAGATTACCTCAACCGTGCTCTGGGAGTCAGCCATTCCTCTCAATCTTGTCAACCCAGCCGCCGGTGTGCCCACAAACAGCGCCAGCACCACCACTCCCTTGGCCGAGACGGCCTACCAGGCTGATGCAAGCAACCCGTTCCCCAGCCCTATCCCCGACCTGGCACTTGACAGTCAGGGAATCAATGCCAAGTACTTGGGTGTACACTACTTTGACGCCAAGTCCAGTCCTACCTTTGACCTCGCCGGAGGTGCGACCCCAGCAGGCCTGTTCTTCAGCGGCGCTAAGCTCGGAGGCGTCAAAGCGCCCACGGACGCGGATAAGGGCGTGCTGAACACCGGTGCGGTAGACTGGCTGCAACTTGGGGATAACGGGCGCGGCCTGAGCAAGAGCCTGGCCGATGTGTACCGCGTGGTCACAGCAGGTGGTGTTGCGGAGGCGTGCTCGGTGAGTGGTGCAAGCAACGCGGGCGAGACGTTCAGCGTACCATATACCGCACAGTATTGGTTTTATGGTGCTTGAGACATCGCATCTAATGATTGATTTGGGCGCTGGGTGGATTTGACCGTTTTCTTTTCTGTATATATTCTGCGTTGTTTTTGATCGCATATACCCCCTTCGCGTCGATAGAGGATGGATCGACGAGCAAAGGTATCATTGAAAAGCCCACAAGGGCAAGTGAACAAGGTGTGTGGATGACTGAGATATTAGTCTCGATCAGAACCGCAAGGTTTTCCATCTGGCAGAGAGGAGGGTTAGAAGCCTTTATATGACGCTACCTACTACATATATATAATGAGATGTGCGCAATGATCAACAATCACTCCAGTTTCGAACCTGGCCGTCATTCGTCGTTATGAGTGAGTCTTGAAATCCGCAGTGTCCGGGGGAAAATTGACTGATCGTTTCACGATCTTCGGTGCCGCGTCCCCGGGACGGGCGGGCGGGGCTCTTTATTTCCCCTTCCCGCATCGCCCCCCGGGCCGTTTCGACGATCACACAGGCTAGTAATGGCAAGGAAAAGGACCTTATTGCTGCGGACTTGAGCTTCCCCACCTCCCAGGGTCAGACCATTGATTTCACTATAAATGAGCTCGAGATGTCTCGCTCGAGTTTCCTCTAGTCTTCTCTTGCTTCACATTTCAGCGTGGGTGACTGACATGCACTGGATCAAAAGTGACTCACTCATGCAAACAGCGCCAGATATGGTATGTAATCCAAGAAATGATTTCGATGATACTATGCTATGAGAAAATGTGATCCAGGAGAGATGGAAAGACGTCGACCTGCCCGCTTCCTTGCTCAGCCTGCTTACCTGCCAAGCTACAACCACCGACCGTGTTTTACTCAGTGTATATCCCTCCGCACTTTTCACGGAGGCACCTCATGCCTCCTCGACCAGCGCCCGAGATAGAGACGACGGAATTGGGCGACCTGACGTCTGGCTGGTCTCCCAGCATCTGCATCACCGTTCCCAGCCTCTTCTGTACCCGCAGCCAGTATTCGTCCTGTTGCGCTGAGCTCAGGTCCTCGAATGCGCAGTCGTCTTGCCCCATCGCGTCGCTGTGCTCTCTGTACCCAGGACACTTGTCGACCTCAGCATCCTCCGATAACAAGTATCGGCGTGACCTGGTCCACAAGTCGGCTTGCTCCGAGTCCATGGAGCAGCGACTCTACCTCCTCCCATCAGCACCCATGGCAAGGTCAGCCTCGAGTCCGCCGGGATGTTGTCCCATATACTCCTCAGGCCGAGGGTCCTCGGTCCTCCACTGACCCGTGGCCCCACCGCTCGGCATGGGTACCTGGCTCGCACCGCCCTGCTGCCCGGCGTGCTGGGCTCCGCCAGAGCCTGGGACCGTCCGGACGGTCTGCCTGAAGCGGTAGACCTCCTCCAGGATCATCTTGCGCATCTCGCCCACGTCCTCAACTACCTCGAAGTCGAAGTCAAAAGTCGTGGGGCAGTCCGGCTCGTCGGATGCGTCGTGCCAGATCTGCAGATACGGGTGCTCGAGCGCCTGCTCGACACTGATACGCGAAGACGGGTCGAAGGCGAGCATACGGTCCAGCAGGTCAAGGGCATCTGGGTTGGCGTTGGGGAACAGCGAGGCAAAAGGCTTCTTGGGCATGAAGGGCAGGTTGCGAACGTATTCTTGAGCGCGGGGCGAGCCAATGCGGGACAGGGTCTCCTCGTTGGGCGTTCCGAGGATGTGAAGAATCTGGTTGAGCTGGTCGACGTAGTCCCTGCCCTTGAAGAATGGTCGGCCGCCGAGGAGTTCGGCGAGGATGCAGCCCACGGACCAGACATCGACTAAAGTGCAAGGCAATCAGCGACAAGGCATCACGGCAACAAGAACGTGGATCTGACGTACTAGCTTTGGTATAGCTCTGGAAGCTCAGCATGATCTCAGGGGCGCGGTACCACCTCGTGGCGACGTATTCCGTCATGTAACCAGCATTCTCCTCCGGGTCGACCGAGAATCCACGTGCCAGACCGAAATCGCAAATCTTGAGCTCGCAGTCTGCGTTGACCAACAGGTTTCCGGGCTTCAGATCACGATGGAGGACATTCGCTGAGTGGATATACTTCAGGCCACAAAGGATCTGGTAGATGAAGGACTGGAAGTGAGCGTCGGTCAAGGGCTGGCCTGAGCGGATGATTGCAGCAAGATCGCACTCCATCAACTCTGCGCATGGGTTAGCCTCGTCCTCAGCCTTTTGTCGAGCATGTACTCAAAGGAAACAATTGGTGCCGACATGCCTTCGTATAGATAAGTCTCGTTGAAGTTGTCTGGTCGAGGGATGTCCATATCGTACAAGCAAGTGATCTGTCCCATTGCGTCGTCAGTCCAGTTTCTCTTCGGCGCAATCTTTTGCATGCTCGTGGGCTATACAAGGTGGTGACACGAAGTCGGCAGCTTACATTGCGATGGCCTCGGAAGTGTTGAAGGAGCTTGATCTCACGCAGGGCGCGCTTGGCCAGGATCTTCTTGCTAAAGACATTGGTGACCTTTTTGATGGCGACACCCTCATTGCTTTGGTTGTTGACGGCGGCGCTGTTAGAAGACAAGGAGTAATTAGTCGACGTTTCGTGGATACACATGTGACCAACAATATGGGACACTAGCTACTTACCAAACGATACCATAGGCTCCCTGGCCCAGCTCCTTGGTAACGGTGTAGCGCTCGTCCACGATAAAGTCTTGGTTGAAGACCTTGAAGACCTTTCGACCTTGTAGATCCGCCATCTTGAATGCTGGTTGTGAAGCGACTTGGTGTAGGTGATATTCGTATTCGACGATTAGGTTCGCCGGACGCAAGAGGCGTGAATGAGCCCTCTGATACAGAGACGCGCGTCGAAGACAATATCCGGAAGTGGTGAAAGGATGTCCTAAACAAAGGGCGCCGGCGGGGGGCAGCTTCTATTTGATCGAGCGACGGCAAGGCTGCGTGCTATTTTAGGACTCTGGATATGAAGAGCCTCGTCAGAAAGCCGTTCATGCACAGGGAGAAGACGAGACGTCGCCTCCCAAGATACTGGCTGTGCGGCACAGCAGAGAGGAAGGGGGAGCTTACACCGGCAGCTTGGGCACTGAGGGGAAGGGCTTGTGTGATGACAGCTTCCAATGCTGGGTCAGGGAATTGATGGAGCTGCTGAGAAAGGTCCTCTTCTAATATAACATGAGCGCAGACTATGTCTTCCTTTCAGACTGGTCTCAGGGCCCTGTGTCTGGGGTGCGGTGCGGTGCAGGAGTGTCTGTCGGTCGATCAGATTCGCGCAGTTGCGGTGCCCAGTCCACAATTATTGTGGTGCGGGACTTGCGACGAAGGAGGGGAACCAGGACCAAGACTGCCAGGACTGCAAGAGACCCCAGCCTGTTTGGCTGAGCCCGCAGCACAGTGACCACACCCACCCACTCTCCTCCACTGTAAGCCGCGCCCCACCCTCGAGAGAACGTCGTTGACCGATGGCACTCTTGGACCTGGCACATGGGACCTGGACCTTGGACCTTGGACACTAGACCTTGGAACTCCTTTGGACCTTGCAGCCCTCATCCTTCGTTACCACGAGCGCGCACTAGGAATGCCAGGACCAGCCTAGGCTGACCCAAGTCTCTGGCCAGCCTCGACGTGATTTGCGGATTGTCTCGACTTTCTGCAGCGTGTAACCGCGCGACAACCCCCAGAATGCCATTTTTACTACCCGTCTCTTTCGCTTCCATTCCATGTGCACACCAGCCTAGCCTTGAAATGTATGTAATCTAAAAGGCAAATCTCCATCAGATCAGCGCCTGGAGTTGTATCCGCCAACCTTGGAAGACTGACGGGTGCTATAGCCCACTACAGACGTCACACAGAGGGTCTTCTTCAGCCTCATCCACGATATCCACAACTCTGACCGCAGCAGTCACAGGTGCCGATGTTGAGGGCATCTTCCCCATTCCCACTCGAAAAAATTTCATTTATTCCATGCAGACAGGAACCCTCTACGCACTGCACAGCCTCGTTCTCACTCATCCTGTTCAGGGGAAACGGGGCTCAGCGAAGAAGCCGGCAGGAATGAGCAAGGCAGACTTTCTTAAGGCTTATGCTGCATGCATACATACGGTGCGATATAGGAATGAGGCTAGACTGGACCAAACATGTATGCTAGCCTAATAATCATCAGACGGGCTCCTTCGTCTGATCTATGATCTCTCGAGCCGCCGTATCTGCATCTTTTGTCGGGCATGACCGCCTTGGCCTCCTGAGTGCCAGCTTGTTTCCCCAAGGCCGAGATGACGCCAATTGGGGGCTGTACGCAAGGTATTTGAGTGGTAGGGCTGATGTGGTCGGAGTACCCCATCCACTGTTACCTTGTCACCACTCGCATCACCCGATTGGTGAGAAACCCCCAGACACCAGTACTGCGTAGCTGGTGGTGAGAAATGACCTGGGCGTCTATGATCATTACGTGACAGTGCGAATCGAGCTGCTTGGAGTTGGCTCTAGAATTGATCTAGTATCTCTTCCGTGGTATCAAACATGGGATGGTCTATCGTTGAATTGAACCACAACCAGAACCAGCAACGCCATGGCTCCCAGTATGCGATTGCAGTCAGTGAAATCAAATATATATGTATCAGTCGTCTCTGCCGCCGGCCATCATTCCTCTGGTGTGATGTCGGGGAAGACTTCCTTGAGGAAGTTCTTTGTGAACCTTAGGCACTGGCTGTAAGTCGTCTCGAAGCCATCCAGAGGTCCGTACCACGGATCCTGGACGACTTCTGCTTTGCCAGTGCCCGAATATTCACCAAACAACATCACCTTCGCCTTGGCTTCCGGCTTGTTCTTATGCATGCGCTGGAGATCGGAAAGGTTGTTGCGGTCCATCGCGAAGATGTAGTCGAAGTTGTCCAGGTCTTTCACGTTGAACTGGTTTTATTTTAGCCAGTGCGACACATTGAAATTGCAGGGCCCCGTGCACCCCTTCTTACCTTGCGCGCTCTGTGGAAGTAATCTGTGATGCCGTGCTCTTCTAAAGTCCCCATAGTTCGGTCATCGGGCTCCTCCCCAACGTGATATGCACCCGTACCACAGCTATCGATCGTCTTAATGCGTCCTTGGTATGTAGGTTTGTTCGCAATAGACTGGAAGATTCCCTCCGCCATGGTCGACCTGCAGATGTTGCCGAGGCAGACGAAGAGGACTGAGATAGGTTGAGGTTCGGGCATGGTCGCGGTGGTGATCTGAGGCGTCGTGTAGCTTTGGATGAAGAAAGGGCGAGTGAAGAGTCGTTACATCGAGAGAGAACGCTGAGGACCAACGACGGCTGCGGTGATTTATTGTCGTTCGGAAAATGCGCGGGCGGGTGCTTCGGGGATTTCTAAAATTCAAGGTAAAGCGAAGCTGAGCGGTTGAGCTGTACTGACAGCAAAGTGCCCCGCGATGACGACCTCGGCAGCAACGACCAACCCTGGAACCGTGAGTGAAGCGGGGCAGGCAATTTGCCTACCTGCCAGTGCTATTGCAGCCCAGCTGCTTCCATCAACCCACATCGATGTTTGTTGCCATCAACTTCCAACATGCGCGTTCTCGACACCATCCTTTCATTACATAAACAACCACGGTGACCCCACGTCCTTTGCCTCCACCGCCGAAATGCGAGCACGAGCCAATGAAGGCGTTCCAGACCTACCCTAGGCCATCTAAGATTTCTAGTGATGGGGCACACTTCCTTTATCCTTAACAAGCTCTGAAGCTGGTGGGCGGCAGCTTGTTTTGAGCACGATTCCAGGATTAGTTCACGAAAATGAGCCGTTTGAATTTCGCTGGGACAGCGTAATATCTATGAGGATGCTCACAAGACAGCTGGGATCACTCTCAGCGTGAGTCGCTGCTATCCTCACGAGCCAGCACCTGACCAACCCAGCAGCTTGGTACGGCCTCAGGTTGCGAAATCAAACTCCAGCAATGCAGCAACAACCTCGCACCTCTGCAGACACAATCGAAGACGTGCCTGCTCTTGCTGTCCGAGGAGACACAAGGCGGTTTCCTGAGCCGGGGCCGTGAAAGACTGTGGTGGCCAGTCTGTACTTTTACCCCAGCTGAAGTGTTGTAAGATTGGGGTTTATTTATCGCGTGTGATTCACTTCCTCTGTTGCCTACATCTGGACATGTTTGTGTAGTACCACAACCGGGACCCCTAACTCCTTTTCCCCCCGCCCAGCATGACTAGAACCTACCCACTGATCGCTATTAGTCTGATAGTGCGAAGATCTTTTGTCGGATCGATATTTGACCAGACTGACAGAATAAGCTTTGTCAGTCAGCAGGACCGCTCGACGCTTCAGCAGAAGGAAGCGACTGCTTTGCTCGGAAACAGCCACCTGCAAGATGGCTTCTTGGTACGGAGCCCTCCGTTGCAGTTTCAGCACCCCAGGCTTCTCCGAGCTCAGCCCTGCAAGACAAGCCTGTCTCAGAAGTGCCGGTCAATTCTAAGGTGGGTCGGCGGGACGAACCCGCCATCCGTCGACGTTTTCTGCGACCCCATTCGCCGGACGCGATCGCCAATGGGGCCCTTTACCCCTGACCGGAGGTTACATTGGTTGGACGCCATTGGCACGTCGCATGGAATGGCAGATTGGCTGTTTCAACGTTAATTTTCTTCAACAACCTTCTTTTCAACGACCCTTCTAGTCAAGTTTCCAGCTCGAAGCGAGGCACAGGTCAGGGTTCTTCTCTTGCGAGCCAGCTTGAGCCAAGGAAGTCTTATGGCCGAGGACAAGACGCGCTTGCCAGTCAATCTTGGAACGGCCCGATGGCAGCATTGTTCCAAGTCCGACGCTATGAGCTTTCCCGGTGAGCTAATGGAGATGCGCGAACGTCTTCCGGTTCACGGGACTGGTAAAGCTGGGTAGCTATTACTAGGGAGTGAAAAACCATCATCATCGTTGGAGCAACGGCTCGATTGCTTTGACATCCAGTGCGATCCAGTCCGTGCTGGTACCGCAGCCAAGACCCGTCGTCCAATCTGCGCTCCCGTTGTCACGGACGTGCCTGTCGAGAACCAGGCGAACAGGCAATCCTGTTCAGACTCCCGAGAGGAGACATGGGTTTGGACAGGAGTATCCATTCACATCACCCACTTTATATTAGCTTTCGACTAGGTAGGTGAGCGAGGTCCAGACCACAAGGATAAATACTCCTAGGCTCCCTCGCTTCTGATCAAGCTTTTGTCTCCCATCTCGCTATTCACTGTCATTTTCAACAACACTCGCTCGACATCCAAGTCAACATTCCACCTATCCATAAACAGTCGTCGAGCTCTGGCATCAGCTCCGTTCATATTACCCCCACGCACCGTTCACTATTCAAAATGCAGTTCAAGGCGATTGTCCTCTCCGGTGTTCTCGGCCTGGTTGCCGCCCAGTCTTCTGATGTCGCCTCCCTGGTCGCCGAGCTGCCATCCTGCAGTCTGACCTGTCTCCTCGCGGGAGCCAGTGCTGCTGACTGCGAGTCCATGGACTACTCCTGCCAGTGCAACAAGCAAGATGTTATTGTCGCCAATGCTACCTCTTGCTTGACCAGCTCATGCAACACCAATGACATTGCCAGTACGTTTTCGCCCTTAAGCCATATACGTGGGCTCTCACAGCAGCTAACATGCCACTTAGCAACCCAAACCGTTTCTCAGCAAATCTGCGAGGCCGTCACAGGGGGAAACAGCACTTCCTCCTCTAGCACCGGTAGCAACGCCACAACTACTGGTTCCAGCACCTCTTCGTCCGCCTCTGCGTCCTCTACCGGCGCCGCTGGCTCCAGTGCTGGCTCTCGCCCTGAGCTTTACGGTCTCGGGCTGGCTGCCATCGCCGGAGTTGCTGGTCTCATGATGGTCATGTAAATAAACTTTAGAGCGCAGTTTGTGATAAAATCACCTTCTATTCAAAACTTTGATAAGTCCTTATTTGGAGGCAGGCGCACTTTGTAGAATGAGGTTGGCCTTAAGGCACAACGGAATTCAGGTGGTTTTCAAAGACAATATACCAAAGAACATGGACCCTACGGGACAGGAGTCCGAGAGAAGGTTGTCCACTTTTAGAGCTAAAGTTATATGAACCTTCTTTTTGAATATATTAACACAGCCTTCTATTCCTACCAGCGTAGTATCTTGTCTAATGTCCGATTACTACCCTTCCGACGTTTAGTGCGCATCTATGAGGTATCATCCTGAAGTCGTCTAAGCCACACCTTTGTAAGGCCCCAAGAGCTCTTCTTTATCCAGGATAGAACCGTCCCAATGCACCATCCTCTCCACCATCAAACAACCCATGTGTGCCATCCAGCGCCGCAAACTTCTCGGCAAACTTCATGCCCTCACGTCTCTGGCCCTCCACCCTCTTCCAATCCCAGTCAGCATCCGCGCTGAAATCGATATCACCTAATTCCTGAGTCTCGTCGCCGACCTCGTTCGCTCCGCTCCTCCATCCGCCAGGCCTTTCAGGCAACAGGCCGCTTTGCTCCATCATAATGCTCGGGTTGACGGTGAAGCGGCCGACCTTGAACACATACTTGCTGACCGCAGTCGCAATGACATACTTCTCAAAGTCCTGCGTCTCGCCCTCCGCCGCCGCAGCGGTGGCGGTCTGCCTCGGGCGCAGCGGCCCGAACCACGACTTGGGCCCGTTGTCCCACGCCGTCGGCTTCACCTTGCCCTTGACCACGAAGTGCGTCACGAGGTACAGCCACTTGCGGTCCCAGGACAGGACCCTCGTCCACGTCTCGTAGCCCTGGAACAGCGCGACCTCCTTCTTGAAGGAGCAGAACACCCCGCCCAGCCCGATGCCCATGCCGCCCTTCGCGACCGCCCCGTCCGGCGTCACGGCGGCCTTTGTCTTGGCGTTGGCGGAGATGGCCTTGAGGCCGTCGGCGAGGAGGTACGTGACCAATTGGGACCGCGAGATATCGAGGTCCATGAAATACGTGCTGTTGGACTTGTGGAGGTTGTAGTCGGTCTCGAGAATGGAATTGTACGTGGACGTGATGGCGTAGTGGAAGAGCATCTGCGGCTTCACTACGGCGGGACGCAGGAAGGGTATGTAGTTCCTGATGATCGCCGCCCAGACTCGGTACTACGCGCACGGGCATGATCAGCGGGCGTCTTCTGGACGATGAGAGAGAGTTGGGGGGCTTACGGTCCATGCGAAGGGCATGCTCTTCCAGTTCGTGATGACGAATATCGTGAGCAGGATGCGACTTGTGCGCCCGGGGCCGGTGACGAAGTTCGTCAGTGCCGCTTTCAGGTCGATGTGCAGCAGAGACAAGCCCGCGGCGCCCGCGGCGCCTACGCCAATGGGCAGGAGAAAGCCCAAGGAATTCGCTGATGCCATCTTGACAGTGTCTTTCGCCCTGACGTAGAGATACGCGTATTTATGTCTTTAATCGTTATTCCTTAGGAGGCGGCAAGGGTTCAGATCTGTTGAGAAGCTGGCTGATGCGCCGTCGCGCAAAGCCGAAGAGCAGCACGACAATCACGACTACCCAGAGCGGCACGGAGCGGAGCACACAGGTAATGGTCGTGCCGCACTTTGCGATCAGGGAGGAGGAGGACGGAGGGTAGGGCATGGAGCGACTTTTAAAGAGTGCAAAGTCGAGGCGGCCCCGGTCCCGCCGGTGACGGAATCGTTGAGCTTGATGCTTCTGCAAATTGGTGAGACTGACTAGCGGATTGCCATGCAAATCCACAAGCTTAGGTCCCGCCGCCGATTTTCGCCCGTGGGCCGAGCCGAGGCTCGACATTCTTGATTACAATTCACCTCCGGGCCACCGCCATGCAAAATGTCTACTATAGTACAATTTACATAACAGCATTGCGCTGGTAAATTAGTTGTAGATAATCCGTACAGCATTTATCTCCCATTCAGCTTTTCGCATCCTTGGTCACTTCTACCTAAACTGTGGACTGTGCCACGAGCTCCTACACTTTTCGAAGGCCGTTGAGATGTAATCAGGGGATTTACCATTTATCAAGAATACTGAATTATGCCGTCACTTTGTAATACGGTGAACACAATGAGGTAACCATAATGGATGTGTTCCCAGATCCACTGCTATCGCCAAGCCGATCTTGCGCCCGCCCGTGGCCCCTCTCCCGAACGGCGTAGAAATTTACAGTGACCGAACAAAAATACCGGCCTCGTTTCCTCATACTAAATGACAATCTTGTGCATCTTTAATGGCGATCGCGATGTAGGTTTTGGGCGGGTCAGCCGATGTGTAGAGGTTTGGAACTCGATCACTTTAGGTAGCAAAATACATTGTAGTCGTACACCCCTCTTCATTCCAACGCTTATTCACAATGATTTGATTAAAGCTTTCTTTCTAGAGCCATGTACCGCAAGTTTATGCGGCGACTGATATTTAAATTAGTGTAAATTTATTGCACTGTGACGTCTTGTCCAAGTGTTGCATCCTAACGCTGCAAGCTCCCGGCCGCAACTAACTGCATACCCAGTTTTAGATGATAGGAATCATATTGCGACTTTATGGAACCTGATCTCGGCGTAGCTAGGAAGAGAGACTTTACGAGCCCAACAAGATTGAACCTCGGTACCAACACGGGCTGTCTCTGGATGCTGGATGAAACTGAGACCTCAAGCAACATGCATATCAGGATCATCCAAAACAGTGACGCTCAGACAAACTGTATCCTCGAATCCTTTGTTCATCAAATTGACCGTGCCTCAGTCTGGTTGCACTGCATATGTGTCGTCTCCAGCCTTGCTGTGCCGCCCCCTTGCAGCAACATGGAACTAGCGGCCACTCCCAGACCCAGGTCTCCGGTCTCTGGCAAGGCCTGAGCAGGGCCGTGATACGCATTGACAGCAAGCTCTATTTGACGGACTCAGGTCCGCTGGCCTCTTGGGATCGATGCGAGGCCATGGTAAACGGGAACACTTGCAACGGGATCGTTGATGGTCTGACCGAAACGAGCATGGTAATGAGTCTTGAATATAGACGATGGCGCGCATGTTGGTCGAAGATCACCATCCCACATAGAAGCTGGATAATGCCATTGTGAAAGGTGATGAAGTATAAGTAGGACTGTTCGTGCTTCAACTTGTATGAATCAATTTCCAGCTGTTAACCATTTACTTCATTTCTTCGCTTGTTCTGTTCTCGAGCTGTGCTCCTCCCTGAACAAAAAATCATTATTTGATTTGATACCACCTCGTTGATCGAGTTGCCAGTTATCTCCCTGTATCAACTCATTCCACTGAAATTTTCAACATGCGTGCTTTCGCTCTTCTCATTGCCTGCCTTGTTGCTATTGCTGCGGCCGTGCCTGAGAACATGATGGAGGACCGCCTCATGCGTCGAGAATGTGTACGTGTATCTGACTGAATTATACACAAGATTTTGCGACTCGAATGGTGATGACTCGATGGTTTTACTAACGCAGGCGTCCCAAATCAGGTCTGCGACGAAAATCACTGCGATGGTCCAGCATGCTGTGCAAACGGGACTTGTTGAATCAACTTTGGGGGATGCCAAGACCTCAAAATTCATCTGGGGCTTGGGGCTTTCGGATGCGTGCGGCAAATATCATTACTGAGCAGAGACTGGTTGAAGCTCAGAAAGCGGAGGATTTGCAGGAATGTACTAAGCAAATACGCATGCTTAATTGAATCGGTTTCGTCCTTTCTCTATTTCCTTGAGGTGTTGAACGGTGCTGGAACGTTCAAAAGTTTTTAGAGGTAAGTTTTGGATCTTGCACAAGTTTACATCCTTAAGCTTGACGTGATAAACTGTGAACAAAATCTTCTTTTGTCACGTTCTGAATTTTTTTTCCTCTTGTCTGAAAGTTTGATTTTTCTTTCCTGTCCTGGTACCCTTTGCTTTTATCACAATTCAAAGTGAACACCACCCAGACCCTAACCCTTTCCCAGTCACACACTTAAGTACGCTCATTCGCGCAGTGAGCCTTGAAATTTTGAATCATCGCAATCCAAATTGCACTCCTCACCTCACCTTACCCCCCCAGCCTGCAGTCACGAATTTTCTCTATTCATCATTTTCAGAAGATGGACAGAGATAATGATGGCTTCAGCGCGCAAGATCTGGCACATGACATTGCGACGCGAAGTGATGAGCTTCTGCAACAGATGGGACAGCTGCGGAAGAAATATCACGCCGTCAGAGGCCCGCACCTTAACATCCCTGGCCTGACCATTTTGATGGATGGCGTCCGACAAGAAAGAAAGGCTGCACAATCGTACTTGGACCAGCAGATGAATGGCCACGAAGCCTCGACCGACGGCTTAGTGGAAGCTCGACCTGCAGAGTCCCGTCTCCGCTTTACCAACGTGCCTGCTATCGAGCGCAATTGGGACATTTTAAAGCGCTGTCAGGATTTGGTCTCCATCGAGCAATCAATACCAAAAACTCCAAAAGTGGAGGTCAAGGAGAATGGCGGGCTCATAGTCCACCGCATCCGAAACGGTCAGGCTAGTCACGGTACGGGCATGGTCTTTGTCCACGCTGTGATTGACGGGGGAGCTGAATGGCTTCGCATTGTTAATAAGGATGAGAAAAGAGTACTCCTTGAGCTTGCTGCTGGCGGTTGGGACTGGGACTCCGAAGAAGAGGATGCAGACCACGAGGACGACTCCGAACTATTTGAGGATATCCCCATTCTTCGTACTGCAAAAGAACTTGCAGATACTGCACGCAAATATTGGCACGACTACCATCGCCCGAGGATTCGAATCTTGCTGAACCGGATCGAAGAAGGCCAGAGTAAGGAAATGGACCGAGTCATTCAGAAAATGCGCAGTGTTAGCGGTGATGATATTACCGTTACCGTCGACTGCGCAGACGCACCGTGGATCTCGCCTCAAACCTCACCAGATCTGGATACGGCGCTCTCCAAGCTTGTGCCCATTGAGGACATGGACCGTTTTGGGTCGACGGTGATACTAGACACAAGCGTCCTGATTGCTCTGATATCGGACATTTCCCACAATACTGTGGATGTACAGCCGTGGCATAACCAAGACTGCAAGGCTCAGATTCAGGATGAAGCAAATGGCATCAATTTTCTAACTGCACAAGCTTATCCACCTCTTCGAGGAAAGCGGCTGGTATGCACAAGGGAAGCAATGGAGCATTTCCGTGAAATAACGTCCACTATCGCAAGCCCCACGGAATTGGAAAGAGCGCGTGTACTCTGTTCAGGAGGACCAAGAGACTTTCAGGAATTGTCTATTCATCCTGTGCCAGACGATTTCATGTTGCCGGTGCAAGTCCTCTCGGAGGAGACTGATCTACGCGCTAAAGATCTTGTGCAAGCAGGCAAGCTTCCGGAGATAGCAATCAAGGCCGAAAAACATCTCTTGAGTGTCCCCGGAAACCGAACAACGCATCTCCTCGGATGGTGCTCTGGCATGACGGTTGTAACAAGCAACAGGTCGCTTGCGAAGAGACTAGTGCGGATAATCGAAAACAGCCTTGAAAGGGACTACGAAGACGGACCTATGATATTTACTCTACCCTACAATCGGGCTTTGGCAACCAAAGGCCCCAAAAAGGTTCGATAGATTGTCCTTGCCTTTTCCGATAGAACACGTGCAAGCTATTCAATTCCGAAAAGCTTTGCCCATACCAGCTTTTCTCACTTTTTCATCATCCTAGTTTAGCACACGTCTTCTTTGATGGGTTTGTCTCCCTCTCCCAGGGAATCCATCAAATCCAGCCATCGCAATAGCGTATTTCTCGCCTAGCGTGCGTTCATGTACAAAACGAGCCATGTTCCGCACTGCCAACTCTACCATAACGAACGGGCTTTTGGTGCCACTGGCCCCTGGGTGTCCTCTTCGCTCATGAACTTCAAACTGAATGTCTTCACCGTGACCCTGCCCAGCATCCCAGCCACTTCGCCGGGGTTCTCATCTTCGAGAAAAGCGTGATGTCGGCGTCTTTGAATGTTTCTGGCTCCTTGAAGGCTTCAACCGCAATCCTTGCGATATCCTCATGGTCGATGATCGGAAGCCGAGTCTCTGGAAGAAGGGCTGTTCGCCAAGTCCCTGTGGCCGTGTAATCTGCGGCTTTGGCGCCGATGAAGTTGGCCATGAAGAAGCCCGGGCGCAGGATGACTTCCGACGACCTCAGATAGTCATGAAACTTTACACACAGCCCTCCGTCGAGGCCATGATGGATGGCAAGACGTGCATTTCATGTTTCGTCGAGGAAGAAGATCTAATTTTGAAAGCCATTGTACACGTTGCTTCGAAAGTATTATGACCACTTCCATGGTCACCGTGTCATCCGCAGCTTGTGTCGACCGGTAATTTCGTGACGACTTTAGTGGGTATGTGGCTCGAGGTCCATGAGTGGAGAAAGATCGTTTGTTATGCCGATTTTATAGGTGATATCCTTTATTTCGGACTATCGAGGCGGGACACCCACAGAATCGTGATACTACTGTATTTAATCAGAGTGCAATGCAGATACACCGGACCAGCATGAAGTAACATTGAGCGAAAAGGCTTGAAGAAATAACGTGTAAATTATCTAAATACCATTAAGCATAGCTGACATGTCGTATTATCTTGTGATATAAATGGTTTGTGTATCCCGCCATAGGTATCGTGGTGTTCAGCACTTGAGTACCACAGGATATAGGTCGCAGAGCGCCAAGATGTTTCCTCAAGCGACACCCCAGATCTCTGTAGGAGTCACGGTAAAGTTCAACGGTGGCGCCACGAACTGGTTGTACGACGAGACAGTGTAGGCCGTGTAGTTCCAGTACGTCCCCCTAAAGTTAGGCTCGTCAGTTTACCGTTCCTCATCTCGTGGTAGTGGAAACAAGGCAGCACTCACTCGGCAGTAGGGTCAGAAAACTCGTAGCTCACAGCCAAGTGAGCCCCCGTGCCGGTCGTGTTAACAGCCTGCAGGCGGGCGGCAACTTGGTGGAGGTTTGCTCCATCGTCGAGGATATCACACTCCTCGTAAGGGGCGCCCTCGCCAAACCCCGAGCAATAAGCGCTGAACGCGGGCACTGAGTCCGAAAAGGCCGGGGCGCTTATATTGAAGTCTGGAAAATGGAGTTAGCTATATTTATTGTGCGTGAGAGGTAGTTCAGAAACATACCATAATAACAGCCAGCCCGAGCACAACCAGCACTCCAACCAGTCACGGTCCAAGTGTAGTTAGTAGCAACAGCTTGCTTGGTCTTGATCAGCTTCACAGCGGGCTTGCTCCACAAGTGAGCAGCCTCGGCGGATGCGAAAAGGGAGGCGATGGCAACGAGCGAGAACTGCATTTTGGATATGGCTTGGATGATCGTGCGGACCTTGATGAGAAAAGGATTGACAAGCGTTTGGCTGGAGCTTTATAAGAATGGAAGTAGATGGACAGCTGCGAAAACGGACCTAAGACAATATGAAGTCATGCCAAAGACAAATATCTAGGCCCGAGGGTGATCGTCTTTTTGTTTTCTGTTTCGATTCAATGTCCCATTTGTTTCCCCTGGCGTTTACAAACAGGAACGGGTAGAATTCCGTCAGGGGTTCAAGCATGCCGGTAGCGAAAAGCGGGCTTCAGGGTTGCCAAGCACCACTAAAAGAGGCCTCTACCAATCTTTGGCCGGCATGGACGTCCCAAAATGATCCTACAGCAGATCGGCGCTCATCAAAGTGTCGGGCCACTGCCCCTTCAATATGGAGCCGCATTCCTGGGAGACCATAGCCTGCTTGGGAAGGGGACTGACCTGCACTTACAAGGAGGGAGCATTGTTGACAAGAAGGGAAGAGTCCCAACGGTGCAACCCTACCAGAGAAGTTTCAAATGCCTCGTATGGGGTATTTCAGGGGTGGCTCTACTGGACCCACTGGCCAGGTGCGTACAAGCTTCTCTCTCCAGGTTGCAGTACCACCAAGCTGCCGCTTGCTCGGGACGGAGGCGGGCGCGAATATGCACGGCGGGAGAGAGGTGCAGCCTCTGAATACGAGCTTTCCATGCGCATAGACTTGAGTATGAGTGCGAGTCTGGGGCTCACAGTCCGAGAACAGCGCTTCGTTGCTCAGGCGGACTCGAGACACAGGGTCGAGGACATGGAAATGCTCGAATTGGATGTGAATGTTGAGTTCCCTGTTCTGCACGATGGGATTTCCATGAATGGACGCATTGAACCCCTGAAATGCCCGAGATACACCCGTGGCAGTGCAACAATGCAGATCACAAGTCCTGATCAAAAGAAAGAGAGAGACAGAGGGAGGGAGAGAGGGATACTGTAGAATCAAGAGCCAAATCCAGGAGGGCTGAACGGCTGAAGACCAGGGGCCAGGGGGTTGTCCTCCAACGACTGGCCTTAACCTAGTCGACTGCTTGACTCCAAATCGCAGATAGCTGCCAGAGGCTGTTGACTCTCCAACTACACCTCGTAATAGCCGCACATGAACGAGCTTATCTCCTACCTTATCTCTGTGGCTTGCTGCTTGAGCTTTTAAAACTGCCGGTGATGTCACTCCTCAAGTATGCAGTACTGCCTAGATGGTGCTGATAAGCTGTGAGACAGTATCTGGCACGAAGTCAACGGTGTAGTGATAAGAGGGTTTGCTATTCGGTAGGTGATAATGCCCTTACAGCCCATCGAGTGATGTGCCCATGTACATATCTTGTCCATTCAAGTTCAAGACCAGTCCCTTACCAGTATCAAAATGAACGACCACCACCAAAACCGGCACGTACCAACTGAGACTTCAGCATTGCTCGGCATCCCCTCTTCAGCACGCTCTGAAATCGATGAAGAATCCCTACTGGCCAGCTCCATATCCAAGGACGAACAGGCCTTGCATGCTTCTTCGAAGACTATCGGGGAGCGCCTCCCATATAATGACTATACCACCATAGACTGGCTTCATGATCTCGTCAAGGACAGCGCGCGGCATCAACTGCTGCATCGATCAAGCCCCGCAAGGAACCGGCTGGTGTCGTGGTGGGATGCTGCCCAGGGCTGGGTTGCTGCGTTCATCATTGGCGTGCTGACCGCTGCCGTGGCGTTCCTAGTGGACGTCAGTGTAGCGAGTGTCGCAGACTGGAAGGAAGGGAGATGTGTCGGCAGTGGCGGCTGGTGGCTGGATCGCGAGCGGTGTGGTGACGCGTGGAGGCCGTGGTCGACTTCTTGGGGGACTGCATATGGAATTTATGTCTGCTTTGCTCTTGTATATGGCCTCATGGCCGGTGGCGTCACAATGCTCACCAAGACCGCCTTGCCAGTCGCAGGAACTGGTGAGGATGCCGGCGAGGCATGGAGAGGCTCATCCCCAAAGGACCACTTCACCGAAACCACAACCGGCAAATCGATGTACATGGCTGCTGGAAGCGGTATCCCAGAGATAAAGACGATCTTGTCAGGATTTGTTATTCCTCACTTCCTCGACTTCAAAGTGTTAGTCGTCAAGGCTGTGGGTGCCATTTTCGCAGTGGGTACAGGCATGAATCTGGGCAAAGAAGGACCATTTGTCCACATATCTACTTGTGTAGGATATCTGGTGGCAAGATGGTTTCCTAAGTATCGTACGAACGGCAGGAAGATGAGGGAGATGCTTAGTGTTGCCTGTTCAGCTGGACTGTCTGTAGCTTTCGGAGCACCGATTGGTGGTGTGCTTTTCAGCTATGAGGTATGTTTTCAGCAACCACGGGCATGTACATGCATCATCTTCTTCTTGACCAAGGCCGCTCACTTTTCCATTGCAGGAAATAAGCACGTACTTTCCCCGTCCCGTGCTGTGGAAAGCCTTCCTCTGCTCGCTCGTCGCAGCCGCCACCCTCAAGGAGCTCAACCCGACGGCCACAGGCAAGCTCGTCCTCTTTGAAACAAATTACGGCGTTAACTACGACGCCGTCCACTATCTTGTCTTCATCCTGCTAGGCATATGTGGCGGCATCTTCGGAGGGGTGTTTTGCCAAGCGAATTTTCGATGGTCCAAAGTTTTCCGGAAACATGCGCTCATCAAAGACCACCCACTGTTCGAGATATTCCTTGTCGTGCTGTTGACATCTGTTTTACAGTACCCAAATAGTTTGACCAGGTCGACAGGTGATGTAGTCATGGCTGAATTGCTAGTTGACTGCAACGAGCCGGAAGACGTGGAGACGTCACACGTTTGCGAAATGGAGGCGCTGCAAGACAAGTCTGTGTACTACTTGTGGTTGGCAACCGGTACGCTGGTCAAGTTACTACTCACGATCATTACCTTTGGTTGCAAAGTCCCCTCGGGAATCATCATTCCTGCCCTGGACGCTGGTGCTTTGTTTGGACGGATGGTCGGGCAAATCCCCTTCCTCTTTGATTCAATCTCTCCAGGTATCTTCGCAATGGTTGGCGCAGCAGCATTTCTAGCTGGTGTATCTCGGATGACAGTCAGTCTTGCAGTCATCATGTTCGAGCTGACAGGCGAGGTGAACTTTATCCCACCCTTCATGGTAGCTATTCTTACTAGCAAATGGGTTGCCGATGCTATAAGCGGAGAGAGTGTGTATGATCTGAGCCAGCACTTGCTGGGACACCCGTTCCTAGACGCTGAGCATGCGTTGGCAAAGGTGCGAGAAGCAGGAGGCGGGATGGTGGCGGACCTGATACCGCCTGAAAACACAATGGAGGAGATTACGGTGCATATAGGACCGGACGGCGTAGTGCGCAGACAACTTCTGCGTGAGAAGCTCGCGCAGTTGAAGTCAAGGGGGTTGATGGACGCTGGATTGTAAGTATAAGCCTTCTCCCACTACGGTTGCCCCCCCCCCCATCCCCGCCTTTGATTAGAATTTTCCAGAATGCATAAATTCGAGATCCGTAGCAATTAACTAACGAACGCATACTAGAGTGCTGGTTAATGAACAAGGTATTTGCCATGGCTATTTGCCAGAGGCGGAACTCGAATTTGCTCTAAAGCTGAAGGAGCACGTGGAGGAAGCCGATGAAGGCAGGCTCGGGTATGACGATGTGGCCGACCTCATCAGAGGGCCAATTTCTGACTTTATCAATCGCACCCCCTTGACTATCCCATCTACAGCACCGGTCGAGTACGCTGTAGAGATGTTCGGCAAGCTGGGACTGCGTTATCTAGTCATTGTCGAGGAGGATACCGCAAGAATGCTGGGCCTTGTGATCAAGAAACGGCTGGTGAAGTATTTGGACGGACTGAGGAGTGCCTAGATATCAGAAGCAATTTCGTTATAAGAGCCTGTGCACCTTCTTGTCCTCCTTGCCGAAGACCTTTTCACGATTTCTTTCCAGTGGCCGACCATAAACCATGATGGACTGGCTTTGTACACGTCTTGTGATGTTGCAATTCTTGAATATTGTTTGGTACGACCAAATCGTCTATTGTGTCTTCTGGTGCCGTTGTCGGCCTCGAACATGCAAACACAAACAGCTCGCCTGTACCTGGCTCCCTTCTAGTTGCTCCTCGCACCACCCTTGGCTGCTCTGAGTTCGTCCATCTTAGCCACTCGCTTCTTGAACTCGACATATTGGCATTTCTCGTAGCTGTGCCTCTCTTGCTGTACTTGCGAGTCAGCGCTTGCCCATCAAGCCTCGAGCGCGCGGGGACAGTTCCATCAAAGTCCGGTTTGGTTGCCAGAGGTCCATGTCCACCGCGAGCGGCCATTGCCGGGGCAGTCTGGGGTTGACCTACCTCGCACTTCCAGGGCAGATAGTATGTCTCGAAACGGCATCGGTTGAGTGGGATCAGGAGGTTCGCGCAGCTGTCTCGGTATGCCAGCGGGAGCTTCGCATCGCGCATCTCCTCGCGGGTTGCCTCTGGTCGCGGTTGGACGTCAGTACAGGTTCTCTGGGTCAAGCTTGGATGGGACGAGATGGTCTTACGGCGCGGCACTTCAATTGCTTCATCGTGTGCCATTTTGAGTGGTGCAATCGTGGGTGGACTTGAGCCTTCAATTGCCCCAATTTGGTCTGTCCTTGAAGTCGACCAGGCGGCTCACGATGACCTTGATGCAGCTTCCAATTGGCGTCGATTGGGAGGTCCGTGCACCAGTCTGATGGGACCCCCCCCCCTGATCTTGGGAAAGCACTTTAGAGCTCAGGGTTCGGGTGAGTGCGACAAGCCCCATTATGTAAGGACCCAGGTACAATAAACTTGTACCTCCCCGGCTCAGCGCCGTCATTGGGATGCTGCTGCAAGTATAAAGTTGAGCCCTGACCACCACAGCATCCGATGTTGATATCGTGAAATATCATTATCTTCATCCGTTGCCACTACCGACTTCACAATCGTTTCCTCCTGCTGCAGTACACGGATTCGATAGCCAGACCCGGTTGATCCCGCATACGGTCGGCTCGCGTTTGGCACGCAAGCTTCCACCCTTGCCCCACCGCACAAGCTCGTCTTGCTTTGCCAATCTATCCCGCCTTGACGAGCGAATTTTCATCTAAGGACCATTGGCCCAATGGCAAGGCGTCTGACTACGACTCGCGATGTTCTCACGAGCAATTTGAAATCAGGAGATTGCAGGTTCGATCCCTGCATGGTTCATTATTGCACTTGGGTATGACAATTGTGTTCTTTGGCTCTCGCATGGTGTTTGTTTTGCACTTCCGGACAGCAGAAGTGTGTTTACACTTCAGACCTGGATTTGGCTTCCACGGATAGATTGCTATTCCTTGGGGACGCCTCGGATCTCCGTTGTCCGCAACAAGGCCTCTGCTACGTGGTGTTAGAGATGTGTTTTAGTAACGTGAAGTCATGTCATGTGGATGGCACATTTCTGCAGTGATTCCTTGAACGGCACAAACGTACTCCACTTGCTTTGTTAGGCAACTGGTGTTAAACTGCGATTCGTTTTGACTCCCGTGTCGTTTATATACGGCCGAACTGCTTGTGGATTCCTTCACTCCCTGCGTTCTGCCTTTTCCAACATCTCATCCTCCCATCCGTTCTCCCTTAAGTATATCTCAAAAGCCTTGTCCTCGGCCAAAAGATCCGATTGCGTCATGTCTTCGATCAAGAACCTGGATATCAATACAGTCAGATACGGATTTGTTCAACCGGACAAGAGATTCACAAAACTGACCAGTACACGACCATTCCAATAGCACCGAAGATGGCAGCGAAGAAGAATGTCCACCTCTGACCAAGATTCTCCTTGATGGGAGTAAATACCTCTGTCCCCACAGCTGCTCCAGCCTTGCCTAGGGCTGCTGACATCGCGTAGCAAACACCTCGGATGGCAGTGGGGTATGACTCTGTGGACACAAGCCCAAGGGTTGCACCTGGTCCCATGTGCCCAAGGCTCTGCATCAACCCATACATAACAACAAAGGCGGGAATGACCTTGGAGATCTGGGCGAAAGAACACCCGACAATGAGTCCGACGAGCAGATACCCTCCAAAGCCCAAGATACCAGTCCATCGGCGGCCAAGCTTGTTGACGAGGAAGATGCCGGCGAAAACTCCTGGTAGTGTCATCAGGGACAGTATGAGCTGCCATATAGCAACTGTCTGAAGAGCCTTGCCTGGCACTAGTGAGTTGATGATCGTACTAGACATGATGCTGTTTGGGAAGTTGACAAAATCGTAGATGAAGAAGGCGCCTCCTGTGCCCAAAAGGCGAACCCAGTATCTCTTGAGGATGAGCCGAAGTGGGATCCTGACCGTCTTCGTCGACTTGAAGTTGGACCGTTGGAAAAGCTTGGAGTCTTGCATGCGGAGACGAAACATGAAAACAAAGAGTGGGAGAGTGACCGAGACTGAGTTAACCGCAATATACGTAGTAGCGAGGTTGTTGTTGGACGCGAGAAGTGTCATCAAGTACACAAAGACGCAGACGGGCCCTCCCCAGCAGGTGATGAACGTCGTCGCGCACACGAAGATGGGTCCGCGAGACTTTGGTTTGTAGTCTTCCATCCCTTCGCAAGCGGCCTTTTCGAATAAGTCAGTATCAAAGTGTTTGACCTCCCCCCCCCCTCCCTTATTTTTCTTTCTTATCGCGGATGAACTTACAGCAGCACCGGCAGGAAACTCGCCTCCAACACCGACCCCAGCCATGCCACGGACCACTGTCAAATACCATAACATATTTTCGACTCCTAGATGCTGAACCCGAAGCGCCAATGTCGCCATCAGGCTGCCAATGACGACGAGAGCCGAGGTAAAGACCATTCCGGCCTTGCGCGACCACCAGTCGGTGACGAATCCTAGCAGAAGAATTCCGAAGATCTGCCCAACGATCAGGGCGCTGGAAATTCTCGTTTTGTCATCGGACGTGTACTCCTTGCCGAGCATGTGTGCGAATATGAGATTCACAGTAGAGGCAACTTGCTGCTGATAGCCATCGGAGAAATTGGCTGCGGTCTGGGTGATGAAATCATCAGTGATTTGCCAGATGCTTAGCCTGCGGCACAGAATCCTCATGGGGACTCACGCAGCCTGCCACGGCAAAAATCGATGCCGTACGGCAATTGCTCTGATCAGCAGGAAAGCTCTCCTGGGACCGTAGCTGCCTTTGATTCAGCGCTCCAGAGACAGTACCTGAGGTCTGCTTCTTCTCGTTCATGTCCACCACAGGAGTATGCCCCAGTTGCTCAAATACGGCTATCTGTGGTGGGCACGACATTTTGGACTGTTTGCATCTCACATGCTCTTGGCAGCCATCCTTTCAATGGGTTCCATCGTTATATATCTCTCACAAGCTCTATGATCCACCAAAAATCTTGAACCGTTGTAGTGCAGATAGGTGGGCCGGTAGTGTGGGTCCTCATCCGTCTAGCACTGGCCCGCGGAAGACCTCGCTGCTGATAAGATGTGTTGTCTAATGAGAAATACTCACATGAGTGGGATTGATTACGTGCGATGAAGGGGAACCGACCCTGGATCGTGCATTCCAGCCTCCCTCCGCCGGTCTAGGCCTGCATAGTTGACACTCATTTATTCATTCGTTAGCTGTATCGCGGACAGGTCCGTATTACAAAATTCAATGGCTTAGTAATTTTCACACCACAGGATTCTACACGCATAGTCGTCTTATGGTAAAATAGCCAACACGCCGGCTGCAATGATCCTGCAGTCTCAATATTACGTATGCGCGGTTTTGGGACAAGTGTCTTGACATCTGAGGGCTAGTCTAACATTGTCGACGCAAGCTAAAACATCGTATTATCGGGTATGGGCCTCTGATATGGGTCTTTGAATGACCTCATCGTCTAAAATGTAAATAATTGACCCTGGTCGATGAGAAACAACTCAGATATTTTGGTGCCTGATTTAGAGAATTGCCGAATATGTAAGCTTGAGGATATTCAGTGTAAAAACGTTCGGGGGTCACATTGCATGCAGGGCCGTCCTGGAGCGAATAGCATCTTGCTATTCCATACGCCCTGCCCTGCCCTGCCCTCCTCCCCAGGTGTGGCTGAAAACAGATCCTACGCTAAGATTATAGCTGCGGTACGTATATATGCCTTCAGCTGATCAGCATAAGGCGGGATATAAGCAGCCAGGCTCCCATCTGAGGAGTTTCACTTACTTTCCAAGCTTCTTTTCTCCCTGCGAAGAAATGCGAAAGAAAGTGAGCATAATGGATTTAAGAGCTTCCATCCTTGAAATCCACCCAGTCGCTGGGGTTGACACTGCCCGTGAGATCAAGCGATGCGTTGGGAAGGATAGCCTCGCACAGGTTGAGAAATTTCTCAATGAGCCCAACAAGGATAGCGCAAGCTCGAATTCACGCCGCATATTCTCCTTTGAGACCGCCATCAGTTCAACAGCATTTCCAAAGCTTCGTTCGCTTCTCAACTCAAAACTTGGCGTGTCGGGCGACATATTCGAGAGGCACCAATGGAGTCAGACGACGTTTCGATTCAACGAAGTGATCAATTGCCCAAGACTACCCACTACCACTCGTCCAAGGAGCTTTTTCTCTTTGGAGTATTTTGAGTTGTGGCAGGTGGGAGTCACTGATCACAAGATCTTCGATCGCCACAACCCCAGCACTGTGGAATGTGTTTCCACAGGACGACAAATCCAGTGCTATAAGTGGATGAAGTCACCCGAGCGTGGATGGCTGCTAGTCGCACCGCGCAAGTGTTCCTTCTGGTCGAGAAAGAACGGTGACGGGTGGACAGGTGAGTGTTTTCTCTCCTCTAAAGACGCAAATAATGGACAAGGTTGAATTGACAGCATCGTAAAGCGGTGATTTTGTGCGATCCCGCTCCCAGAACAGTATGGCTGAACAAACGTCGGGTCGATCTAAGTATAAAGCCTTTTGAAGGCGGGTTCCATGGTTTCATCCCCGACGAGATCTTGGGCCTCAGGTCAGAAAAGCCATTGCACGAGTCATTTTTCGATGACTTGAGCTACTATAGCAGGAACCATATCGATGTCCTCGGACCATTAGGAGACCCCGTTTCTGCAGCAATCTTTCCGCGGAAGCTGGTAGCCAGTCACTACTGCCAACTCCTCGGATTCGTCAGCCACCAAACGGCCTCGATGCGTTCATCTGGGTGGGCCGCACAGCGCAGGACACAGCGTGAAATCGACGAGAGTAACCAGGTCGAGACTGCATGGAGCCAATTCAAATGTCCGGAGTATCTCGAGGCGCTCGGAGCTGTGTTGGACTCTCTTGGCATCCCTCAGGGCCATGAGCCCTACGATGCCTTTGATGCCGTATCCACGGCTGAAGCGGCGCCGACTGACGGAACGCCAGACATTGTATCGGGCGATGGAGATTGGCTCTCATCTACTCCGGACTTCCTTTACCTCCACCGCGAATTCCGCGCCCACCTGGCCGATTATGCACGCATGACCTCGTCGCTAGCGGCGCTGAATGGGATGATCGGTGGCCGCATAGCTATTCTCGAAGCTCGCACAGCAAAGTCTCTGACCCTAGTAGCAAGTAAGCAGCTTTCGGACACAATGTTAGCTCCTCTGGGAAGAAGCATCTGCCATAAGTGTGGTCTGATTCATTGCTTGAACCAAAGCCTTTTACTAGGCTGCAATTTTCGAGACAGGCATCGGGAATATGGTGGCCTACTTCGACCTATCTTTACGAACTTCTTCCTCAGTGCTTTGATGGCTAACCCTAAATGCTGCAGTGGTATTTGCACCGCCCGCATGCGTGGCTTCTATATTCAGTATACCGTCCGATATTTTCGGCACTCATGGCCCGAAGTTCTGGTGGTATTGGGCAGCTGCCATTCCCTTGACTATACTTGTGTTCCTTGTGACGTACCTGGTGCATGAGAGGGACGAATTTCTGAGGCTGTGGCAGGCTCAGAAGCTTGAGACTCAAAAGCCTACGTCTCATCCACAATTGACGGGTGATGGAAGCGAGAAAGTATGAACACTGTATATATAAGAAGGTGGATTTGATGACTAGGTCTGAAATTTTTGCATTTCGATGTTCTGTCGTAGCGAGCACACATTATATCAAGAAAGCACCTGAGTTGCTATCCACAACCGTGCCGGTCACGCTTGGGTCCTTCATCAGGAACAAATATGCTTCAGCCACGTCTGCAGGCTGTGCTACTCTTCCTGTTGGAAGTGTTCCAGCAATTCCTTCCAGATGCTTTTTCTTGGTCTCCTGGTCAAACGAGGAGTCCCAAAGCTCGGTCTCCACCACACCAGGGCTCACCAAGTTCACCCTGATCGGCTTCAAGTCCAGTGCCAGGTTCCTTGTCAGCCCATGCAGTCCTGTAGCGAATCCCGCGATCATGCTCCACTAAGGTCTCATGTCAGCAAACACTTGGTTGAAAATTGTCGAGAACTGTCTCGAGTTGGCGGGAGGCCTTTCATGAGTATATCACCTCCTCGAAACGCAACATATCGACGCTCTTGAGACAGACTTGAGGAAGGTGATGGTGGCGAGAAGTCAGACTACATACAGCAGGCCTTGGCTTCTGGCTTACAGAGCCAGTCGTAAGTGTGATAGAGGAGTGAGGGCCAGGACTCAGATGCTTGCTCCCAACCTTGGCTGCAAGCAGAGCTGCAATGAATCGGACTTGACCTGCAGCAATGATTTTCTCGTACGTGATCTCCTCGACAGGCGCAGAGGCAAGCTTGTCGCCAGCTGAGTAGACTATATGGTCAACCTCGCCAACCTTGGAGAAAAGGTTCTCAATATCCTGCTCCACCGTAGGTTGGGACAGGTCGCACGCGTAGCCGGCTACCTTGCTGTCTGGGAAGTCGACCTTGAGCTTCTCAACGGCTGCATCGACCCGGGACTGATTTGAGGATGACACGATAACTGAGGCCCCCGACGCGAGTGACGCCTCTGCTACACCGAAACCGATTCCCGACGTCCCGCCTATGACGAGGACGCGCTTGTTAAGCAGCTTCTGATATTTGGAAGCCATGGTCTTGACGTGTATGGTGCGGTGGATGCAAAATTTATTCTAGGTAGTCTGCGAAGTGCTTAAAATGCCAAGGATTTATTGAATATACTTGCTACCTTTATTGTCTTGTGGTGCGATATATAATGTCTGTCTAGAAGCGGCTTATAAATCGAACGGAGTTTGCTGGCGGTTAATGCCGATATATTCATTGCATCATTGACACTACTAGGTTGGTCGACTGGAGTCGTCGGCAGGCTGCTTTGTTGAAATTATCCATCGAGTCATGGGCACACGAGACGAGAACAGATACTGACTTGGCTCCGTAGTGATGGCCGCCCTCGTTTCGATGACTTCATCACATGAAGCATTGCGGAGAAGGGTTTGCCTTGGATCGTGGCCGAGTATGATGCACCGAGATATATGCCAAACACGTGAGGTATTCTAGGGTTGGTACCTGGACTTCTGATCAACCTCGCGGGTCACTACGTCCCGGTCAAACGATACCAAAACCCACCCATATCTGGGCTTTCATCACTTTTGTAACAAACCTCTGACTTAAAGAATCCCTTCCGGTCAACTTCAGGCTCCACCCAGAACATTTGAAGCATTTCCAGTTGTACGCTGTTACAAGCATTCATGCCGGATAACGACTTGGTCAGGGAGTTCCCAGTAGATATGTTCCTTTGAACATGTATCACACATGTAACCCCACAAAACCTTGAACAGCATTGAAATATTGCCTTATGGCGACAATAAGCTATACCCAGGGCACCAACGAAGACTAACAAAGCCCAGCCCAAGAAAGTATGTACAATCCAAACTGCACACTGGAAGTATTCTATTCAATTTCGAGGAATCCAAGTTCGTCTTGTAATGATATGTGAAACCGGCCTGGAACATTGACTAAAGTATTCCTGGTGGCCAATAAGTTGCAAAACGACCATTCTTAGACGCGATCACCGGGTTTCCGTGAGCGTCATCAACGTAGACATACTCTGGGCCGACTTTCTCCAGATCCCAAATCATGGGGACGATATTCGTTGACCCGTCCCAGTTCTCTGTAGCCGCAATGACCCATCGCCCGGAGGGCTTAATGTCGTACGCACCAGATGGAGCTACTCCCGAGGGCGCACCATCCACAACGTCTTGGGTAAATCCCTTCCACGCACCGGAGCCGTCGAGTGCCCACATGAGCACCGCGCCATCACATCCCCGGATGAGGGAGACGTCTCCCCAGATCCAACTTCGATTGTCGACAGCAAGCTCGAACCAAGTCCCAAGTGGTCTGGGAACGCCGCCGAGATTCCACTGCCCAGACTTGTCAGCAAAATGGACACGAGCATGAGCTGGACGCTAGCATACCTCGTCCGTACCACGGGTGATGCGTCCTTGAAAGTCGGCTGGCAGGGAAACGAAAACGGTGTGTTTTGCTGCGATCCAAAGATATTTCAAGGGAACGTAGTCGCAAAGGTTCTGGTAGATGTAGAATGCCCGCCAATCCCCATCTGCATTTGTGATTGTCACGCCGACCCCACCGCTGTCCTCGTCTCCCCATGTGAAAATTGGGGATGAAGCGCACGCCCATCGTTCCCTGACGGCGGCCGTCGGTAGCGGGCCTACTGTAGTAGCATTTATCATGTCGGCTCGGACGAGATTTCCTGTTGGATAACTCACGAATGCGGCTGTTGGGACGGACATGACTGATGCAATGTCGGGAAGATTATCGGTGGACATGACCGGCCGTGATGCACTCGGTAAAGCAGCCACGGTAGCCGTGAGAGTGACAATTGTGATTAAAGCGACACTGCACATGCTGACTTGTCGGATGGTGTCGAGATATTGAAACAGACTGAGTGGGAGAGTAAGTCATTGAGAGACCGAGCTGCTTTTGTTCGATACTCAAGGGAAAGGACGATCAAATCAGAACGTTTTGACTGCGAACAATGAGGAAAGGGCGTCTCAAGACTTGAGAAAAAAAGGAATACATCGAAGAAAGAGCCATGGGCATAATGAGGCCCCCGAGAGGAATTTCATTTCCAGATCACCAATTCGCTGGTTCGAACTTTGCGAATGAGAAGATACCCATCTTGCTTTTTCAAGTGGTGACAGATACAATCAGTCATTCGCAGGAGACTTGAAGGCTGGCTCATGCTCACGACTAGAATACGATCAGCTACTTCGTACTATTCGGATAATATGATTCTGTAGCGTTCTATTCATTCTCCGGCATAAGGGATGATGTAATCTTGTGGTCTACTATGCATCCTCTGCTCCTCCTTCTTCAGATGATTCCAAGACTAGATACTTTCAACCAACGTGAAATGATAATTATTAAACTCCAGCATATTAGTGCTTACAAGTCAGCCAGTAGGTCTGAAACAATACTCTTTGTGAAGTCCCAAATGGGTGAAGAAGCTTGGGTTACCCACGCTGCACCAGTCCAGTACGTCTTCCGCTGGCCTTGCAATGCGTACAATCTTGAATAAAACCCATCACGAACATCATCTGATTCAACGTACATTCGAACATGTGGATGGTCGTACAGCGCCAGGAACTCGGTTTCCGACTCGCCAATGACACCTCCAGAAGCCAGCCTCTCCAAAGTGGCTACCGTATCAGCCTTGACTGCCTCAGGTTCAATGCGCTCGTGCGCAGTGTAATATACCACTGAAGTGTTGTCTTGAAATCCCGTTGGGACGATGTTGAAGAGAGTTGGAAGAACAGGGATGTTGAACGGTGTCGTGAAGGCGACGTTTTGCAATGTGGCTTGAGGCAGGCCGGAGTGACGAATAACGCCGGCATAGTATTGCTGGCTTATGAACTTGCTGAACAGTTCTGTTTCCTCGTCGGCCATGTCCCAGCCTTCGAAATTTTCGGACACGGGTGGCGTTGTCACCAAAAGTTTCTTGGCTACGATGCGTTTGATGCCTGATTGTGTCTGTACAATGGCCTCTACTCCGGAATCAGATCGACAAAGGCTGGTAACACTCGAGTTGTAGAGAACACTGTTGCCAAGAATAGAGGCAGCAGATCGATAAAGGTCGTTAACATCCCGCGTGACCTTGAATCCCGACGTGATGCCTCTTACTGGGTCTAGGCTGAGCAGCTTAAGAGGAAACAGAGCGGGCTCTTTCCATGCTTCCGCCGGTTGGATATAGCTGTTGATTAGGTTTGCGATAGCACCGAGGCCATACTTTGACATGAAGTCGCCCCAGGGCATATAGAGATCCTCGGGTACCGGATTTGGCAAGTAATACCCTGGGTAAACGGTAGAGAAGTTTGCTGCAAGATACTCCGTATATCGCTGGATGGCAATACCAATTTCTGTGAGGCTCACGTTTCCTGGGGGAGCTGCCACGCCAAGCGAGAAGTCCGCATTGATAGTGCTCGATGTAGCATTTGTCGGCGCTGTGAAAAGAGGGACGCCGTGGCGGGCGAAATAGTCGGTAACGACAGGAATGTCGTAGAAGATTTGCACGCCGACATTGTAGACATCGCCGTTCGGCCCGTAATACGAATCCGCATGTCCACCAAGTTTACCGGTGCGTTCGACAACGATTGTGCTTTTGTTCGAATCGTGCAGCTGGATGGCTGCGTAAGTACCTGAAGAGCCGCCGCCGACCAGAAGGACATCTGTGGTCAAAGTCTCGATTTGAGACTTGCCAGCATATTCAGTCGCCGCCACCAAGGGGGTGAGCCATAACGCTGTCAAGCGCTGGAGTCGACGCATATTGTCAATGTTGGAGGAAGAAACTCGCGAAGCGAAATCAAGAAATGAGACTCAATGCAACAGTGCGTCTGAAAAGTCCTATCGCGAGGCTCAGCATACCTCCTTTTTAAACTTGTAGTGAGCGCAAGTTCCGGGGAACATGTTCTCTTGGAGAGTGCGAACACGGCTGCGTTCATCTCTTTTCGAGGTTAAAGTTTAAATATTGCAAGGCTTCTCAGAACCTTAAACGCCAAATTTCCTCACGGATCAGCCACAGCCAAAGCATCAAGACAAAATTTACGTTATTACACCAGCAACTCTTGCTGCTCGATGAATCAAATTTTGGTCAAGCCCGTCTCATTTTTCATTTTCACACTCGGATAGACTTTGAAAAGTCTCGCAACGGCGCCTCCCTTGCAGATTAATGTTGTCCTTTCTTCTCAATACCATGCTATACATCAGAAGACGCCGCCAAGGCACAGGCGCCAACAAGCTTTAGGGTGGGGTCAAGCGCGGAAATTAGACTGAGCTGCCCTGGTCTGTCGCGTCGTTCAGAGGTAATCTGAGTTCCACCGTATCCGGTCGAGTCTGGCAACACGGAGACCGTGACGAGTCCGACTATGAGTACTGAATATATATTGAGACGAGTGAGACTGAATACTGTGCTTGCATCTTGCCACTCACATTGCCTACAAATGCTAGGAAAACCAAGGATGCAAATCGTTGACTTATTTTCAGAAGAACATCAAATGTTAGTCACTACGTGACAGCACAGGTAGTCGCTTAAACCATGTGGCCACGTAACAACACAATCTCTGGAATGGCCAGCTAGCAGTCCATGACATTCCCAGCTTCGTGCATAACTCCCGCAAATTGGCACTGTCGATGGTCCTTATGGATATTTCGCAGTCGTGAAAGTGCTACGTGCTTGGATCGGAGCCGTCCGGAATGCGAAGAGTTGACTTGAATATGACGAAAATAGAATCAGCAACAAGATTCATGTATAATGATATGAAGATACTGTGGGCCCTTACCAACCCGGACGTGATGGAAGAATAGTGTGATCATATCCTTGAACATCTAACGCAACCAACCATCTTCCTGATTCGATTGAATACTTCAAAATTTCTGACGTCCTAGTACGGCGTCTTATGTGACTTTTCAATGAGCCCGAGATATTGGAAGTTCCCGCTACGCATACAATCACTTCCTCCCTTGTTGCAGCATCCTCTATCGTAGCCTACTCTATCAATGCAACATCTTCACCTGTGGCTTGTAGTCTCCTGGCGCAAAGAAATGTTCTCACCAAGGGCCCCTGCACAGCACCGTGACACACTTTCAGAATAACTTGCGAAAAGATCAATGCTGTTATCAGGGCCATATATTCAAGTCTGGAATCTATATGGAGACGGGCGATGTACCCAATGTTATTGCTCAGTATATCTATAGCACCCTAAATTGATCCATTCTAACTCCACATGGCTGCTCGCGAGCTGCGGGTAAACTTGCCGGGTTTATAGCACACAACTGCCTCGTTGTTAGTTGTATAGGATACGAGATTCGAATTCCGAAATTACCTGAGCGCCGAATGCCGCTCGGAAAAGCATATTCAGTGAATGCGGTGCTCACATATCACTTTCTCTTGCACGTGCTCAGATATCCGTTCTCGAGCGGCAAGACTATGAGCCCGAATTCCGTGCGTAAAGAAGTATCCTCCGGGCGACTCGAAATTTATTGAAATTAGGCTCTATCCAAGCTTCGTATTATCTTTCAGGAGGCGAGATTCCGGAACTTCCTTACTCGTTTCATGGAAACGGAGCAGTCCCAGCCGAGGACTCTACTGATGGGACGAGAATGTACGTAATTGGGTCCAAGTGAACTCCTATTTGCGAACCTGCACGACTTGTAGCGATAGGAGATAGAACTTTAGATCAGAAGAGATTGCAACGGTACGAATCATACCGACTAGTTGAGGAGAAGGGAGCCTGTAATCAGTGTTCGGCTCGCCTTCCGGAAAATGTCTGTATGTACAGTGTATTCAATGATCTTCTATAATGTACACAGTCTCCATCACCGCTTTCTCTTACGATGAAAATTGAAACATCGTCTAAGGATTCGGTCAACCGCGCATTGCTTCTGACATGCTACGGAACTGATTGCTGAAGGACATGGCTAGGTCTGGCCATGTTTCTAAAAGCTTACCACACATATTAAGGGGGATAAGAGCAAGAGGATGTAGCTATCATGATTTGTCAGCTCGAATAGAAGATGGCGAGGCGTATTTTAGGTTGGCTTCGCCAATTACTAACCTTTGAGCAGTTGACCTGCAGTAATTGATCACTCAAAATCACCAAATTCTGTGCCGCAATTGTGGCCTCCTGATAATACTCTAATGCAGGATGATTCTCATCCGCCAGTGCCGCCGCAAATTTCATAGTTTCATACATGTATAAAATGATCGTACGCCACATAATGCTTTGGAATAGCAGTGCCGGCTCTATTTCTTCGGCTTGCGCGGAATACCGTGCGGCCGAAAGGTCTGCTCTTTTGGTAAGTCTAGCGTTAATCTGCCGATAGCGACTCCAGAAATCATCCGTTCCGCTACATTGAGCTTGCTCCATTAGCAGCTGCCGGCGGTGGGACAATGCATGACCACAGATGGTGGCCAAAATTATACTCTCGGTGAAGTCCGAGGACTGAGTGTCGTTTGCATAGTCGGGGCTGTCGAGACTGTCGGAAAGATACCCCGTGATTGTGGGCATACTGTTTTGAAAATTGGCCTCGGGGACTGGCAACGGGATTAAGGTCTAATGCTAGTTAGTCTCGGACTTGGTCATCGGTCGAAAGTACGATTAGCTTGAGCTCACCTCCTCGCCAAAAGTGCAAGGCGAATCATTCCTCAAACTGATGATGCGGTCGAGATAAAATGCAAGCCAAAACGTTCTTCTCTTTTCCTCCAACTCGGTCCAGTCCATGGAAGCAGGCGAGTGATTTATCCCTAATACAATATCCTGGAACCATCCAAGTTGGATCAAGCGGAAAGCGCATCCGGCACGGATCCAGCCCTGACGGAAGTCTATATGTTTGAACTCGTACAAAGACAGTAATAGCTGAGCCTGTACCTGCTCATGATCACTGGATTGCTTCAGACCTGCGGGATCATCGGTGTTGTCTATCACCTGCAGAGCTTGAACGGCGCAGCGGTAGAATCGGTCCACACTGAGCTGATTACAGTCTGTTCCTGCAGAAGCTGCCAAGGTCCACATGGAATATTGTAGGGCCGTTTGGGCTGCAGTCTTGTCTTGCCTTCTACTCCAAGATAAATATCGACGTTGGTGAATGATCGGAGCAAAGTGGTGGACTCTTTCCCAATACATTTGATCTCTAGTGCCAGCATTGTCAGTTGTGACTTGTTCCATTGGTAGCTGAGATGAATAAGACGGGACGAAACATACAAATCAACCTGAATCGGAACCGACGACTGTCCCTCGCCATCCGAGCAAGAAGGTGAACGAGCCGGGGAGACAGTTGACATTTTCCTGGACACGCACGGGCTACCCAGTGGCGTGCCTGAAAACGCGTCGGACCAAGACGATGAATGCACCGTGGAAACCGTCGACATTTTTCTACTCATACTTGGGCTGACCGGTGTTATATATCCCAGACCAGCGTTATTCATCGTATCTGGCATGTATGGTCCACCGGTGGACAAGGTATAATTGAGTGAAGGCACTGGTGAACTGTCTAGCATGCCTCGGGGGGACAACTGGGTTCCAGCGAGAGTGCTTTCCCAAGAAAGGCCCGATGTCGCTAAAGAAGGTGTAGTTGCTGACTGGACTTGGATCGAGTCTTCGGAATATGGTGGTATCTCAAGTTTCAGAGGCTGGGGTTCACCAAACTGGAATGTGGTAAGAGGGTTCTGGGACATGTTAAGGGCCATATCGTCGACACAATCATTAGAGCCGCCGTACTTTTGTTGCTGGTTAGCCTGAGTGATGGTTCCTTCCAGAGCCGCTGTTCGTTATCGTGCAATTAGTAACGTGGAGTCGTGACGTCGGGAACACCATTTTGTTCGCCAGTGATCCTATCACAAGTGAAAGAAGAATGCTCACCAATCCGCGCTTGGAGATCCTTGATATATCCAGGTTTCGGACCCCGAAGAGCACGAGATAATGCGACTTGGCACTGCATACCAGAAGCCTGGCAGACACCGCATTGCGGCCGGCGGCGATCGCATCGCAATTTCCTCCGTCGACACTCTTCACAAGCCGCACCGTACTTTTGTCGCGGCCGTGGCGGTGAGTTATCTCGGGTGGCAAGGCCCGAGGGCACAGTCTGACTCATGGCCTGATTCATAACTTGAGACGCTTGGTGAAGTAAATGTGGCGGAGGAGTCAACCCCATAGAAGCGAGCACAGTGAGTCGATCAACGACTGGGATAAATTAAAATGTCGAGATTCTCTTGTATTGTGGATGGGAGCAGCGCCTTGCTTTTGGGTTGACTCGGAATAATGAGCAGTCGTTCGAGCGGCTAAGGAAGGGCGTGGCGATCATATTGTAACTGAAATAATCTGTTCATTTTGAATACTGAGAAAGGAAATAGGCCTGAGACCTGGAAGGGAGTTTTGATCCTCAAACGTCCTGTTTCGATGTCCGACAATCCAGATGGCAAGCCTGGGAGCCTGGCGATGCAGTGTCGGCATTGCAAGCGGGCTTAATGAGAAGCTATCGGGGGTCGAAAAGCGTTGGTCTGCCGTCGCTTTGGTCCCGCGTATCGTGAGGCTTTTTGGGACTTTGTCTACTGGTCCCGCTGTCGCGAGCGCAAACACCTGCCGGATCCAGTGGCCGTTGCGTTTCGTCCCGTATGATGATTCGCGGCCGTTGCAATGGTAGCCCAGATCGAGATCGCTTGCCCAGGAACCCCAGTGCGTTTATCTCACTCTCATTTGGAGATCCTTGTTGCGTGACAGCGGTAAAAGTCCGGACCGTGAGACCGAATGACTTATAAACAATCACAGTCATCAAAGCTGCTCAGACGGTCGGCTGTGAACTTATCCCCCGGCCTGATCCGATCTGATCTTTCTCAACTTCGGACAATAGATAGTGCAACAACAATACGAATGGAAACACACTACCAAGAGTTAATTTGTGCTACTTGCGTATCTCATCCAACGGGTACTTGTCACCATTTATGAACGGAGAATAAATAAGCTCGCATATGGGAGGGATTTGGATATGCCAGGAAATCGGGATTCGTGAGGGTTTTTTCTCCGAGACTCAAGTGTAGGCTCATGGCAGGCGCACACGAGCCCAAGCACTGATTCATGCCACCAACCAACCGCACGGGCTATTGGCTGTAAGATAGACAATGGTTATGAACGCCTTAATGTCACCTCGTAGGCCCGTCGCTTTGACGGCAATAGGAAGCACTCTGAAACTGGCTTATGAGCGCCACAAATTAGGCTAGAAGCTGTTCGCAGTCATAGATCGCCTACCAAGCCACAGACTTTACATCCTCATATACCAGAAGAAGAAAAAGTCCAGGCCGAGTAATATTGATAATTTCGTATCTTCCAAGGCAAGACCTTTCCACTTTGATCCCAGCCACGCTGTCCAAGCTATAAATAGAAGTTCAAGCGGAAAGCCAAAGCCATCGCACGACTATACTGAGCTGCTTTGCTAGTTATGATAATTAGCACATTGCAAGGTAGGAGATGCATTGTGTTTCAACTGTAAGATTACATTTTGCAACCCCTCAGATCACACTATCAGAATCACCTTACTTTCGCTGCTAGCAATAACAATTATTAGGCTTGCACCTAGGTGACTCTTGCCGTCCCAAGTCTCGGCCCGATCATTCTATAACAACACCGAAGTCTCGAGTGACGGTAACTTGCATAGTTCCCAGGCTCCTTTCCCGCAACTGTAATCTGCTGGCTTCCAAGGTTCATGAGCCTGGCATAGCGCCTATGTGTGGTGATCAATGTAGCTCTGCTAGGGCAACGCGCGGGACGTGGTGGGACCATATTTCACAGCATACTTATTTAGACTCTGTCTTTGCTGTTTCAGCTTTCCAACATGTTATTTTAGTTTTCTTCAACACGCCGTCAGTGCGATCTATTGCTACTACATTCTACAGGCTCAATTCTCACGATGATTCCACGACCATTCGATTCTTTCATCTGGAAGAGCTGTAGAGGTACCAACTAAGCCATTCTGCCCGTGCAATTGGAATGGTGACACCGAGGGCGCTTGACAAGACAAGCGAGAATTACACGATGGATACCATTTGTAAGATTTTCGACGTATCCTATTGTTCGCTGGACTCTCGGGTCAGGTTGTCCATAGTTGTATAGGCCAGCACTGAGATGTGATGCTGCTGCTTGACACACCGATTCCAAGGTTCTCTGGGTATCGGTCTACCCTTGAGCGAAACGTCTCACAGAAAGCATTTCCAATCGTTCTTTTTGAAACTTTCACTATAAGTCTTATGTGTCGCCCTTTTGGGGCAGAAGACCAGCTTTGTGTGATTGTCCTTCCCACCTTGTGAGATGTTTACGTGAAATCAAAGGCTATTTTCAGTCGAAACACAGGCTACTGTCTTCGTTTTCGCATTCAGTCTGACTTAGATGACGTGACAGGTGGTCCGTCTGACATGTATGATAATAGACATCCAATTTCAAAGTGTACCTCGCTAAATTGCTGCTGAATGGAAGACATTCCCCTAGCCACTCAACGCTGACTCTTTCAGTTGTGTTTTGTTACAAAGGAAGAATAACGCTTACACTGAATGCCTGTCATGATCCTCAAAGACCAGAAGTGTAGACCAGTCGTACCCGATTGTGAAAATGCAGCTTAAAGACCAATCTAAATCCGGATTTTATAATCTTTCCCATTGCCACTGAACAACATTTGGACGACTTGGGGGAAATGAAGACGAGGTCATCGCTTTTTACCCGGTGCAAGACACTTCTCCAGCATGAAAATGCTGTGTCTCGCCTTCGATCTGTTGAAATGCCTGGAAACATCGGAGTATCATGACACTGATTACGTACAAAACATGTTTGAGCCGAATCACAAAGAAGCACCTAGCCCAAATGGCCCAAGCTTTAGACAGCTTGTGTTGAATACAGGATAACAAATTGTAATTGATTCTGTGTGGGATGAACCTCTTCTCTGCGCCAACATGCTCAATTTCATTTTGTCTTTGAGCACTGCTGATGTCTTATGGGGCATAAAATTGCAGCAAATAGATAATATCAATCCATTCTTGAGTATGTGACCTGTGGAAGCTGAGTCCTTTGCCAGATCCAACGACTAGGTCCGTGTTCGTTGGCCGTTGAGGCCCAGGGCCCCTTGTTCACCGCTGCAGGGCAAATACTAACTCCATGCTCGGACAGTTCAGCCGAAAGGAGTGTCTGATACACCAAGGAGTTTTTGCGGCCAATGCCAAGCTCCGTTTCCTAAAAGCTCACTTCGTTCAATTCATCCTTTCTTTTGCGGTCTTGTCTTTTTGATCCAATCCCTTCCCATTGGGATGAATGAAATAGATCTACTCGAGGGTGGGTAGTATCACAGCTCCAGGCTGTCGAAACTTGGGACACTGTAGCTAAAGCACATGTGCAGCATTGCAGTTCCATCGAGCTGGATGTTACCTGCGCCTTCACCTTGACAGAATGACGTGTTACTGGAGTGTGCGTTTTGTTCTGCTCAATTGTTCCGCGGAAATTCCGTGGCCAGTCTGTTCACGTGCCTTTTATCGCAAAGTTGGCCCTAAACATCATATGTCGTTGCGAGAGCGCACTCCTAGCCATGTGGGCCTCGGTGCCAGCCTCTCTATGGAGACTTGATGGATTGTGGTGTGTGTTGTCTTACGCCTATACGTAGCACTGGATCCTGATCTAGTAACCATAATGCGTCGGCATATTGATTTTTTACTCCAAAGTCTCGGCGTCACACGGATGCAACATCGACAACGGGTGGCACAGTCGATCTCCACGAGTTAACCCCCCATCAGATCACAGAGAGTCAGCCCCGCCTTTCCGTATTTGGATGTCCAGAGCCTCAACTCTAAACCCGAAGATCATTGTGCATCAATACCTAGATACTACATGCCTCCATCCCTGAAATGTGAATTGGATTTCAGAGCTTCAACCATTCACATGTTCTGGCTGGCATTTGAGGCTACGGTCTAGCTTCCGAATGAGAAGGCATGGGGCATCCCAGACGAATACGTGGTGCCCGGTGTCTGCAAGTTACGCCAGGCAGTGTTTTACAGCAGGAGGAAACATTGATACCGCAACAGGTTGCGATTATGAACAGAGCAGTGTTGGCTTGGAGTCGTGGCATTCCGTGGCTCGTTTTGTCTAGATTGGGCGAGAGGGGGTGCGTGATGCCTACTTGCAGCTGTAGTCTTGGTGGCCCGCTCACGAAGCTAATTGCCGCGGAAGTTCAGATGATCAGATGACAGATGTCGCTGCAGTATACCCGGTCCAAAGCATGCCGTTGAACATCCAAAGTAGGGACGAGAAGGCTCCAGGATATGCTTGCCTCTCTATAAACGATTCAGTAGGACAACCTGGTCATTCACAAGCATGAACGTGGGAATTTTCTGGGTGGACCATAGCCTTGTTAAATGGTCCTAAATATTGAAGAGCGAGACGGTCTTTCATATCCAGACTGACTCCTGTTCACATTGTGCGTCGTTTACATCTGTCGTTCTTCAGTAAATCGATTAGCAGTATGGCATTGCCTTCCATCATAGACGATACATATCCGCAATACAAGCCGCAGCATGAGTCTCAGTACACCGAGATACTCACCGGGGAATATGGCCCAGATCGCCCAGGCACGCCTCGTCCACCTCTCAGTATCTGGCCGAGCGGGCGTCATAGCAGGCAGTCATACATTCCGCCACCCTACAGTGCCAGGATTAGTACCAGACAGTCAGGGCTGCGATCTCTACATTTACAGCAAGGCATGTTCCAACAACCCGTCAGTACTCCGATTCAAGAAGAAAGCCAAGGTACATGCCTCTCTCGTTGACCCACTCTGGAGTGAATAAGACTGAAGCCTTTCTCTAGGCATTGAAATCGACTGGCGGCCCTCCAGGGCGTTCACGTTTGCATTTGGATCGCTGATCGTCGTCAGCGTGTGTGTCTCTCTAGAAGCGGCGTGTCTCGCCTTGGCCCTTCCAACCATCGCCTCTGAGCTAAATGGCTCATCTATCGAAGCTTTCTGGACCGGGAGCAGTTTTCTGCTAGCATCTGCAGTCTCACAGCCAATATTTGCTTCCTTCAGCAACCTCTTTGGCAGGAAGTTGGTATGTACATCCGTCTATTGTGTTCAATGCCGCTTTTGCAACTTGTCATTTACCCGAAAAATGTGGTGCCACGAACTTCGGGACATTTTGTTTCAGTATTGCTACTAATAAATGCCAACACATTGCTGACCTATTCCACCAGATGATACAAGTATCTTGCGTCTTCTTCGGTGCTGGTTGCGTCATCTCCGGCCTGGCTCGAAACTTTACCGTCCTGCTAGCCGGGCGTACGATCATGGGGATTGGCGGTCAGTCCTCTTGGATCCTCTCCTTAGTAGAGAATGCGTTATTGACACCCCAAAACAGGAGGCGGTATAATAACGCTGGCTGAGACAACTGTTACGGATCTGGTACCTTTGAGGTACCGTGCAACGTACCTTGGGTATCTCGGTTCAGGTTCGTCAGACTTGCGATTGATAGCCTCCATCTCAACACCATAATAAGATGGATCGCCAGACTAATATGTCTCATTGGCCCAGGTTGGGCCGCTGGAATGGTCTCAGGGCCATTACTTGGCGCCGTTCTCGTCGAAAAGGCATCGTGGCGTTGGATCTTCTGGATAATGATCCCCTTTGTCGTGCTTGGCTTCATTGCCATTTCTTTTTATTTGAACCAAACTCCCGTACCCGGTTCTTTTATGTCTAAAATGCGACGATTCGATTGGATTGGCGCCACCTGTCTGACAGGATCACTGGTCTGCTTCCTCATCGGCCTCTCTTGGGGAGGCGTCCAGTATGCATGGAACGACTGGCGAACGTGGTTTCCCATGGTCCAAGGGGCCGAGGGAATAGTGTTCACAATGGTGTACGAGTTTATGCTCGCGAAAGAACCACTCATTACACCGACCATCTTCAACAACAGGAGCATGATCATTTGCTATCTCCTGAGCTGTGCACACGGTGCTGTGGTATGGTGTTTGCTGTATTTCTTGGTTATCTACTATGAGTCTGTTCAGTTTTATGGAACTATCACTACCGCTCTGGCGGCGATGCCAGAGAGTCTCACGATCGTTCGTAAGTGAAAGCGACTCATTACTACCCTTGAGCAGAGGAAGAACTATTACTAATCTATCGAGTCGACATGCAGCCTCGGGAATCATAGCAGGCCTGATAGCAACCAAGACTGGTGAATACCGCGCATTGATCCGACTAGGGTGGGCCGTGGCAATCTTCGGGTTTGTGCTATTAAGCCTACTCGACCAGAACACGACGATATTTGGCTGGATCCTCCTCAATTTGCCTATTGGTATATCTACTGGCATACTTTTCACAACCGTTCCAGTTGCGATCCAGGCTGCTGGTCGGCCAGAAGACGCCGGGCCTGCTGCATCCTTTTTCTCTTTCTGCCGTTCGCTTGGCCAGGCAATTGGTGTTTCCGTCGGTGGCACAATTTTGCAAAACCGTTTCAAAGGCGTAGCTAGCGGCCTTCAAACCATTGGGCCACTAGCGGAAGAGTTCAGCCACGAAATAGAAGGCCTTATCGCCTTCTTAAAGTCGTTGCCCACAACATCACTTATGAGGAGTGAGCTAGTACGGGCTTACTCAGACAGCTTACGAAGTCTTTGGTACTTCCTATCTGGCTTCAGCGTTGTCATACTCTTTCTCAGCTTCTTCATTAAGAGGTACACTCTAGACCAAGCTTGGAAGACCGACCAGGCTTTGATAGAGAAGAAAGAGAAGCAGTCACGTGTCTGATTTCGATGTACATATTGAATCATCTCAGAGCACATATCAACATCCAGTGCTTTCTAAATAAACAGTCAGGATCTGGTACGAGTTGCCACCCATGGCCCGTACGGTGAATACTTTCGACAGCCCAAAAAGTTTGCGCAAGGTTTGGGAAGATGCCCATCATGTACAACTTCCACAGTACATATGTTTTTGTATGCTGCACGTTGTGGAGATGTAAACAGAAACTTGGTGATTCCTTTTTCTGAGTCTACTTCCAAGCATCTTCGTGATTGCTCCACTACTTTGTTGGCAATAAGTCGTTCCAAAAGAAAATCCTCTAGAATCAGGCAGTGATGTAATCAGAATCCAGTTGATTACACTGGTACTTCGATCCCTAGGAATACTGTCTAGCATTTTGCACTGTTTAAAAGTGTTGTGACCAAGTCGTGACCCCTTCTTTTTCCCGAGGTTCTCTTTCTTTACGGATTTCAACCGTAGATGCGAGACTTGACATGGTCGCTTTGGATCAATATTTTTGGAGCTCTCAGACGTGACGAGTCTGTTTGAGCTCCTTTGCGAGACTACTATGCCGCTTGAAAATTAACTCATGTGCTTGAGCCGGTAGTCCCGATGTACACCTTGCCGCTGGGTGATTTCAACTGATAATACCGTGGGAATCACTCACAAAACTGTATGGATTTCATCTTGTTGCGGAACATCAGCTCAGAATACATACTCATTTCAATGATTATAACGCGGGTTCATTCAAACGCCCGTTGGTGGTTCAGGGTTTCCATTGGACTGAAATTCGGAGAAAAGCTAAGTAAACCCTCAGCCAATATCTTTCTTTGTTTTACCGGCCACGAGACCAGGAATACCATCACACGTATTGCAAGGCACGTGCTCAGTTGTCAGGGCATGCCTGCACCTACCTGCAGGTGTAAGGCACATCTTAGATCTTGTCACGCAGTCTTTAGTGCCGGGCGGGGACTACAGAAGGTCCGAATGAAATTGCGGAGTTGTCTCCAGGGGTAGTCATCACATGGGGTTTCCAGGGAAAAAATACGAACACTGCCGAGGTTGGTGCTGCTGCATGATCATGCATATGAGGTTGTTCGTCTGAAAGACGGGATGGGATACCTTGACAGAATTTATGGCTTGCTAACGCAACGATGTGGTGAACACATTTAAATAATTGATGCTGCTTCGCACGGTCCATGCCTTTACGATAGTTGAAAAATGGAGTGTCACGGGATAATCGGAAATTCCTAGCTTCGATATATAAATAGTGGCTCATTATGATTACCTAACATATATTGGATATTTCAATAATACCAGCTTGGTTATGGTCAGTAAATTGATGACAACGCTACCATTTCCGAGTACCTAGTAAGTGAAATATTTGTGTTTGAAACCAAGTAGTAGAGAAGCAGCTCGTTGCCATCATGTTGCTGAAAGTGGCCGTTCAGTCACCTCCGGGAAGCATAATATTGGGACCATCGCAAGTCGAATCAAAATTAGAGAGCGTGTGCCCAAAGTCAGTGTCAATTTTCGCTACGGGTTCTTTTCTTGACTTGACATGGTTGGTGGGTGTCCCTTCTGCTGCCAAGTCGACCACTTGCTTCCAAGACGAACTAGTACATCTGGAGAGTCGAGTCCACGCCGACTCACGGGCAGGCCTTGAGGCCGTCTTGAGAGCGTCTTTAGCAATAATAGCCAAAATAATAAAGAGCATGTCTAAAATAGAAAGGGAGTAAACGCACTCTCGCATCCAGTGTTGGTATACTTGCGGTCAACATAGCAACCCCAGCCAGGAATGTAGTCCCATTTATTGTTGATCAAGCATCTCACACCAAATCGACCGCTGGTGGGCGTGATTGTGGTGCGAACACCGTTGGTTCCGGGGCCATAGTAACAAGGCGCAGAAGAGACGGTAGGGTAAAGCGTGCACCAGTTGTCACGCTTAGATAGATTACCGGGCTCGCTGTCAGCGCTCGAATCTGGGCTGGCCACGGGCACGGGCTCAGGCTGGGCATCTGGGACCGGGTTGGCTGCTGCAAGAGCAACGAGAGGAATAAGGGTCATGAGGAACGTAGCCTTCATTGTTGAGGAGACACAGGTTTTGAGAGAATCGTAATTGATGGGTCAGGTAGTGGAGCTTAGAGCGAGGTATTTTGGGGTTCGAGGTGTTCCTGGAAATCTCTGGAGATCTCTGGAGATATTTCGAGACAGATGTTCATGCCGGATTAAATAGTTTTTCACAGACCAGCGCCCAGCCCATTCCTCGACGGTATTCGATTTTCGTATCAACATACAACTGTTTGGGAGCTACGAGACTATTACTCACAAAATTTAGCATGTTCCACATATCCACGCACTTCAGTGTTAGTTGGGTTTAGCAAAAGGCTGTCGTCGCTTTGCCAAGTACCAGTCTACTGCACACGATGCTGAGTTCAGGGGCTCTCGAGGAGTTCTGACCATTACTTCTTGGCCTTGGCGAGATAATTGTTCAGAGTTGTCATGGAGCGAAGTGACCCTGAGTCTATTTCAAGGCCCCGAAGTAAATTAGTTCCTGGGGCTGAACAAAAGAGGAGGCGCTAGTGGCTGACCAAGTCTGCAGCAGTTCGGACGTCAAATGGCTGAACATAACCTGGCCTGTGGGGAACTGAGACATCTCTATTACCTCCATTACACATACTATATCAATCTGTGAGGGGGACTGGTGATGAGGCAGCAGGTGCACCTAGAGTTGTTGCGAAAATGTCGGTCACCTAAGCACATGGGCCAGTCTTGAGCGACTCAGACTCGTGCCAACAATAGATTTTGGTTACGTAAATTGACTGCTCGTCTCGTTTGCTTGCCTTGTTGTTCGCCGTAAGCATTTCCGCAACTGAGTATTATCGGTCCATCAGCAGACACCTTTCCTTTTCTATGATAGTCAACTTCTTGAGAGGGTTTGTTCAGATAACTTAAGACCTGAACTCCCCCAAGCAAGCCTTGGGAGGCACCTTGGGTAGCCTCACGATATGACTTGTCGGCACTCTTATTTTCCAGCTCATCCCCTCGTGAGGAATAGGAGTCTACAGTCATTTTAAATTTCGTGCATGACCTCAAGACTGGTAGATCACATATACCTCAGTTTGTGTCCAATTACTTGACATGAAATCATTTTCTTCACATACCTGACTACTCCCTTAACTTTTGTGGCTTGCGGTAAGTAGGCTGACTGAGATTGCGGCGGATGTTGCTTTGCTTTGCGAACATGACCAACAAGGAGGATGCCGAAGAACTACCCGGCAAATTCACAGATAACATTCTATTTGAATCCAACCAGGACTTGAGTTAGCTCATGATGAATATTCGATCTGTCTGTAAACTCAACCTTTCCTATTATTGCCCTGGATAGTGTCGGCAGACTGGCCGCGGGGCTTGAAGACGCTGAGTTTGTGAGAATATTCAACCAGTCCGGTCTTTCAAATTTGAGACAAAGTGATACGTAGTCAGATTGGGATGGCTACGAGAATGTGCAGGTTGAAGGAAAAATCACGGGATAAAATGAAAGTGAATCAAGCATGACATACCCTGTAGGGCCCATTCCTGATGACTTCTGCTTAGCGAAAATTGTTCAGTCACTGTCACGAGAGGGACATAGAAGAGGTGATGCTCTCGAGTCTTTCTTATTGTTGTAAAAGTCTAAATAAAACCTTGTCTTGCTAAGAATAAAGAGTAGAAGGAAAGGTTGCCTCCGATTGCCATCAAGCTTCAAGAGCAGAGGGCCTTGGGGCTGTAGGTGGTCTGTGCGCAAAGACCTCCAGTCACAAGCCCGCCCGTCGCGCCATCATAGTTACCAGCTGTATTCACCTATTTATATCAGTGTACAATTATCCATGCCGCAGATAATCCAAATATTGAAGTGCGGGAGCTATCAGTCCCACCAGTTGCATCCACTGTAGCTAGCTCTGCTGGACTAAAATTGGTCCGTGGTAATCGGTTGAAGGAGATGTGGCTGGGATGAGCCCCAATTTTCCACCTCAAGGGATGCTGAATCGTTCAGTCAACAAAACTTTGAAATCACCCCTTTTAGAATCTGGATTCCAGGTACAGAATCCCTTCCACAAAGAAGCTTATGTCTTTCAATCAAGCGCGTTCTGCTGGCCGGCCGCAGCGCTCCAGTTTTCAGCCTCCCCTGTGGGCGGGAGGATTGATTTTGGCGACCTAGCCAATCAAATCCAGTCTGACACCTACCGCACGGGCGGGTTCCTTGCACAGCCTCCTGGCTCTCCCGCCTAGTGAGCATCCTGTTTACTACATGGATGCGTAAGCTGAATATAGGCTACTGATTTCTGAGTTATCCAACTGGTCCATTCGCCAAAATGTCAATAGCCACATGTAGAGTAGAATTCATATAATAATTGGAAGCATCCAGCAATGAGAATGTGAGTTCTGTTCTCACTACGCTTTTTCATTCAACATCAATTACTTTCACTGGTCATACACTGCTCTTCTCTTGCACTTTGGATATTTGAAAACTCTCGCAATGTTACCTACTCGAGCCTCGATTCTCGGTTCTGCACTTGGCTCGGCTTTTGCGTCCGCCCAATCATTCGTTCCGGTTCCACAGGATGTCGCCACTGTCAACTCGGTGAATTACCCAGGTTCATCCATATCATACAAAAAGGTACTGCATTCAATGTTTGGACATTAATCGAAGCTCTCAATTGTAAATATTTACTGACATGCCTAGACGGAATTATGTGAAACGACCCCAGGCGTGAACAGCTACTCTGGTTATGTGACTTTGCCTGTCGCAAACAATTCTTACAATGCAAGCATCTTCTTCTGGTATTTTGGTAAGTAGATCAACGACTAGACTGTTCTGATTAAACATCATGCTGACAATAACTCAGAGGCCAGAAACAATGCGCAAAATGCGCCGACGACAATCTGGATGCCAGGAGGGCCTGGAACGTCTTTTCTAGACGGCGGCTCCAACGGCTTTCCATGCATCATCAACCCGGACTCGAACAGTAGCACTCTCAACGAGTGGTCGTTAAATGTTGACTCCAACATGTTGTACATTGATATCCCGGTGCAAACTGGATACTCATACACAGATATCAAGAATGGCACGTTCAACACGGTCACAAAGGAGTTTACCCCTTTGGCTGTCGCCAATGAGACCATTGAGACGAACCAGACGACTTTTGTGGCTACTATGTCAAGCCAAGATCCAAGTCTGACTGCGAATACAACGATTCAAGTGGCAAAGGAAATGTGGGACATTGCACAAATCTGGTTTCAAGAGTAAGAAGCACCCCAAGTCATATTCCTCGTTCAAGGTCGCTAATGGCGTGGTGCAAAGATTTCCCGAAAGATCAACAACGAACGAGGAGGTAAATTTGTGGACATACTCCGTACGTAATGGTTGCCTCGGGGATATCAAATGCTCGATATAACAGAACCTGACACCGTAATAGTATTCAGGCTTTTTCGGGCCGGCAACCTTGGCCAACTTCCAGCAGCAGAGCGAGCTCATCGCCAACGGAAGCAGCGCCAATGAAAACGATGTAGCCATTCAAGTCGGGTCGTTGGGCATCATCAATGGCTGCATTGACTCAGAGAGCCAAGCTTCGTTCTGGCCCACATTCGCCATGAACAATACTTATGGCATCAAAGCCATCCCGGAAGAGGCGTATGACATTGCTGTAGGCAACTTGTCGACAGCCTATGACCTCCTACACCAGTGCCGCGCTGCAGTCGCCGAGCTCGACCCTGAAGGCACCGGTGCAGTAGATGAGGTCAATGAAGCATGTTTTGCAGCGACTCAGCTCGGATTTGGCTTGGTGCAGGGAGTCTACACAGAACTTTCAAATGTATGGCAATCGTCTCAATCGCTTGATCAGATTATGCTAACCAGATCATCGCAGAGGAGCGCATTCGATATCACTCTCCCCTCTCCAGCCGCGTTCCCAGCCGCATATAGTACCGCATACTACAACCAGCGATGGGTTCAAGAAGCGCTGGGAGTCCCCGTCAACTTCACCCTCAGTGCTAACTCGGTGGTCAACAATTTCTTTGCCGCCACCGGTGACCCATTGATCGTCACTAAGCGGGCACTAGAGTCTCTTCTGGACGCAGGCGTTGGGGTCGCAATGGTCTACGGAGATCTCGACTACCGTTGTAACTGTAAGTACATTCAATGTGACAAATGGCGGATCCACACTCGGAACTGACGATCAATCAGGGATGGGCGCAGAAAACGTATCGCTGTCAGCTTCATACTCGGACGCTTCATCTTTCCAGAGCGCAGGCTACGCGCCTATCACGACCAACTCAAGCTACCAAGGCGGCTTGGTCAGACAGTTCAAGAACTTCTCTTTCTCACGCGTGTTCGGAGCCGGTCACTCAGCTGCCTCCTACCAACCTGAGACTGTGTTCCGAATCTTCGAAAGGGCATTATTTGGCAAGGACGTAGCGACGGGCGAGGCCGATGCGGGACAATCTTCGAGCTACGCCTCTCAGGGTGCGTCCAGCGTCTTGAATGTGACGAACGAGATACGTGAGCCGATCATTGGGCCTCTGTGTTTCTGGTTCGACGCTATGGAGACTTGCGACGAAGAACAGCTGGGGGCTCTAGAGAAGAACGTTGCCGTCATCGAAGACTACATCGTGGTGAGCCCGGCTGGATCATTCTCTAGCACGTATGGGAATCCCACCAGCACCACATCGGTGCCTCAGGCGACGGTGTCGAAGTCGGCGGCCACCAGGCGATACAAGATCATGTTCTAGAATGTGGGTTAATATGGGGTAACACTACGACTACGGAGGCGGTATGCGCTCAGTCCGACTTGGAATAATGAACTAATGATATAGATGCGTTCATTTTCATCATGTCTTCCAGTTGGAAGGCCTTTTTGTCACTGCATTTTGGTTGTTTGGTTTTTGAAAACATGTTTTGCCGTCCTGGGCTATATACATGCAGGGGATAGAAATAAGTAGTTACAAGAGAATCCAACACGCTCCAGTTTAATGCTTGATGTTTTGGTGATTGTCGGCCTGTCATGGCTCTAGTCCGAGACTCTTCAGTCCTCAACTTGGTCAACCCCATTTAGGAGGTGGTTACATCCGAGCCGTAGATGCAGGATGTGCCGTCGGCACCCTCGCCAATGCTGGTGGGCTCCTCGCCGGACTCGTTACCCTCGAATCTCTCGCAGATGACCTTGACGTCGGTAGCAACAGTGTTGGTGATGGTCGCAGTGTCGCCGTAGTTGGAGTTGATGCCAGCAAGCAGGTCGCCAGTGGTGGCAGAGACTCCGTCGATGGTCACGTGGCGCTCGTACATGGAGTCGCAGTTGCCGCAAGAACGGTAGAGCTTTCCGAAGTCCTCAACAGTGAAGTCAGAGATGGCAATGGTACCAGCTCCGTTGTGCTGAATAACCTATTGTTTGTCGCCCATTAGTATTTTGTATGTATGACTCGGGGGAATAAAGCAGAGCTTACCTTGTCGTCAGCACCGAAAGCACCACCACCGTTAATCTTGGTGGTCTCGCCGGCCTCCTGGTTCTTGACGGTGAAAGCGTCCTCGCAGACTGCAGACCACCAAACGTTGGTGAGAGTGCAAGCACCCTGGCAGTGGATACCCTCAATCTGGTTAGGTCCAATGATGACGTTGGAGATGCTGCCACCGTCCTCGATTTGGAAAACAGCGTCTATGAAACGAATTATTAGCAAATATTCAGATCGACTTCAATAGACTCATCTCTGGGATAGTCGGGAGTACACACCGGAGTCACCACCCTCCGACTGGCCGGTGCAGGAGACACCACGGTCGAACATGACCATGCCACCATCGAAAGACTCGCCCGCCGCAATAGTCTGAGCAGCAGACAGGGCAGAGGTTCCGGAAGACGCGGGGAGGGAGCCGCCAGCCGCGGTACCGCCGGAGCTGGAGCCGGAGCCGGTAGTCTGGGAGCCGCCAGCGCTGCCAGTGGCGCTTGGGGAAGAGCCACCGGATGTCTTGGTGGCACTGGAAGAGCCAGAGCCGCTGCCTTCCTTAGCAGAGTCCTTGTCGTCGTCGTCGTCATCGTCGTCATCGCGACGGTACAGGTCCCCAACAAGACCCTTGCCCGCACGGCGAATGGCAATACCGTCAGCCTTGAGGTTGTCGGCTGGCATGGCAGTGACTCCAAGAGCCATGGCCGAAAGGGCAACGGTGCAGATGTTGAACTTCATTTTGAGATATGGGGTGGTGAGGAATATTTGAACAGGTGATATTGATGAGTAGGATGAGTGAAGGGCTTTGACCAGCAGAGTTTTTGACAGGACTGGGCAGTTCAACTGCTGAACGAAAGTATCAAGCACGGGAAAGGAGTGGTTGGATAAAAATGTGAAGGTGAATGTGATGACAAGAAAAAGCAATATTCGACGTCTGAAGGAAGGCGATCACCTTTATATCCAACTTTTCTCACCTTCTCCGTACCTAAGTATGTCCCTTGAGACTGTTGCCTCTCTGTCTGATGTTGACCACTACCGAGTGAACCCAGCCACATGGGTAAGTCTCTTCGGATGGCTCCATACCAACAGATGACCAGGCCTCCATTGGCCTGCCAAGCCTACGGTTCAATAAAGAGAAAACACATGCGCAATAGAGATGCGCAATGGAGACGGACTGTTTCAAGAACACCAACAGGGATGCACAGGGACTAGCGAGCAAACATGGGGTTGACTTCCCAGCCCGTCCCTTGTATTATTCAGTGAACGCCGCAGATCGATCATCAATACGGACCGATTTGCGCCAGGCTTCTGGACTAAAGTGGGTATCCCAGCAGGATATGGCGATTGAGCCGCATCTCACTGGAGAAGGTGACGATTCATGCTTGAAACATTCTGATCGAGTGCAGCACGTGGGTTGAGCCTCACTGATGACCAGAACCTATTTTCAGCATGTACCACCTGATGGCAAAGGCATTATCACGTGGATCAACAGTGTCCGCTCTGCCAGGTGCCAGATATAAGTTATCACGACGGAATAATGTTGGCCTCTGCGGAGCAGACCATCTGCTTTCCATCAGTCATGAAGTTGCCACCGTCCGCATCGGGGTTTTACCATTTACCGACCTTGAATCGCATATAATCTATGTGGGCGTGCCCCAAGATAGGGGCGGCAGTTGAAGGCCCATACATGTTTTCTCCGATCCAAAAACGACTGCAAGGCTCAGAACTTGCACCGTGATGGCGATCACCGACCCCACTCAACGGCATTGATACGAAGTTCTCGTCCTAACACGATATCGGCTGTTGGTGGAATTTCTAGAAAGGAATTCATCTTGCGACATCGCCAAGGCGCGGGTGAGGAATCGAGCTCCAAGGTTGGCTAGTCTCGGCAAGGGGAGCGACCCAGATTGAGCTTGTCCACTCCGTGTAGCTCTTGGCCTTCTTGGCGCTGACGAAGAGGGAAGGGAGTGCCAGGGGGAAGCGGAGAGACGCAAGAGCTGAATGATTCAAACAATATATTGGAGGAGCTTCGCTCTTGTTTCTTGCTCAGTTTTGCCGTCATGGTCGGCTGACGATGAATCGAGAACAGTTCCGATGGGGCTACATCTTGAACCAGCAACTGAGCCGAGTTGGACTCTGCCTGTGAGCTCGTCTCCGGCTTAGGCGCACATTGACACTAATATAGAGGTACAAAAGAGCCGCATGGACGCTAAGCGCGCGGCTGCTGAGGCGAAGTGACAGGGACGGCTCACGGATGTAACCTTCTTTCAGGCCTAAGCTTGGTTGACTCGGATTTGTTGAACCATCCAGCCATCTTACACTGCGTGCCAAAGTTCTGACGAGTCAATATTTTTGAGAGGCGGATGGGCCTCGATGCTCGGATCGAGAACCTAGCTCGAGCCTAGCTGGAGAGATTTCATGGGGTTGGTGGATCTCCTGATCTGCTGTGCTAATTTACGTGGGACCCTAGGTAAGTGGATCGTCTGATAGTCTCCGGGAGCCGGGGCACAGACGCTGGTCGCCACAGCCGAGAGCGTATTCCGGACATCCCTACCGGAACGGAGGCGACAGATATAATATATTCAACGCGGCCCCCTGAACGGTACGAAATCTGATGGAGTGAAGACAACTTCATGCCCTTGGACATGAATTATGCCGTCCTCAATCAGAAGCTGCCCTCGGAAGCAAGTCTTCACTAAAGCTTCACTAGAAACACAGCTAGCCAACTCCGTATTGGGAGGTCATGCCAAACCAAGATTGTTGACAGAAGAAATCCGCATCTCAAGACTGACTCTCGAGATTGCTGTGTGTATTGGTATGGAGCCGACGGCCCCATTCTCGGTATTGGATTAACCCTGTACCTTCCAGCCGCCTTCTGGGTCCTACGGTGTGGTACCCCATAAATGCCTCCTCCACACCCCTGCCCAGCATCTTGTGGTGTATTGGCAGCCGTCGACAGCAACGGAAGGAGTATGTGATCAGCGATATGGGCGTTCAATGGGACCACGAACTAGGAATCTGATTCGAGCAACCTTTTCCTCAGCATCATTGGTGACGGAATTGATCCATTAATACCCTCTGCCCATTTTGGTCTCTCTGCGGCCAGTAGCAGGTCACCTACTGGCAATAATGTAAACATTCGGCGGAGTAAGGTCTTGTCGAGGGTTTTCCGAGGCTTCAAAACTTAAACTTCGGTGCTTTCGTACTTCCCTTCCAAATGTTGGGCTGGCCGTACAGTGGGTGAGACTTCAATTTTGCCTTGTGAGTATGGTAGAAAGCCATTTTTGACAACTCCTGATCCCTAGTATTTGAACAAGTACACGCCTCGGTCTCAAGTAATGTGACGCTATTCTTGCCTAGCGCTGTTTACAGGCAGTTGTATGACACCATTCTAAGTGTCGGTCAGCGAATAAATGTCTCCATACCACTTCTTGGTGTGCGCGCATGTCTGTATGTATTTGATTCCGACCATTTCCGATGCCCTAGAATTTCCTTGAAATAGACTCCTCCACTTTTCCAACCTGCCAAGCCACTCCTTCCACTCAGGTTTGTATGTATGAGTATCATCGTACATGATCATCGGCCACGTGAAGAAGATAATGGAGTTGCCAGATTGTAGAACAAGGAAATAACAGCCATGAGTCATCCCAGCCGTTTTTCTTTACACGTAAAGGGTATGGCAGAGAGGAAGATCCAAACCCACATCAGAATTGGAAAAGTAATAAGAGTCATTACTATCCACTTCCAAGAAGGCAGTGTGTCAAACACGACTGAACTATGGACATATTCGGAAGCAGACCAGCCCCGAAGACAACCAAAGATTTGACTGAGTAGAACAAAATGACTATGCATATAAGCTCCTTTGGCTGGGAGCGGACTTCATATATATACCTCCGCGTTTATTCACATTGAGTATTTGGGCTTCGACTGAGACAGCTTGAAGAAAAGGGGAAACCCTGAAACGGTCTCGTATACCGGTGGATTGACGAGAGACAAAATACAGAAGAGTCATTCGTAGAATCCAAACCATAGGGGAGTTAGTGTGATGTGGGTTTCGAAAAGTATGACGGACATAAAGCACAAGAGGAGCGGCGCGAAAAGCAAGGAAAAGAAAGTCCCAGGAACCGTGTGGTAAAGGGTTGTTTACAGATCAACCGCATGACGAATAATATGGCCAGGGCCTGCGATATCGTGGCGAGGGATTGCGAGCAGGAGAATCTGGATGGATGTCCACAATCATGTATCATGCTGGAATGCAGATATTCTTCGAAATCGTGACAGCTGTCAGTTTCGTGAGAACCACAATGACTGCCAGGGTGCTGATAATGTCAATGATTTACTCAGCTTGTGACAGCAAGTTTCGGCCCTGAGCGGTGTTAAAGAAACTGAAGCCCACATTTCTCATGACTTCGGCTTCTTGATCATCCTCCTCGCCTGTCTCGAGTCGTGAACGACGTTAAACCCTCTGGAGTGATGTGAACCATTTCAATACTCAATTCCTCTATTCGAGCTGCTGACCGGCGAGGGATCATCGATGTACGAGTCGGAAATCCCCGTCCCTCCTCCATCTTGCTGCCAGGGTACCGTCAAATCATTGCCAACGTTCTGTGCAGAGCCTGCAGCCTTCCGGTGCACCGACTTCGTGCGAACGCCTGACGAAGATCGTCTATCGAAATTTGCATCAACGGGGCAGGTGAGGGTTGTGAGTTTCCATGAGCTCTCCAATGCTTTAGGAGCCGGCTATTTCTCGGTAGCAGGCACACTGCCATGGCAGTCACCTGGATGTGCTCCTTCAAACTCACTTGTATGCTTTTAGGAGTTCGGGTAGCGAGAAACATTGAGGGCTGAACTTTGCGTTCCTACGCCACGGCCTCTGAGCTGCTCAATTAACTTCGTCGCTTCTGAATGTCTCGCTTCCCTTCCTTTTCAACGCGACAAAGTAAGCTTCTTTTGAGTCCTGTCACGTGCAGAGGTAGAAATAGTTAGCGCCCAAGATCGGTGAAATGTGCCTCATCTAGTTATTCAGGGGCAGACTCCCGAGTGAAGACCATAGCCCTGGTGGGGAGGTGAGGAGGATATAAGGATGGAAAGAGCGCTTAGGGTCGAATCAAAAGCACATACACTCCTCGATGATTCGGGTTTCTCCCGGTGTACCTTGGAGAACATCTTCTCTAGAAGCTTCTGAAGTCGCTTGTCCTCCGCCCCTTGGTAGAATTTGCAGACGAAATGGCCACCTGCTTTGAGCGTGTCCGAGGCGAAAGTCAGTGCTGCATAGCAAAGGTCCTGTTGATGGATTCACATCAGCTGCGAGCCGCCTGCGGGGCCCGGGGGGGGGGGGGGAGTGGGGCAGGAACGAAGGATTGCAATGTCCCGAGTGCAGAAGGTCTTTCTCACCATGCTACCGGCGTGGTCCTTAAAGTTGATACCGCTCGTGTTCATCAACCTGTGAGGGTTGCTTAGCGTCCTGCTCGAGAAGCCGCTCGTCTGGGGCCAGGGTTCTGACATGTCGCTGATTACCACCTGCACCCGATGAATTAGCAAGGCGTCGTGAGGCGAAGAGAAAGACCGCTGTCTAGCGAAGAGATGGGACACAACAGCAAGTAACCCGACGGGTGGTCTTCATGCCGCGAGCACAACTCACATCCACCATCCGCTCGGCTTCTTCCTCCGCCCCAGTCGCCGCTTCGATATCCTGGGTGGCCTGCTTCTCCTGGTCGATGTAGCTGGGCTGATCCGTCACGACGCTTCCCTCTTTGCTCTCACCCTCAACAACTTCTCGGTCCGAAGATGAAGATGTCATGGCGGTGTCTGCCTCTTGCCGCTCCTTCCTCTCCCTTGCCTTCCTCCTGGTCTGCTCTACGAGGACATCTTTGACCAGAGCCCGCACACGCGGGCTGAGAAAGTCACCCTGTATACTCGTCACGCCTTTGGGTGGTTGCGCTGGGATGAGGTCGATCCCAACGACAACGCCGTTCGGGCCGGTGGCGTCCTTGGCGACCTGCGACCACGATCCAGGCGCGTAGCCTAGGTCCACGACGGTTTGGTTCCGGCGGAAGAGGCCATATCTGTCATTCATCTGCGGGTAGGTTAGACGCTCATGCATACACGAGATCAAATAGTCTGTATATTTCAGGAAGATAAGGGTGATGGTGGACGGGCAAACAGACCTCGATCAGCTTCCACGCGGCCCTGCTCTTCAAGCCCTGCACCTTAGCCTGGCGGGCATAGCGGTCTTTGCTCTGCCGGGACTTCCATTGAGAACTTGATGACGCATTACGCCGTGACTCCAGTGGTTTGAGCTGACAGCTCTGGCACACCTGAGGGCTTGCAAGGGGAGGCTTGCTCGCGGGTGTCGTTGCCGCCAGTGTGAGCTGGCTCAAGACCCGTGAGATGAGCCGCTCACTGAGGGCCACCCGACGGCATGACACCGCACCCAGCGCTGTCGTCATGGGTAAAAGGATGGATATACTCGTGCGATGCAAGAATAAATGTCCTCGATTGGGATCCAGCAACCCCTTTAACAAGTCATCCCCGCGGAGGTGTCGTTACGGTTGGGTGGAAGTTGGTATTACATGGCAGCAGACGAAAATCTCGGGTAGAAGCTCGCGCCAATTGAACATCCCTGCCAACACAATAATACCACCACAACCAATGCTCCAGACACTCTGCACTGTCTTCTCATGACAAGCCACAACAATTGCATTACTGCGGCGAGTCTACCGCGCTGGCAAAGGCCCTACTTCTTTTATTTGGCTGAAGCACCGAGTTCGGTTCACATATGACAAAAATCAGCTGTAGGCGTAAGGATAAACTCGACCGTTGTCGTGGGATTGAAACCCAACCACGCTTCACGACACTCCGCGTCAGATCAAGTTAGAAACCCTAGCTAGGTCAATATAAGGTCCAAACCCATGCTCAGAGGCGTGGGTGCATCCATTTTCCTCTGGCTTAGTGGTTATGAGCTCGGAGACTGGTTCTCCTGTAGCTATTCAACAAAGAGAGCTCTGTCCTGAGACACTCTTTAGTTCGAACCCAGACCAGAGCAAAAGAAGGACTATCACAAGCAAAGGGGAAGAGCCCGAGCAGGTAGAAGACCTAGCCAGTGTTCCTTTGTGTCCAGCTCTGCGATCTGAGGGGGAGAGTTAGAAACCCTAGCTAGGTCAATATAAGGTCCAAACCCATGCTCAGAGGCGTGGGTGCATCCATTTTCCTCTGGCTTAGTGATCAGGTTGACATTGTTGTATTGAGTCAATAAGACTTAGTAAAGCAAAAATCAATCAAACCGACTATGCCTTGGACCCCAGACCTTCCCGGCCGTTACCTGTATACCTCCGTTCCAGAACGCCAGGCCCTTGATGGGGAGGAACACCCATATAACTCCAGCACAATGCAACAAAAGAAAGCTCGTACAGTGTTGACTGTCACAGCACCGCCGATCCTCTTGTTCCCACCGTAAGAATAGTCTCGAACCAATCCTAAGACGCTGCGATCAAGCCAAGAAGCTAGCGTTCACACCTCTTCGGTCCCGCTTCAACGGTGAGAAGGCCTTCCCACCAAAAGCATTCTTAGCAAGAGCAGAAACCGGGCCCTTCTGTGTCGAAGCCTTCAGACCAATGGGTTTCCGTTTGCCACCAGCTGCCGTTGGGGCTGCCTTCGGAGCTGCTGCTGCCGCCTCGGTCTCGCCAGCGTCCTCGTCCTTGTCGAACAGCGTGCCCTTGTTGGTAGTACCCAGCAGCTTGCGCTTCTTTTTCCTGGGCTCCGGGTTTTCTGAGCTGGCATTACTAGTGTCTGCAGCGCTGCTGGCGGTGGGGTTGGATGCTGGTTTGACCTTCGACTCTCCAGACTTTGTGGTGGCCATGGTGGTCCCAGAAGACGTGTTCTCATTGCTGGGTTGCTCCTCGGGCTCCTCGGCCACCTTCTCCAGTGGAGACGATTTGCTCCGGGGCGACCTTCGAGAGTTGTTGGCAGAGGGCACATTCGTGTTGGGAGATGACTCTGTTAAAGCTTGCGCTTTTGGTCTTCCGCGGGCCTTCTTCTGAGCTGGGTCTGCGACCTTGGACTTCGTTGCCTTGAGAGCCTTGGCCACTGATTTTGTCGGGTTTTCGACATTCATAGCAGGAAGATCCTCAGTCGTCTCCGCCTCTGGTTCAATAATCGGTGCTCCTGGATCACCCTTGCCCATGAGAATGGATGGTTCTTCATCCTCCTCCTCAATAGTCTCCGCCAAGTTGATGGTATTCGACTTCTCCAAGAAAGGCGTGATGGAGAAAGTGGACTTCTCGCCAACCGATGTAAAGTCGACGCCTCTCTTCTTAAGAGGGCGCTTGCCCCTTCCCTCGACGTGTCCGGGCGTATCCATCATCATGTCATCAACACTGATCTCATTGGCGCCACGCTTCTTTCCAGGCTTGGTCTTGCTGAGCGGCTTCTTGGCCTCCTCATCTTTGAGTGGCACAGTGGTCGTGGTGGTCCTGACCGCGGCAGTCTGGGCCTGCGCAAGCTCAGCACGGGCTCCCTTGAGCTCGGCACGAGTCTCCTTCAACTTATTCTTGAACTCCTCAACACGTTGTGTGAGCATTTCCACCTGCTCATTGGCCGTAGCAACTTCCTTCTCGCTGGACTTGCGAGCCCGCTCGGCCTCGCGCGCTTCGGAGACAAGCTTCTCCTCCAGTTCCTGGACCTTTTGCTGCAGTTCAGTTTGGGGTCCTTTCTCATCACTGTCTTGCGAGCGTTTTGCCTTCTGAGCAGCACGCTTTTCATCAGCCAGCTTCTTCTCCAGGTCCGCGACTTGCTGCCGCAACTCCGCTTCCGTATCACTCTGCACCTTCTGGTGGGTCTTTCTTGCGGTCTCCGAGGCTTTCCGCTCGGCGGCAAGCTTCTCCTCCAGGTCAACGATCTGCTGTCGCAATCCGTCTTCTGAGTCGGTCTGTCCCTTCTCCTGGGCTTTCTTGGACTTCTGCGAGGCCTTCTTCTCGGCCGTCAGCTGCTTTTCGAGGTCCGTGACACGTTGTTGGAGCTCTTGGCTGGCCTGATTTTCCTCGCTCTCTCGACGCTGGATTGCCTTCTCTGCTGCGCGCCTCTCGTTGGCCAGCTCGGTCTCGAGAGAATTCAGTTGCCGTTCGAGAGCGAGCTTCTCGGCAAGGACATCTTTCTGATGAGAGACCTGCGAGCGCAGGTGATCGATCTCGGGCTTCAGCACAGCCAATTCGCGAGAGAGGGCCAGCTTCTCTGCGAGGGTCTTGGTGGAATCGTCCGACATATTGTTTAATGATTGCAGCTCAGACTATCACTTGTTAGCAGAGAAGAATTACGAACGGTTTACCTCATTGAACTGAATGGCAATACCTTGAGGTCCGAGTGCTGTCGTGCTTGTGTGCGCAGCTGGTCTGCTTGGTCTTGGCAGGTCTGGTTCATGTGATCGAGTTGGGCGCGTATATCATCGTACTGCTGTGACAAGTTGCTCATCCGGTCGTCTTTTTCTGCCAATTGGTCGCGTAGGACGGCGACCTCGTCTCGGAGGACGATGACGCGTAGCTTGAGCCGTCGCGCCTCTTCGTCCTTGACTATGAGATCCGTCTGATGCATTGCGCCGTGATATTTGAGGTCGAGGAGATGAATCGCTTCGGTTCTCTGCAACAGAAAAGTCAGCACATCGAGGATGCTGCATTGCGGATGTGCTGGCCCGGGCTGGCTGGCTGACCTGATGTTGGTCCATGTTTACATGGTCCACTGCGGTACTGTTTTGTTGACAAGTCGCGGGTCACAGGTCAAGTTAGATACAATGAGTGGATGAAGATAGAGAAGACTGGGAGCAATGATGGGTCGGTGTCTGGGGTTGTAGTTGAGAATTAATCAGTCACTCAATCACTGAAAAGCCCATGTGAAGGCAAGCAAGTACGGATAATGATAGGAAGTGTGGCCAGCCTGGGAGGGGTGATGAAATGGGGGGTGCCATTGGGGCCCTGACACCTGCTGTGTTTTCCTGGTTTGTTGTCCCAGAAACGCACCTTGATTCAGCCTAGCGTCTGAGCCTCAAAGCCACAGTGGGCCCAGGCAGGGGGGAGGAAGACGAATGGCGCTAGTGACGACGGTACGTACTCCTGGCCAGGCTGGCTTGGCAGTGGGAGCTCCAAAGCTCCAGATGTCCTTCAACTTCAGGACAGGTCGCTTGGAAGTGCGTAATCAACCACCGGAGGCCATCACCAACTGTGACTTACCCTGATCCGCCCTGTCGCCATCCACCACAATTCTTTTGGAGACGCTGGTGGCAAGCAGGATCAATTGGCGAAGACCAGCACTGCTTTCATTTTCTACCTTTTTCTCTTCAATTGACTCGGGTCTTTCACAATGCGCTGGTCCTCACTTCTTCTGCCCTTCTCCCTCCTGGGTGCAGGCGTGCTGGCCGCGAAGTCCGACCCAACCAACACATTCCCAGAATTTCACCAGAAGGCCCTCTCTAGCACCCCCATTAAGCTAGACGATGCCTCCTACAAGAAGGTCACTGGCCTGCCTCGCGACTATACGGTTGCTGTCCTGTTGACAGCCCTGGACAGCCGTTATGCTTGCCAGATGTGCCGGGACTTCGACCCGGAGTGGAAACTGTTGAGCAAGTCTTGGATCAAGGGTGATAAGGCCGGACAGTCCAAGACTCTCTTCACTGTCCTGGACTTTAATGATGGTCGTGATACCTTCATGTCTGTATGTGCACAAATCGCTTGCCCTTCCCGATCCTCCTTGGCCGTGTGATTTTTCTAACCTTCTGCCTACTACCAGCTCGGTCTGCAAACTGCCCCTGTCCTCTTGCTCTTCCAACCCTCGACTGGCGAGTTCGCCGTTGCCAACACCGACCCTGTGCGATTTGATTTCACCTCTGGGTGAGTACTCTTTCCTCGAGGAATAGATGTCCGCGTACTGACGGACACAATAGTGCGCCCTCCGCGGAGTCGGTCAGAAACTGGATCGCTCGCCATCTGCCAGGCCGCCCCGTCCCCGAAGTTAACAGGCCCACGAACTGGTTCGCTATAATGCTCGCGCTCGTGACCGTGGCTGGCGTAGGCACAACCATCGTGACGCTCTGGCCATACATCGGCCCCATCATCCAGCACCGGAGACTTTGGCAATTTATTTCCCTCATGGTCATCCTGGGATGCACATGCGGCACCATGTTCAATGTCATCCGAAATGTTCCCTACGCTGGCCACGATGGCAAAGGCCATGTCTCGTTCTTTGCCGGTGGTTTCCAGAGCCAGTTCCAGCTGGAGTCGCAGATCATCGGTGCTCTTTGTACGTTTGCGCTCTCAAAGCATCCTCGTGGACTTTAATGGCTAATATTTTGTCCCAGACGGAGCTCTCGCCTTCTGCGCAATTGGTCTCGCCGACAAGGCTCCCCGTATTGGCGGCATCAAGACCCAGCAGACCATGGTCATCGTGTACGCCGGCGTCATGCTCGTTCTCTACAGCTTCCTTCTCAGCATTTTCCGCGTGAAGAACGGCGGCTACCCCTTTTCCCTTCCTCCCTTCTTATAAGAGCACTGAGAGAGAACTACGTGGTGAAAAGAGGCGACTCGCACGGCACAAGAGAACGAATGCTTGTGGGCCATGACCGGATTGGATCGGAAAAGTCTTTTGCGAATTACGCTTGGCGAGGCTGCGAGGGTCGGAACTCTGTAGACGGGTTGGACTTTGCCATATCGATCATTGACCGATCGCTCTTTTCCCCCTGACGCCTGCAGAGAAGTTGGCTCATTGTACAATAGAAGGGAACAGACGGTTTCAAGAGCACACTGCACAGGTGAATCAAGGACAAAGTCGTATGTGATGCTGTGTCTTTACAGAGAGATATGATGTTGCTTGTCTAGTATGTGCATATAGCTCAAGAGAGAAGCAGACCCGGCTTTGAATACCTATGTAGCCTTTGGGCATGCGAGCTACACACCTCTTCCTCAGTAACAGTCCGATAGCTGTACAGCTTATTAGCTGTGAACTAGCTAGGCATCACGCATATGTGCAGGCCCACCATATATGAATACGCTAAATGGAAGGGCCGACTGATACCACTGGACTGACTCTTATGGCGAGCCAATTGACAAGGCCCGGCAGAGTGGGCGGCTTCTATCACAAGTCCAATTCTTACGAAGACATATGTTGTGACCCTGAGAGCACGAGGGAGGCTGGCCGTATCATGTCATGGCAGCCTTGTCAGGCCTGGTGAATCCATCTCAACTTGGATTGGGATCAAGCGATGACAAGCAAAACAGTCAATAGCCATCACCTCAGGACAAATCACTGAGGACCATGCACAAAGGATAATCACGACAGACTGCAGACCAGGATGACTGGACCGGGCATGAGACATTTTACATATACAAAGCTGGACTGGCATACTGTTTCCTGGATTTTGGAAGACATACTAGGCCTTCGGCACTGCTTGGACTTGAGGATGCACCACTCTTGAACGGGCACTTGCGTTTGCGAGATCTCTGGCTCACATTTCACACTTGACACCGCCCCCTGGCGCAGAGTCGTAAAAATTGACCCAAAGTTGGCCCTCAATTCAGTCATCATAGCTTTTTGGTAATACCATTCCACTCCGAGCCAGACAGAACGCCCTCGTGAAACCATGAAAGCGGCGAAATACCGCGTAACCGTAGCTGTAACCATCCCAGGTATGCCATCCAAGCAAGGACTGCACCCATGACCATATCCCAGAGAAAAGTGCAAAAATCCTTTACACCTTGAAACCGCGCGAGCGTCTGCGACCACGGGCACGCTCGAACTTGCGGCCCTTGGACAGGACGTGGGGCTTCTGTAGGGAGATGTCAGTTCTGTCCAACGGTCGTTGCAACCTTTGGGTCTCATAGCTAGTCGTACCTTGTTCTTGTGGGGACCGAAGCCGAAGTGCTTGACGGCCTCACGGTTGTTCTTGGGGCCACGCAGCAGCAGGGTGTTGGCGCCGGTGGGCTTCTCGAGAGCAAGCTGATCGAGGGTCAGGGCGCTGCCGCCAGCGGCAAGGATGCGCGCGCGGGCGGTGGCGGTGAATCGCAGGGCAGCGATCTGCACCTTGGGGACCTCGAGCAGGCGGTTGTCATCGGTGACGGTGCCGACGACAACAACCGTCTTCTTGTCGTTGCCGTTCTTCAGGTTGGCCTTGACACGGGACAGGGAGACGGGAGGGCGGTTGATGCGGGAGGTAAAGAGGCGGCGCAGGACAACCTTGTTGAAGGCAGAGTCGGTACGACCTGATGATTTGGCAAGAGTTAGAAATCAAATTGCGCAAGGTCTGCGATGTGTGGTCGATGGTTTTGGGACTTACGAGCCAGGAAGCGGTACAGCTTCACCAGGAGCTTGAGGTACGCATTGTCGCTCTTGGGCGCCTTGCGGTGGGTGTTGCGCACGTGGTGGCGGTCGAGATCGATACCTACAAAGAGACAAAAATTCCTCGTCAGCCTTTGGCTCAAGTATGCTCAGAGAATTGTGGCAGCACTCGCAGAGAAGAGGTCTTTTACGACCTCCGCTCGCTCAGTCCAATTCCCCTCGTGGAGGAGATTTGGCAGCGCCCTCATATTCGCAGAGACCGTTTCCGGTCATCCACTTGCATACAAAGGCTGGTTAAGAAGTTTAACCTCACGTACCCATCTTGACTGTTGACTCGAGATGTTGATGATCTGAGGAGTCGATGGGGGATATTTCCTGCTGGGTTGGACGAGCGAGAGGAAAGGTGGGCGGAAAAAGTTCGCCTTGAGAAATTGGCAGATGCTGCTGCTGGTGGATGTGGGTCACCGCTGATTGGTGGATTGCAGCGCGGGCACTGCTTAGTGGGTGCAGCTGGCAGCGGCTGGCTGGGATGGATCCGCCAGCTGGCAGTGGCTAGCCTGCTTTGTCCGGACATAAGACTGCATAGTAATATCTCAACGAGGTCTCAAAGCAGTTCGGATCTACTTCTTCAAGTTGTTCAGCATTGATCTGCATTGCCATCATTCCCCAGACTACTTGGCTCACCATGTGATCATTGTTCCTGCTGCTGAGCGAGCCCAAGAACTACAGCAGACCAGCACCGAGGTATACCAGGACCACTGAATTGGTGAAGACCGAGATGAATTGGAAATGTACCTAAGCATTATTTTGTCTGTATGCTGCAAGGTTGCATTTTCTACAGACAAGTTGAGTCTTCAGAAACTATCTGAAGCAGGAGTTTATATACAATGATTTACAAACCCAATCATTGCAAGAAAAAGAACTTTTGTGATGCCGTATTGCTCCGGTCCTGCTTCCACCCTGCCAACCAGAGCCCTCAAGGAGAGCACAATGATACCTGTTGTTGGTACACTTACAGTTGGAAATGCATGATGTGCCTGCTCTCTAGAGTCTAAAATCCCATGTGCCCTTCTGTCACCTTCCCGGCCAGCTCAAAAGTGCCGAGTCTGCTGAGTCCACAAGCTTTCCGGCACCATCATCTTGTACTTACTGCAGCACGTTCTATCAGTCATAAAAAATTGTCATCAGTCACCTCAAGTCTGATGGGCTTGTTTTGTCTTTCCTCGGCCATGGGTACCTTCAAACAGGGGCTGCTGTTGGTTCCGCCATCCAAATATCGTCCTTGTGCTTTCCCTCTATTATTGAGCAACTACCTGTCCATGGTTTGCAGCTCGGCTTGCTTGTGTCATGAGGCTTGGTCGGGGACTTGTTGGCGAGGCCATGCTCCTCTATTCTTCGTTCATAGAATCCGCTCTTCTGGGCCCAATGCCACGAGGAAGTCGCGTGTCATCTCGAAACTGAGCCAGCTCGACGCCATGCTGGGTGCGACTTTCAACAAGTTCGGTACTATGCCCTTGTAAAGACCCTTGACTCCCTCGTTGGCAATTATCTTGGTCAAAGCATCGCCCACGGACGTGTACTTGTAGCCCATTCCATCCATCGTATTAATCTGAAACCGTCGTCGCAGGACGTCACTAATTGCAGAGTCAGTCCGGGATGGTCTGTAAGATGCATTGCTATTGCACTCACAATGGATATGTGCAGGTCTGCGCCACAGCACCTGATATCGCACCCGCAAGCAGCTTGCGCCATGCGCTTGGGTTCTTGTCACCTTCGGGAGTCAGATACTTGCGCACATGCTCGTACACCATGAAGTTCAAGCCGACATATGGAGCGACGCCCGCCACGGTTGGGACAATGCCCCTGTAGAGTGCCAGAAGTCCACCCTCGTTCTTGTACATGCCCACCAAGGTGGCCCACATTCCTGGCAGCTCTTTGGGTTTTGAGCCTAGGGCGGCAAAGCTCGCAGACTGGATGGAGAGCCTTGTCCTCACAATGTCGAGGGGATAAGTAAAGGTGACGGAGGTCACTCCCGCAAGCCCACCACACGTGAGGCGCATGAAGGGTGACAAGTCGGCCCCAGGGTACGCCTCAAAGACATTGCGCTTGTAGAAATTGTAGCTGCCGAACTGGACTGCCGAATAGGGCACGATCCGGATGCAGTTGGTGCCGTTCCCGCGCATGAATCCACGCCATCCTTCTTCTTGCCACATCTTCTTGAGGGCCTTGCCTACGGACAGCTTGTATTCCTCTCGGCCGGCGGACTGTATTTGGAAGAGGATCTTGAGGCGTTCCAGCGGCGAGACAACAGTCCGGGAGACGGCACCGGCGACACCACCTGCGCAGAATGCAGCGACTACGGGCTGGCTGATGAAGGAGCGCAGATGGTCCGTCGGCGGCGGGGGCAATGGTGGGTCGACATTTGAGGGAGCGGTCGGGGCGTCGCTCGGGGACTTGATGGCGGAATTAGCTTGCTAGAGATTGAGGTTGGTTTCGCAAACATAAGACAAAACGCGACTCTGGGGCAGTACATACAGCGGCCATCGTGACGGGGGACAATAGAGACGAGGTTTGATGGGGTTGTAGAAGCAGGTGACGCGCGAGTAGTGGCGGTAGTTAGAGTCGGAGGCAGCGTCAACTAGAGATATTGTCGGGGATACTGGCTGGGTCGGCTCTGAAAGCATCCCAATCACCTGTTTGGAAACAATTGAGGGGTATCAAGAGATTGAAAAGGGGTGCGAGAAGATCACAGCGAAAGTGAGGATGTATTAGGGGCGATCTCCTAGAGAGAATGCTGGAGGGTACTCGACATGGTCGGGTTCGTGAATAGGTGTTTCGCGGGTTATCATTAGGCGAATGGTCTCTGCAGACACATTGATATTTTTCTGCCGCTCGGTGAGGTGTTGCGATCGTTGGATCGTGGTCCGGGTCGCCTGTAGGTTCGTCGATACTGAGCTTGGGGCTCTAGGTCGTGTGGCTAGAAGATGGATGGATGGATAGATCAGGCCTGGAGGTGTGGGAAAAAAGCCTGACGTCAAAGGGATGAGCAACTTGGGGTCCCCACAGCCGGCTGGCAAACTGGGGCAATACAGACAGATGGCCCCTTTTTCCTGGGAGGGAGCCACAGTCTATCTGCAGGTGCAGGACATGTCAGATCAGATTTCAATCGATCTGCAGTGTCACAGAGCACAGAGATAGTTCCACGGAATGCTGTTATTGCCGCAACCGACGCGAACAAGGAGGAGGAGTGGGTTGAGCTGGTAGTATCAGCACCTAACCTAAGCTCTGCTCTACCTGGGTACAGTATCTACGCCTAGGAGGGAGGGTAGGAGGGTAGCTATCTATCCATGCATGGATCGAGGCGGCTCCGGCATCGATGTTGCAATCCTGGCCTCGGCTCTGAGCTCTTGGGCCTATCGACTAGCGTGTCGGTAGCCGACGACCCCTGTGGGATGAGATGACATTGTCACAGAATAGCGTCAGCTTACCCAGTGACTGAGCATTCGTGCAATCAACTTGTGCAGTCAGTAGACCAGTGTTCACGTATCCGTTCACCTGCAACAGATGCAAAGCTAGACTGAAGGACTGATACAGACATACCCGAGACCGATCACCTGAATCTGTGATCATAGGATCGTCAATCTTGGCCGTCTCCCGTTGTTGGCACTTGGCATGCTCATCCCAGCCCTCGTCAGCTTAAACAAACAAGGCAGCTTTGGTTCGTGCGTGCAAAGATCTGCATATTCAGCTCCCAGCAATCTGAGACATCACTTGTTGGTCTTACCCAAGCCACCGGCTTTGGGCTAGATCTGGTCCGAAGGAAAGGAAGTCCTCGAGCCTCATTGAGCACAAGCACACGAGCTTAGTAAGCCTTCTCATTAGATCACGATTGGATGGCAGAGACGACAAGTAAAGACATCCAGGCCTGAGCCGGACCATGACCATAACTTCGAGAATATTTTAAATGACCCTCATTGGGGCCAAGTAGAGGCAATCAAAATTAAGGCTCAGTGAACTTGACAGAGTTCCCGAACTTCAATTGAACACGCCCAAAGATGGTCAAGAAACCACCCCCAAAGTCCTCCTCAAGAAAGACGCCCATCAAGCAAACGAATCCGGTCAAGCCCAAAGGAAGTAGCGAAAGCAAGCCGGCAGATCAGATCCCGATTCAAGACATAGCTCACCAGCAAAAGGTCCTAAGAGTATTCGAGAATTCATTCACTTCTGTCCTGTCGTCACAGAACTTCAACAGTACTCTCCAAGAAGTCAAAACAGCACTTTTCAATCGCGAGTTTGATAAAGCCTTCGGCAATGAGGACTTTCTCGAGGCCTATGCCTCGAGATGGAGTCCCACTAGGGCATTGTGCTACGCCTCGGTGCTGACTGGTATAAGGTCTCATTTGGATGGACTTTCTGAGCGCAGCGCGGCCGAGTATGCCCTGGACAACGGGGGTGGACAAGATCCCTTGAGAGTGCTGGCAATAGGTGGTGCGGCAGCCGAGCTTGTCGCACTGGGTTCTTTCCTCAGCCAACAACCAACCGCTCTCACCGGCTCCATCACACTCGTCGATGTTGGCCCATGGGCAGGTGTGGTGACGAAGTTGCGCACAGGACTCAGCATTGCAGCTCCGCTGTCGAAATATGCCAGCACAGCGGCCCAGGCTGCAAACACACCGTTGGTAGAGTCCACCAGGCTTGGGGACGTCATATTCAAGCAGCAGGACGTGCTATCTCTTAGTGGAGATGACCTCGCAGCCTTGGTCCGGACAAACGGAGCGGAGCACCAGCCCGTGCTTGTCACGCTGTTCTTCACGCTCAACGAGCTGTTTACAGCAGGCGGGATAGGAAAGACTACGGCCTTCCTGCTCAAACTCACCGAGATGGTACCGCCTGGATCTTTGTTGCTAGTCATTGACAGCCCGGGCAGCTACTCCGAGACAACCGTAGGCAAGGAGGCAAAGCGGTACCCTACCCAGTGGCTCCTTGAGAAGATCCTACTCGACACAGCCGGAGATGCCTGGGAGAAGATTGAGTCGCAAGATTCTGCCTGGTTCCGCTTGTCGCCGGACTTGAAGTACCCCATCCCGCTAGAGGATATGCGATATCAGATACATCTGTACCGTGCTACCAGACGTGCAGCGGAGGACTAAGGGTTTCACGGCATACATAGCATTATGCTCAGGATTATTGTGATGTACCTTCATATCACACTCTGTGGCATGTGCTAGGCTATCACGATTGCGGATGATGATGAAGGCTACGACAACGTGCCTGAAAAAATAAATCAGAGCCGTTGAAGCCGGGCAGCGCAGCCAGCCGGGTCAGTCACAAGGGTGAGAGGAAGCAGCGAGGTGTGTCACCAAAATGGCACAAAGTGTTCACAGAGTGGGCGGAACTACAGATCAAGAGTGAGACACAAGCCAAAGGTGGTCACTTCTGTTCAATAGCAAGGACATCAAGGGCGTGGGCCGTGAATGAACATCAACTCTTTCGATGAATGTGCGTACCCAATCACCACCCTTTGAACATTGGCATTAAACAAGCTCCTCGACGTGATTCGGGCATATTTTTATGCAGGCAAACACACTATTATATCACCCTATGCGTATTACAGAGTAATCAGAACAAATAGTTAGAGTATTTACTAATCCCTACATAGGTTTCTCTGGGTCCTGGCGTGTGCTTCTGATTGCGAATCCGTATAGATGTAATGAAACTTCTGTCTACGTTAGGTAGGTATTTGAGTGAAAACCATTGTGCACCAAGTCGACTTCAAAGAAGAGTCCAGGTGATAGCATCATGAAGGAGTCCAGCTAGCGTTCAAATGTAAAAAAGCACCAGCTGACCTTCTGCTCAATTCAGTGTCCATTTCACCTCACTTCCACAGTTCTACCTATTCATCTATCTAGGCAAGCGGACGCTTTCCATTCATATAGACTTTCCTGAAATAGAGACAAAATCAATCATCAATTATTATAGCTTATGATGTTATGAACAACAACCAGCCAGCTCATCGCTCTTGCTTCTAATAAATGCAGTCGCGTTTATCCCAGTCACGGCTATGTAGCCTCAATGTTCTGTATACCATGCCCTACGATGCACCCTCCGCTAATGCAGACACTAATTACATCCTCTCGTGTATAAGAAACCAATTCCCCAATGTATAGTTCACTACGCCCAAACCAACCTCTTAAGGTTATATCCGAGGGTCTCAAATATACCCACGTTCCTCTTGGCCTCCACCAAGCTCACAATGTCGCCCTCCTCAATGATGCTCTGCCTCTTCGCTTCCGCTGTCCCGGAGACAGGCTGGTTTAGGAACGCCAGCCTCTCGATCTCGTGAGCAACGGCCGCCACGAGCTGACTCTCCGTCATGCGGGAGGCGTTGGCCTTGCCGCCACGGTCGGCGAGGGATGAGTTGGTGTACGGCGCCTTGAGGGTGATCTTCTTGGTCTCTGCGGGGGCGGCGCCGCCCTTCCGGCCCAGGAGGCCGGTCAGCCTGGACTGCACTGGGGATGAGCTCGAGACATTGGTGGTCTTAGGGGCTGAAGCATTATCGGAGGCAGCGTCTTGCCCATTGTCCTTGGTGCTGGAAAGGGAGCGTGTGTTGACACGTCGGTAATCATTCGAGCCTGGCTCATACACAATGACTAGGCCGACGTTCTTTGATTCGTCCGTCTGGGTTGCGGACACGGTGGAAGTAATATACGTCCCAGACTTGATCGACTGGACGTGCGACAGATCCACTCGGTCAAAAGATGATACTTTGTCGAGATTCCAGTCAAATCGGCACAGGTAAATTGCGGTGTCGGTTAGCAGGAAGACGACCTCCTGCAGGGGGCTAGCCATGAGGTTATTTGTAACTGCGGGACTGAGAAAAGTCCAGCCCCCGATGAACTCCTCCTTGGCGTCTTCGACGACACGCTTCTGGCAAAGCTCTATTGCCTGGTCTCGCACTTTCTGAATAGAGACTGCAGGGTCTTTGGTCATCATGTTGGCTTCAAATTCGTCAAAAACAAGTGATGTGACATTTCCGAGGAGGAAATCGATGGTGGCTTGAAGGAAGAAGTCGTTGACCATCCTATATCCGTTAGCATGCTGTTTAGAAGGGGCTTTATCTGACGGTCGTCTCTTCTGAACGATGTGGACTCACCCATTGAAGAACCGTGTCAGTCCCAGCCCAGCGTCAGCCAAAGCACCACGGTAGTTCCTCTTTTTCGTGCGCGTATAGTCACCCTTCATGGCGGCAGTGGATGCGTACTGTTTCGAAATAGCATCTCCGTTGTCGGCCCACAAAGTGTTGAACCAGGAATTCAGCTGGTCAAGCTGCGTCGTCATGTCATAGCCTTGCTCTCTGAGCTGAGCGTCAAGCATGTACTTGGCAAATGAACTCTGACAAACATTCGTCCGGTCCAAACAGTCCATACAGTTCGTCCGTATCACGCCTTTCTGTTGTGTTTTGATCTCACCGGCTTCTTCCATGGTGCTTCCGAGAGTGTCAAGCTGATCTTGAAGCGTGTCAATGAGCTTTTGTACGTTTTCAAACTTCATGCCTCTGCAGGCGTCATGAAAGTCAAACCACTCGAAAGGTACGACATCTTCCTTGGAACTGCTCTCATTGTATCGCTCCATTCCGTGCTCGTATTTCTGGCCAATCGGCGCCTCAACGCCATGTTTTTCCACCAAATTGGCGATTTGAAGAGATCCGTACTGCTGATGAAGTCGATCGAAATGTTTCTTCAGAGCTTGAAAGTTAGAATCATCTGAGTGCTGGAACACTGGACTGGGTTTCAGCGAGTAAGGGCTCTGCGTGAAGAAGACCGGTATACTGCCTCTGATCTGTAGAAAGGAGTACACTTTCGACTTTGGGTCAATGATGGCAGGTGAGAGTATCTGCTCGGTTTCGACCGAGTTGGCGCACCACCCTTCTTCGTCGATCCCCCGCCTTAAGTAACGCAACCCGGCTCTTTTCACTGATCGCCTCGAAATCACAGTGATGTCGAACTGCCTCTCTGAGGACCTTGGGGTTATTGAGATCTTCCCACTTGGAGTCGACGAATTCGCTGCTTCGGATTCTGGGGCCGATGTTGACCAGTTGGTAGCGAAGTCATTCATCTCAACCGAGCCCTTGTATTCGTCCAGCTGCTCCGGTTGAGCATCCACAGTAAATGTTCTCTGGCCCACGAACCCCTTCATCAGCGGCAACGCAAGGGAGTCAACCCCTGCATCGATAAAAGGCTGTATCACGTTTTGATTCCAGAAGAACATAGGATCGGTCTTCCGGTAAAGCGGCGTATCGCCCTGGGGAGTCGCCTCGCGTTGCTTCGACAGGCTGCGTGTGATATCGTAGTCGTATGAAAAGAAATAGCTCTGGGAAGAGCCAAAGAGGATTTGAGTGGTCCGCAGAAGCTTTGGGAGCAAGGCTGGAGGCGCCATCTTCTCCTCCTTGGCATCCTCTACAGGTACACCGGCCGCTTCTGACGATGTGACATCTTCCTTGGTGGCAGCAGGGGACTTCGAGTCTCCTGGCAAGTTGCTATCGCCAGCCTTATCCACGGCCTTGTTCACATTCTCTTCGGACTGACTGAGACCCATGCTCCGTTTCTGCTCCAGTGTCCAGCCGCTGCTGCTAAACCACCGTTGCGCGAAACGGCCGTAGCTGCCCCGCCTGGTCATCACATCCTTAGCAACGCTTGTGGCGGAAAGCTTAGACCCGTCTGGGGCATCAGGCCGCTCGTCATCAGTAGGCACCTCGTCGCTCTTAATTGAAGCAGTGTCGGTGTCGGTGTCGTCACCAGCGTCAGTGTCAGTGTCATCCCCGGTCGTCTCATCGGCACCCTTGTTTCCTACCTGTACAGCAGTCTTCGCAATCGACTCGCTGGCATCGTTGTAGGAGGAGCACGGTGTGAGGGCGACTTCGGTGATGACGTAGACTGGGGAGCCGCGGATCACAGCGACTTGTTTACGGCGAACGATAGATACGAGATAGCTGAAGCGAGAGACCGTGATCAGACCTGTTCATAGAGATCTAGGTGTTAGGTCTTGGACTTCGAGAGTGGGCGGGAAGATTAAGGGATTGCGCGTTGCGATTCGGATGTATGCTGCACAGACATACCGACGACTCCGAATGCCTCGAACGAGGAATTGGGCTTGGACAGGTCCTGCAGCCCATCTCGGGAGACAAATGAGATGGCAGCATCTCCATAACGTAGCCTGACAGGCGGCGAGGGTTTGTGTTCCTTCTTGGTCGCAAGGGGCTGTATCAAAAGGCCATCCACTGCAGCAGCTATGATGACTTTGCGCGCAAGGGACGGCATCTTTCTTGTTCGTCGCAAAGGAGGATCAGTCACGCAAAAGACAAGAGAAATGGAGTCCACTGGTATTCCTGGGCGAGATCATAGCTACAAGCAGAGGAACATTGTCATGGTTATAATTAGGGTGCGGGAGGACCATGGTCACAAGTTAAAGACCGGTCTCAGGCTCGGCCGATGTATGATGTCGAGGTCGCGTTGGCGGGGCACTTGGTGTGAGCGCATGCGGACTGGCAGCTGGAGCATCACTCAACCACAATTCGCTTCTCACCTGCAGCTCTAGCATGACGTATGTCTGAGAACACTATCCCCAAATTCAGAGCTAAAACTCTTTGGATGATTAGATTAGGTACCATCATCGGACTATAGCATTGTCCAGCTATTTGTACCAGTTGCTATACACATGATATCTCACAGAATCCCTAACAACCTAAGCATACCAGTCAAACGAATAATTCGAGCAAGAGACTACCATTTGGCGGTCGAGTCTGATGAACTAATTGATTTTGCTCTATTGAGCTTAGCAGCTTTTGAAGCCCCGTTTGGTCGAGCCATTTAACCTCAGACACAAAGTACACGCGTATAGGTCGATGCCACAACTCGGGACAACGGACTATCATCGTTACGAATGACTTAGATCATGTTAACTCGACTCATAGGCAAGCATGCCCGTAATCCCTTTCGCTGAAGTTATATATCACGGGGCAAAGATTCCAGTCCATGGTATGGTCGCCCAAGCACAACCTTTCTGGAATTCCCGATACTGCGTCTACCAAAAGCAAGTGCGTGGACACACATCTGCCACCACGGCAATCGCTGTCAAGGCAAGAGATTATCCAGGCTCAACTCTGTATTGTATTTTCCTTCCGCTGGTGTGCAGTTTCCTTTATACGACTCAGAAGATGTTGTCCAAGCCAACTACCGCAGCTCGCATCATGCACCCAGATATTCCTTAGATGGCCAATCTCTCGACCTTGTCCTTCAGAGCACGGATCTGGCCCATCAGGTCAGACGATTCGTTGGATGTGATCGCAGCTGAGATAACAGCCCTCGAGACACCGCATGCGCGGCCCAAAGCGACCTTGCTGGGGACGTAAACGTAGGGGGTGTTCTGTGTGAATGAGACTTAGTATCTGAAAACAGCAAAACATCGACTGTGGAGAGCAGCTCACCTTGTCCTCAGCCAGGAGAGGGATGTGCAGGAGAATGGCGAGAGGGGTGGTGTCCTATGCGAGCAAAATTAGTTTCCTCCGTGTCATGAGGGACAAGGCCCATTTTCAAGTTGCAACTTACAGCAGCAAGGACGACAATCTCAGCAGTTCCACGGCTGTGACTCTGATCAGCATGTGTTCCAGTGTTCTTTCCGGAATTACTTACTTGAGCGCCTTGGTCGCTTCGTTGGCTCCCTTCTTCAGCTGCCTGTAATGAGCGCTGGACTGCAGCAGATCCAGGATTTCCTGTGTGTTCCCGTCAGCTCGTGCGAGGTGGGTCAGTTTCCTTCGGCGCTGGTCGTACCTGGGTCAAGGCCGCATCGGCGATGGGCCAAGCAGCAGACTCGTTCTGGTTGGACATGATGGGCGGATTTTGAGTAACAGGGTTCCTTTCCGTAGATCGCCCTGGTGTGGTGAGGAGAGGTGGCGGTGGTGGTGGTGGTGGTGGTGGTGGTGTAGTGATGCTTTGGTACGAGGCGCTCGCCAGATCAAAAAAAAATGATTTGAGCTCCGAGCCGGGTCCCAGAGCAAGGTGGGTCTGCCGATAAGCAGACTGATAGGACACCTTGTTGATGCGGCACCGGTTCGAGAGCTTATGTAAGTAGGTCGGTCCGTGCTCGCCTGCCCCGTGCTCTGTCTGCGGTGCGAGCTGCTGCTTATCCGCAGTGGTCAACTGGCTCTGAGCCTCTGGTGCTGTGCTGGTTGGATCCGCCTGCCGCAGACACAGCAAAACCTTCGCCCAATCATAGGGAGCCTTGGAACCACCTTGCCAACCTCTCAACGCAACTCGAACCGTCACCATCGTCTGCCCGTCCATCTTGCTCAAAGCTTCCACATTCCACGCTACCGCCACCAGTCTGACGACTCTCGAGCTGCCATCGCAACAACTCCAGTCCAAATACCAAACCGCCTGCATATCATTCTTTTCACTTTGATTAGTTTCCGTTCTCCACACCACAGCCAAAATGTCTACAGATCTTTGGTAAGCCGGCTTGATGCTCCTGGAGGCCCCCTTGAGCTCCCCCATCCACCATCTCTCAAACTGAAGCTCCGAGCCTCGATGCCTGCATCCATGGCGACTCCCATCTATCTTAATCCCAACTCTCCATTGTCTCAGAAGCTAATCGTGGTGTTTATAGCCCCGTCTACGCGGTTAGTCCTGCCTCGTCCGCGCCTGTTTATCGTCGTCATCCTGCCGAGCTCCTCCGAACCCGAGCCCGTCATCGAGAACAACACCATCGAAACACGATGCTAACACATCTCTAGCCCTTCTTCGGCGCCATGGGCTGCACATCTGCCATCGTCTTCACATGCCTCGGCGCATCATACGGAACCGCCAAGTCTGGCGTTGGTATCTCGGCAATGGGTGTCCTGCGACCTGACCTCATCGTGAAGAGTACGTCACCATCTCGACTGGACTCGAGGATACCGTTCAGCATGCTCACCCGTATCTAGACATTGTGCCCGTCATTATGGCTGGTATCATTGGTATCTACGGTCTGGTCGTCTCTGTCCTGATCTCCGACGGCCTCAAGCAGGCTGACTACCCCCTGTTCACCGGCTTCATTCAGCTCGGCGCCGGTCTTGCCGTCGGTCTGGCTGGTATGGCTGCCGGTTTCGCTATCGGTATTGTCGGTGACGCTGGCGTGCGCGGTACTGCTCAGCAGCCCAGGCTATTCGTCGGCATGATCCTGATTCTCATTTTCGCTGAAGTCTTGGGTGAGTTATTTTTAGCAACAATCCTCCCTTCCTGTCGACAACTTCTCCCTCTCTGCATATCATGCTGACAATGGCTCACAGGTCTCTACGGCCTGATTGTTGCCCTTCTCATGAACTCCAAGGCTGCGCTGAACGTTTCCTGCTAAGCGCATAGCTGACAACCTCGGCCGCGAGCCAACTTTGGGACACGTTGGCAGGACATTCCGGAATGCTTTCTCTCAAAGCCTCAACGAACGACATCGCGGTCGCTGTCAATAAGATGGGCTCAGCTTGCAATCATGAAAAAGTTCAATCTTGAACATTTGCATCGGGTCGGGATACGACTGGGAGGAACGAAACGAGCGGAACGAAAATGATGGATGTTGGGAACATCATCCAAAACGACATACACATGTACTCATTGTCACATTAGGCTATGACTTCGGAGCATTGGGTTCTCGTCATAGATGTAGTAGGGGCAGAAGAATGTAGTTTAGGAAGGGAGTAGTGTTGGCTTTGGTTTCCTGCGACATGGTTTCATATGGCTGCATGACTCTGTTACTTGTTTGTATTGTATCTTTACAGCACGATCTCTCCGTTTCTGGTGACAGGTTGTTTGAACGCGCCCGGCCGTCTCTTGGTCGCCCTTTTATTGACCCTCCATCCGCCTCCAAACAACCAAATGTTGATTCCAACCATCCTCCGACGTATATTCGCTGCCACCCTGATCCACCTGACGGGACCCGAGTGGGTGGTGTGTCACGTCATTGTAGATTACTGCGGCATTTCATTCTCTATGCTGAATACTGATGATGGCGGTATATATAATTGTGAAACATTTCAACTATCAATCATGCTCTCACATACACAACTCCTCGTACAACCATTGGAGAAATGGTTCTCCTGAACAAACATCGTTCAGCCAAGTAATACCAACTAGACTGCGTACCATGATGTTGAAGCCATGTAACAAATGGGCTGAAGCCATGAATATTTTCTCTTGGTAATCCACTCAAGGCGCCTGCCCAGCGTCTAACGCGAACCTCTAGGATTCCCTGTGTGAATATGGATGGGAAATGCTGGCCGTTCAGTCAACATTTTTAGAGAAAACTCAGTGTTTTCTGAGGACCGTTGAGGCAGACGGCGGCCTTGTCCTGCTGGAACTTCTGTCCACGCGTCCTTGACCAGCGCACGTCGTGGGCTGTTGCCGAGTTTGCTTGTACATATCGCGATATCCCAGGATTTGGTGCCCGAGGTGTGTTGCCCAGTCCTCATTGCCTGCACGAGACCATCAACAGCCTCGTACGCATTTTTACAACCCATATCCAGCCCCATCCTCGAAATCGTGCCACCTCCTATAGAGAAATAGTCTGCGCGTGCTACCGTCTCTAGTCGGCGAGATCACACGTAGCGAGATCACACGTAGCGAGATCGTCTCGCGTTCTCTACCCTGTAGCCAGAAGCAGGCAACTCACAGATCATTTCGGTGATATACGTGCCGTTGCTCTCCATCGCGCAGTGAGCCTGTGCGCATGACACCTGCAGGATGAGCTTGTATGCGACGAGGGCTTTCCCAGGTACGCTGTTCAACTTGGCGCCTCTAGAGACATATTGTTGAGGCCTCTGGAATGAGCAAGGTGCTCTCATGGCATTCACAGGTTAAGATCGGCCGCTTGGGTCTTGGACTCTTCGAGTGGACATTGCGCATAGAATTTAAATACTTGCAACGTATGCTATGTACATACCGGCCAAAATACTACAAGCGTGAGCTGGATCGTGTCCATTGGCTGCGTCTGCAATATCATGACCCCGTGACCATGCTTCAAAAAAAAAACAAATACTACCTGGTGATATGTTGCTGTGTCCTGTCCTCACACCAACCTATGCAGACCACTGAAGTGGAACCGCAATTCGCCTGCTTTTGTCCCGTCGCCCCGTTTATTGTCTCGCGACTCCAGGCTTCTTGATAATGCAATGATTAAAGACGAGTACTGATATACAAATTATGTACAGGTAGAAGTGAAAACCTGCAACCGACCGCCTCAGGCTTCCTTGAGGCCCATACTTCCACCCATTGAGGGCGTTTAAATGACGTACTGTAGCAAATGGAGGTCAGCAACCAGAATACACAAACTTGACGGTCGACGGTGATGGCAAAACTTACGGGGATGAACAGGTAGGGGACCTGTCTCTCATATTCCTTCCACGCATCGCCATACTTCTCCCTGCACCTCTCGATGTCCCGAGCAGCGCGGTGCGCGATCATGCAGCAGAAGAATACCGGGTAAAACCAGGGGAAGGGGCTGCTGAAGCCCGTGATCAAGCCCCAGCAGATAGCGAAGAACGCATCGCAGGTGTAGTGCAGCTTGCGCGCCTTGCCGTACCAACCATCCACGAAAAGGCAGTCACCGGTGGCAGTAGGAATCTTGCGCGGATTCTTAATGGACTGCCAAGGAACCTGGGGGAAGGTGTTCCGCTTGGTGTAGGTGCCCCTCTCCATGGACCGGAAGCTGTTCTTCTGGCCGTTGCAGCTGTCCCAGACCCAGTAGACAAACAAGTAAGAGACATAGAGGCCAACGAGAAAGGCGCGGTTCCAGCGGTACTCATCGGGGGAGTGATTGGCGAGGTAGATGATGCAGTGGCAGTAAGAAAGCGGCACGCCCGACATGTTCCAGAAGATGAGCATGAATCCCCACTTCTCGTAGTACATGTCCCAAGTCGTGACAATGAGCTCCTCGCCCTTGCCGCACGCGTTGGCATAGAGCCAGTGCGCCATCACAAGGAACATGACCTCGCCAGACACATAGCCGTACTGCTCGTACTGCCGCACAGCGTTGCTAACGCTAAGCAAGAGCAAGATGTACCAGGGCAGGCGGACCTCAAAGAACATCTTGAAGTCAAGTATGCCAAACATACGCGGGTTAAGTTCTGCGCCCATGAAGAAGTCGTAGATGGGATAACCTGTCATGCGGTGCTGCGCGCCACGGTAGATGGCGGAGAAATAGGCGATGATAGCGACAAGGTACCCCGAAAGGATCGACACGGACAGTAGCGGGCCAAAGTCGTCGATGATAGCGGAGATCCTGTAGACACCGGTGAGGTGCAAGGCAGCGGCGACGGCCAGGGTGGTGTACAGCGAGAAGAAGCCGGAGCAGTAGTACTTGAGCTGCTTGCCACCCTCGTGTGGCAATGGCTTCCCGTATGCGTAGACTCCAGGGGCAAAGATGTAGAGGAAGAGCTCGAAGACGCCAAAGATCCAGTATGCGGCCCATGCCCTGAGGTGAGGAAATGCGCCAGTGTAGACAAGGTGGCCGAGATGTGAAAAGAAGTCGGCCCAGCTCTGGCCTTCAGCTCTCGTTGGAAACTTGCCGTCGTAGTAGGTTGCGCCGATCCACATGTACCACATGAGCAATGGAAAGCCGATCATCATGGCCGAGACGCCCAGAGAGCCGCCAAACTCGAAGTTGCCGGAGTAGTCGATTTTGGGATCCATGCCAGGCTTCCAGCCGTCGACGACCTTCTCCTCGGCCACCTTACCATTGGCGCCGTTCGCGTGACCATTGGTCGCTGGCTGGGGCTTCAGATCTTCCTCGAAATCATGCTTGCCATTCGCAACAGGCGGAGGCAGGTTGGTCGCGTCTAGCAGAGGACTCGATTTTGGCAGCGTGTCATCGTCGTCTATATGCTCGGTGAACTTGGGGACGCCGCGCTTCCTCAGCGACCTGGTGCGCAAGGAGGTCGTCTCCGCGGCAGAGCTCGAGTCGCCATCGGCATCGGATCCGTCGAGAGTGAGGGGCGTCTTGCGTTTGGAAGACACTCGACGGCCAGGGGTCTCGACCATGCCATCGAAAGGCTCCTTCTTCCTAGAAATAAGGCACTGGGGTCAGCATCAAGTCACCATGATTGCGGCGCAATGCGCGCATGGGCGTGCCGGCAGCAGGCAAAGTGGATGGTGTGAACATGTGGACGCCGAGACGAATCGACATGGACCCCGTCCGCGTTGCATTGTTTGCGACAGCATCTCGCCTGGTTCAGTAGCAAGATGGCTGAAATTGTCGATGCTGAGTTGAGCTGTGCAGAGCAGAGCAGAGCAGACTGACTGTAGAGCTCAATGGAGGGCTTGCAGCTTACAGCCGTCCGTTGCCTATTCTGGCATTCCGTCGTGCTGACTGCGCCTCAACTTGGGCCCCCCCAGAGGCAAGGGTTGGGAATGCAGCGGTGTCTGATTGGCAACATAACCGACAAGCACAACAACAAACAGGACAAGACGGGCACAAGACATGAACAAGGACGCGGGAGTCGGGGCTTACCGAGGCGTTTGACGGAGCGAGTATCTCTGCGACATTCTTATGAAGTTTGTGCAGGCAATATGGATGATGCGTGCAGTAAAGGAGAGGAAGAAAAGGACCCGATCCAACGTCCAAAGAAGATTATTTGCTTCCCGACATGCGACCAGATTGCAGTAGACAGTGATTGACACACCAGCCAGGCCAGATCGAGACTGTTTTCTCGCGACTCGCCCCCTTCTGGCACCTGGCCCTGGTCGTCGGAAATTCGGTAGAGCCCCAGGGACCCAGTGAGACAGAGCACAGGCACAGCGACCAAACCTTGTTGACAAATTTTCTGCCTCGGCCGCAGCCGTTGGCCAGGTTGCAACCTGCAGGGGGGAAGGGGTGCCACCAGCCCTTAGCGCCTCTCGATGGGAAATGAGGGTCCCCCGGACCAGAACATCCCTCCTCCTATGCGCTAGGTCCGCTGCCGAGGGACCCATCCGATGACTTGCAGATAGACTGTCTGGGCTGTCGCGAGCAGCTACAGCCCTCGCATGCGCTTGGGAATGCCTCAATGCCGGCACGACGCAGAACGAGTTGGCTGCAGTGTTGAGCTTGTCGTAGCTGCAGCACGTCCTAGAGCCGTCCACTTCATCTCATTGGCCTCTGTATACTTGCCGCGGTCCTCTGGGCTGCAAGCTTGACATTGTCGTGCATGGCGGAGGCACATTGCCTTGCCCCAGATGCTGCACGCTGACATGGTCTCGACTTAAAGTTCATCCTCGAGGGCTTACATGTGGCAACGTAGGGGACCCCATAACCACGACAAACGGTAGGAAACGATAGTCCGGATGGAGACAGTCTCATTGAAACTGTCCTCTTTACATTGTACTTCGAAGACTGTCGACTGGGGTCCAACTTCCGCGTGTGTTGCTGGACAAAATCGTCGTGGGATTATCGCATGGATATAGAAGAAATCACCCTATGATTGCACGAGCGCAGATGGTAAAGCACGTCACATTTGTTTCTGCATAGTTTGTGGTCTCATACTCGTATGCCTTCGTTATCTTGCTGCTCTGCCAGGTTCCTCTACAAGGCCACTTCCTAAAATTCTTTAAGAAGCCCACACCCACTGGGTTTCGTCGTCTTTGAGTCTCTGTCTCTCTCTGCCAACCGATTAGAGGCGTCCTATTGCTTGTATAGGTAACCCTAGAAGATTTCCACATCATGACTACCAACTTTCTGTCAGTTTGTTGATATTCCGGTACCTAAGTCTATACAAGTTTATCACGCATAACGGTATTCCACAGGAGTCTATCCCATCAAGAGGGATTCACGGTAGGTTATCCCATAGTATTGTATTCCAAAGTAGGTTACGCTACAGTAGGTTACCCCAAAATATTTACGCCGTAGGGGTTTTCACATAATATCAAGTGGCCGGACTACGGTTCAATGTGAACGTAACGTCGTTTACTAACGGCAGCGCTATTGCGAGAAGTATCATTCGCGATATGTTCTCCGAAGAACAGATTAGGTGAGATCTGAACCGCTCTAGAAAAGTGAATCTTGCTGCGGCGGAACCAGAGGTTGGCCATGTAGAAGCCGTCGTTATGCTCATGGGCAGGAGCAATAGAATTAAATGAGTTCCCGCTGTAAAGTTCGCGCTTGGCCTTCGTGCCGCTGTTGGATTCGTTATCGTCCATATTAGCTGGTGAGAAACGCGTGAAATGTTGTGTTGAAGGTTGAGAGAGAGAGTAGAGTTCCCACGACCCGCAAGCAACCAATTGTCTTTGGTTACCTACCGCTTTCATTCATTTCGGCTGCCTCCTCGACTCTGTCGAACTATTTCAATTGAAGGGTGTCTCGCGAATGCCCGACATGATAAGGCTTGGTCCTCGTCTACAAGTACCAGGCCTCCGAGTCTGACAGGCTCGTTTCCCATTCCATCATTATGTCAACACCAATGTATTTGTAGTAGACTTTCTCATAAGGCCCCGGAAAGCCTCTCTCAAATTTCTCCAGCCACCGAATTCCTCGAAACTAGGCGATTGCTACAATTCGGATTGGGGCCTTCTGACCATCAGGGCCACCTTCATTGGCTGCACCATTCCATGGGAGCTCGAACAGCCCCCTCATGTGTAACAGTTGTGAACCAAGCATCAGAAGCGAGGGCTCCCCAACGACTGAACTATTTTCAGCGACTAGAGTGTTAGGAATATATGCTTACTCGGGTGCTAATTTACTGGTGGTGGTAATATTGCATGTTGGAAAAAATGCTTCTTCCTTATCATTCACTTTCTCACTAGAAATACTTATGCCGAGTCTAAAATAGTTTGTATCGGTAAATAACATTCAATTATATCCGTCCTTCTGAAAAGAAAGAGGATTTTATGCAGGTCGCTAGTTTTTCCGTTAAGGGAGGTTCTTCTTTGGACTCTGCGTGGATTTTGGGAAAAGATATGCCAATATAGATGAAGATTTTGATTTCAACCTAACTTTCATCAAGAGTTTCAAATATGGTGTCCCTTGACCACAAATACACCACTGAGTATAACACATGCAGTTTCATCTATAGTCACAGCACGTCTAGTTATTATCTGGTGCCATCCGCGGCCTTGCTGGATCCTGCAACCTCGCCAACTCTAACAGCAGACGATACACGTATATCGTGCGATCAACTTCCCTGAAGGCCTTACCGAACCACTCCCGACCCTGTTCAGCAACATGCTTTGCCGCCTCCTGCCCCGCCTCGGTCGACGTGAGATGCAAGACCAGCTCTGGCAATTCCTCCATACCCTGGCTGACAGGTATATAATGAATCCATGGAATGAGGCGCTCATCATGCCACTCACGCAAGAGCGTCTGCTTGAGCGGGGCCGATTGCGAGGCAAGAAATTTGTAATATCGCCCGCTGATGCCGTTTCCATCCATGTCGAAGACGAGGCGGGACTCTAGGGCTCGATCCTTGTCCTCCCAAGGCCTTAAGTTGAAGTACGCCCGCTGGTTTCTACAAAATGGTCTCTCGCACTGGAATATCCTCGTGAAGGCCACGTCGAATAACCTGGAGTTGAGAAAGTATGACTTCACACGGCTCAACACGCCATCCGTTTCCCGTAGATAATAATGCTCACGCCTATTCAGGTTCTGCGCCAACTCGACAAATCGTTGGCGGTGAAAATATCGCCATTGGCCATCTGGTGCATGGCCACCGGTGTTAGAGCCAGCCCAGTAAAGATGGTTTCGCTTGCTGTCCCACCCAATGTCATGTGCATCGTTATATCGGAACTCATCTTCCAAATAAGCTGGGCTGGGATACACTATGTCACCCATTGTCGAAAGCGAACCAGTTGAGAGAACTGGCACCATGCCTTCGAGCAGGGGGAAAGACGAAGGGCTCATCAGGAGACCGTGAGCGGTGCTGTACTCTGGGTGTTGGCATAAGTCCAAACTTGAAATTGGATCTGTGACGAATGGGAGGCCAAAGTCATCCACCATGTGTCTAGTCTGATCACTAGTTCTATTTCCCCCTTTATAGGAGCAAAAACTGGTCAGTGTGTCCCATACGGGCCGTCTTGACATGTTGTCCAGCGTCAACACTCCGCTCTCATGGGTGCTCCCCGGTCGAGGTATCAAGACTCTTGGTTCATCGATATGGTTCACTAGAAACTTGATGTCGGGAAGATAACCTCTCAAGTCCCCCAACAGCTTTTCGAATGAAGATTGGATGTGCCTGTCGAAAATGCGATATGGATGGGTGCAGACAGTCCTTGCCTCTCGACCAGACAATGAGCAGAGCCACAAGTCACTGCCTGGAGTATTCTGCGCGCGACTCATCGCGTCGAGAACCTCTTGACCGCTCAGTTCCCAAAACGGTGCGATGCTTTCGTATATCATGTCGAACTCGTCAATTATTGGCGATTGATGAGACTTCGCGAACTTGAACCAGGTCTCGAATCCTGCCGGCGGTTTTAAGCTATATCGACGTCGATATTCATCTTGAGCGGCCGCGTATGTCTTGGACTGCTTCTGAATCAAGTTGTCGAAGTCAAGCTTGGCATTTTGTATTAGATTTTGGACAGGGTGGTCTTGAGGGTGTGCCAATGATGAGACTGGCTGCGCAAATTGTAATATGAAGATATTGGTAAGGTATGGCACGAAAGAGACGAGGAAGAAAGCCCAGAGTGCTGACTTGGCTTTTGCCTGCTTTGGAAGCATGTGAATAATCTGGCTCAGTGACAAGAAAGATGCCACGACGTTACAGAAAGCCCGCAAATTTGATGAAAGCGTAAAGGGATCTGAGGTGGACGCGATGCTGTATGTCGTCATGGCCGTGGCAATACGCCAGGAAGAGTGTCGAGCCTAAATATTCTAATCAACATCAGGATCATGCAAAATCTGCGCGTTGAAATACTTACTGTTTGAGTCGTGAAGTACCAAGACAGGGCCTTGGTTAAAGCCAACGCTGGGGTATACGCAGACATTCCAGGGGAGCCAAACGCCAACGTTTCCATGCTCAGTAATGTTGCCAGCACAAGCGTGACGCGAAGAGAGAGGGGAAGAATAGCATTTTCAAGATCGAAAGACTGGAAAAGTCGATAGCTGCTGTTGGAGATCCTAGGCCTAGGTTCGAGAATTAGGTAGGCCACTAGCAGAGCAGCAACTGGGACAAATGACACCGCGTCCGATGCTTGGATATGCCAGTCCCATTTGAAGGTGACAGCAGTGAATAAAGCCGCTGAAACGCTGCCCCAGGCCGTGTCACAGAAACAGTAGAAGACTCGGGAAACAAGCGATGATGGAGCAGCAGAGATGTCCGAATCGGCCCAAGAAGGGTAGCTCTGAGGGACCAGCAGCAGAGGAGTCAGTACTGGCAGGAATATAATTAGACCGTTTTCCTCCGCGAAATACCAGTATATGGTGAGGCTGAAAGCAACTATCCATAATGACAGGGTGGAAGTAGGTAGTTTTCTCAAGTCGCTCCAGCTGAAAACATCCGAATGTGTCTTTCTGTATTTGGCACTTGTGCTCGCAGTCGCAGTCTTGAACACTATCGGTAATATAATCCAACACAGCGTCTCAGACAAGGATTGCAGCTCGGGTCGGCGGTCGGAAAGACGTTGAGTCAAGATGGTGCATAGCAGAGCCGTGCCCGCCGACCTGGTGACGTGGTCACCTTTGATGTCAATGTTGATGAATTCCCACATGGTCGACTCCTGCACCCGCCAGACTGAGACTTCTCGCGGAGGTTGAAACTTGGAGGATGTATCTGTAGTACCGTCATATCGTTCCGCATAAATGAGCGTCCATTTGAGAAGTGTCCGAAAAGCTGCGAGTCGTTCAATCTCGCTCTTGTGGCGTCTATCCGCTCAATTCCAGTTGTTCATCATGTCTGACATGCAGGAAATATTAGAGAAGTACACGTGCGCTCCCGCAAATATGAGTCTCGCCACATATAATAATAAGAAATTATGCAGTCATCAGGCTCTGACCAAGACCTCCAAGGGATGCCGTTGTCTTGGTTTTGAAAATCTTTCCCCCTTTTCAACTTATATTACCTGAGACTGGCACTGCCACAGCCATAAGCGGCCGTAGCGGTGGTGATGGCGACTTGGCGAAGTGTGAGACAGAGACACCTGGGCAAGAGAGGTACGGGCCAATAATTTTGTGCCGTTCCACAGGTCGCCGAGTAAGCGAAAGTGGACAACCCTATGGGTCTGCCTAGATACTTGGCGTCAATCCATGGGTATTGAATACGGGATGGCCGTTACGAAAATTACAATGGATTTATTGCTGTATCTGCGTAGTGAACAGTCGTCTATAATACTGACCCCTATGTGGGCCCTCGAGTCACAAATTTGCGCGGGACACGTATGCCTGAGTACGTACAAAAGCATTCCATCACTTCCGGACGGGGCTGAGCTAGATCCAAATTGTCTGTTCCATCCGTTACAATATGAATCACAGCCAATGATTTCATGGTTCCCTGTGCGACGGCCAGATTCCGACAGCCGACTGGATTGCTTCTTCAACTGGCAGGTCCACGTGGTTCATTCCGATGAGACCACAATGGTTGTCTCTCGGGTGACAAGGGGTTGCCGGTACTGATTGATCCACAAATTATACATACAATCAGAAGGGCAGGAGGACGAATAGACGCAAGCGGACAAGGTAAGCGCATTTCTGACCCAGCGTAATTGTAGCACAGCTGACCAGCTGTCCTCAAACAGAAGATTCAAAGCGGCTTCATTGTCCATCGTAAGGAATTCTTGGGCATCAAATCGACCGTGGAAGACTACGCCAACGAGACTGTGAATACGACACTTACTCGCGACTCACTAATCTCAAGCCGGAGACTCAAGTTCTTTTTACCAATTGCTTGCTTGCTTGACCATACCACGAAGTGTCAATTGTGATGCGTTGCACTTGGTACATGGCTATGCGTTGCAGAGTCTCGGTTTCTTCGACGACAAAGAGGCCAGACTAAGTGTCTAATCATGATTGATGTGATGCCTCGGGCCAAACACCTCGTAGACACTATGGCTAAAGACATTTGTGTCGCCATTGTGTTGTCTTGATTCTTTCCTTCTTCGGTAAGTTCTGTGTGCTCAGCTCGCCATAACGCATGTGATAGACGTAACATTGTCACTTTACGCATCTAATGATGCCGCTTGTCTATTCCTCGCATTCTACACTTTTCTTTGCTCAGATCAAATCTAACATCACTTATGCCTTCGTTTTTTTGTCCAACTACATATTGGACACAGCGCAATCTGCCCATTCTCCCTTTCCCAGCTTCTCCAGCAGCCAACCCGCTCATGCAGGGGGACTCTGACCTGACGATAGCAAGTTGAGCTGGCCAACCTCATTGCTGCCGTCTCTGCGACGCAACTCGGACAGAGAGAAAATGGCAGACGCAATGTACGTAACCCTGCAACTTGGTCTCGCTTGCAGCAAGAGGTATCCTGAGAAGTAATCCTGGGTGACCAAGACGTGCAACCCCCTTCTCCATCCCGTCCTTGGTGGGCAAAATTCCACCTAGCAAGCTCAAAACGATTTTCACCCCAACTTTGGAAGCTTCGGCAGCCTTGGTATAACAAAACTTTAGATGAACCGTTTGTTCAACTTGAGCTCGAAAGAGGGGTACATTGACATTGCTGCCACGGCTGTATAGGAGTTAGGTATCTGGCTTACCAACCCGCCAGCGACAAGTTCAGCTTTGTAAACAGAAAAGAGTGCACGCAGAATTACCACAGAAATCTCATCAACACCAAGTATCTAGCTTCCTGCCAAAAAGTCGAAAGCTTTCCTCCAAACCTGCTCAAGATTTTAGGATGGACAAGCCTTCCACTGAGCCTTTTCACCCTTCACTGGGCTCCCTCAACCTTCAAACGCCTACCTTCGACCACCACCCTTCGACCACCACCCTTCAACTCCCTTCTATTCTTCTTGAGCCCCTGTGATCTTGGTCGAAAACTCGTTCCGCACTTCGTCTTCTCACTGGATGGCTGTCCTCGTAACACGACCGAATTCCACCCTCACCTCTCAGATCAAGGCCTCTTGACACATCGCGTCAGTCCTCACGTACAACGCCGCCCCCTTAAGTCAATACCTCGTCACCAATTCAAAACCTTGTCGCGCCACAAGCTTTGGCTGAAATTGCCACTTGTGACCCGTCTTTTCTCACCACGAACAAGTTTTCAAGGTATGTGAAGTCAATCAAGCTGCGCAAGACTAGCATAGCTCTGGGTCTGTTCATCAGTTGATCACCAACCACAGCTTGACTGCGTCAAGCTGCCCGCTACGAAATCACTAATTATATCTTCAGACACAAACGCCATCGTTTTGCACTCAGCCAACTCGGGCGCTGGTGACGTGGTCATCAATTTGCCATCCAGTCCTGGTGGACACGAGGCGGATCCTGTCGCTTTCACCAAGTCCGACCACACGCGTATGCGCGACCTTCTACAAGGTTTGAAGTTCTTCCCACCTCTGTCGGCCGATGCTCCTTGCCACCTCGCGATCAGCAGGCCCTTAACGCACAACATGCCGAGACGATTCCTGCGACTGCGACTCAGATCGTGAGACTACATTCCTACATTGTCCTGGCTTGAGAAAAACGAGTTGCTGACCACTCAATCTATTCTCAGGGAGCCATGTCTGGGTACGACGAAATGATGGTCCCGCAGAAAACAGCCCTTTATCCCCGGAGGCCCCGGTGAATCCGCCATCTGTCCAGAAACAGACTCCAACAGCCATATACACTGTCGATTCCTTTCCTCCTGCTCAAGAACCCTTCTACCAGTCCGACGGCGCGCCTCAGGTTGCCGGCAGTATTGCGTCGCCGGGAGATATGGCTGTCATCTGGTACCCTGATGGCCAAGTCGTGCATGTGCGCCTGGAGCCTCTGCCCCTTACGCCGCTGCAACAGCGACGTGTCCAGAATGGCACACAGCCGTGGGTAAGGGGCGCAGGCCTTCCCCGACAATTTGAAGAAAGCCCGCAGCATCCCATCAGCATACTCGAGCGCGCAGGTACTCGCAGACCCGACGGTCTACCTGCATTCTTTCGACAGCCTGGGTCCGGAGAGATTTCGCTCATCACTGACCACTGGCTCAGGATGACAGAGCGCCAGAAGCATCGGTGGAACCGTCGTGTTAGGGAACAATTCAGGAACCCTGACACTGGGGCTGTCGCGACGAGCGTTGAAGAGGCTCTTACCAATCACGAGGCCTTCATCGACCTTGGCAATCAGCGTCGCCCCCTTTGCGTGAGCGATGTGACCAAGTCCAGCGCATCATCCGCAGGAATGATCGTGCGAGGGATAGTGGCAATCGCCGTCGTGCCGCGCGGGCTGGTGATCGATCAAGAGCGGCTGTCTCTACTCCGGCTCCAGTCACAGCTCATGACGATACCGTCGCTCCAGCCTCCGTGGAAACGCCTGCCGCGGACCCAGCTCCAGCTCCTGTGGAAATGCCTATCGCGGAGTGCGCCCCAGCGCCAGAAGAAACATCTGCTGCGGACCAGGCCCCAGCTGCCGCGAGTCGACCGCAAGCACGCTCCAACTCCTCCAGGATACGGCCCTGTCCGAGCGGCCATCCAGGCACTTGCAGCGCGCGCGGACGTCGACGCCATATCCCGAGTCCACCGCTCTCCTCAGCACCGTGTTGAGGAACCCGGCGTCCCTGCAACCGGACCTGAGCTCCAGTCCCCAAGTGAGCAACCTGTCGACGAGCCAGCAGAGCCCATCGCCCAGCCTCCTGTCGAACACGTCTCAGAGGAGCCTGCCCAGCCTGCAGCTCAGCAGTCACCGCAGCAGCTGTCCGTGCACCCCAGTGATGCTGCCTCTCAGCTGCCTGTTGAGTCCAGCTCTGCTCTCTCTGTGGAGTCCACTTACAGGCGGCACCTGATTGGACATTCATCTCAGCAGCCTCCGGATCAGGCCAGTTCGAGGCGACTCCCGGGCATGCTTTTCAGCCGCGATCAAATCCGCGCGAGGGCCCGTCAGTTTACCGCCGTCTCCTCACGCCATCTCGACAGCTTGAGAGCGTCCCTTGTCGAGAGGGAGAACGTCGCGGTGGTAATTCAGCACGCGTACGACGACATCGGTGACCTCCTGGCTTCGCGGGAGGAATTGATATCTCGGACAGATGAGGAAGTTCGCTCTCGTCTGGCGGGCGCAGAAAGGGAAGTTTCAGCTCGGTTGGCGGTTGTGAGTCAGTCCGCCACGGCCAGCCCCGACAACCCGACCCCCAGTGCACCACGGCCTCCTGCCTCGGATCCTGTTGTTCCTGTCATAGACAGGCCTGCCTCCTCTCCGGCACGACCCACGTCTGGTGTCTCTCAGCGTGCGCCCGAGCCAGCGGTCCATGACAACTCTCTCCTCCGCGGGATACATGAGCAGCGGGAGCAGAGGCGCGCATCCGCGGGGGGTCAAAGCCTGCAGCGAGATCAGCCTCCCACTCGTGCTTACGGGGACGACGTTGACCAGCCAAGGCCTCCCCCGGCACTTGACATCCACTCAGTGGAGCGCGTTACGATCCCTTATGACGAGATCATCCATATTGCGAGCCGCTTCCAGGTCATTCGGTCTCGCATGGGTTCCATGAGCTTCAGCTTGTGGCTTGAACAGGTGAGCAAACTGCAACCTGCAATGCCCAGTGATACAGCATAGCTAACCAGTACACAGAGTGGTGGAGCACGCTTCGTGGTGATCAGTGGGCTGAGGCGTAGGTTCAGCAGGCCCACAGTGTACTCTTTGGTACTGCTCGTGGATAAGGTGAAATGCAGTATAGGGGATTGATTCGGGATAATGATTGATTGCACAGGGTGTACGATATTTGCGGACCATATCAAGTCATTCATAGAATAGAACGAGCAAGAATCCGTCCTTGAGCATTCCAATTCCATGTTTAAGTGTGATATTTTGCGTTGGTTTCCATACACCATGGGTCTCGACCAAGGGCAGAAGATGCCGTTGACGAAGATAGCATCAAGGCTAGTGTATCATGAGCGAAACGCAGAGCAGATGAGTCCAAGTACGTGCACAGAATGGGGCTGTAGCTCTCAAATGTTATCGGTGACGGAGGGCGATGATATCTCACGTTGATTGGTGGCCTGCTAGACCAGGTATTTGTAGAAGTTCTGTCTTCCCGTGCGCAAGTGGTGATGTACCTCGTGTCCGGCTTTGCTCAAGTCCTGAAAGTCCCTCCGCTTGGTTCATAGTGCTCTCACCATTTGGAAGGAAATGTCTAGAGGAGGAGGGAGAGGCTGAGGGCGTAACGCCGATCCAATATTCTGGTCTAAGTGCTTGCTCAACCTGGAAGATGCGAACTGAACACAGCCAGCAACGACGGAGATGATCTTAGACGGGCATCGATTTACTGTCTGGGTTTCCAATGTGATTCCTTTTCCGTAGTCCCTCCTCCCACTGGGAACTAGAGGGCCCAAAGTCGACGAACACCTCATATTTTGAGATCTGCCCAGCCCATCGAATGTCTTCTCGTGTCCCATCTGCTTTGACCAAATCGTGCAACTGCCCTCTCCACCTCCAATCTTTCTGCTGAAGTGCCTTCGTACAGATGACAGCCATGATCATGCCTAGCTCATCCCAACCCAGGCAGGTACCTAGGTACTTCTTTCGCCCATCGCAGCCCCAGTCACAGACACACCTCTCTGGGCCCCTCGCTCTTGCCTCGCCAACACGATTGAACATTTGAAGTCATGACCGCCTCAAAGTGCTCTCCAACTCTCTCTGCCCCAATTCTATGCTTCCTCCTGACTTGGAACTGCGCTCCACACAGCGTATTGGTGTCTCTTGTCCCTCAACTCCTCATCCAGGTGGCTCCCAGATGCATGATGTGTTGTGCCTTCCTCACAAAATACTCGACTGAGTTGCTGGAATGTTGTGCATGCCATCGATGCTGAGGCACCTCACCCTTCCAAGTCATTTCCACCACAACGCGGACATCCCATGCTTTTGCCCGGTCAGTGCAGACCGTAGCTGCCCTAGCTGCCGTCAGGATGCTGGTCCTGCTCCCAGCACTTGTCCTCTCCCTCGGAACAAATGCTCCCCTCACTGCGCAGATTCGGCGGCTTCGCGTGGGAGAGCCTGCCTCTTCTAGATGCCCGATTGCCTGCCCTCGACGCTAGCCCTGCCATGCCTGCCCTCTCGCAGGCTGCTGCTCTGTGTATCCCTATACGCAGTGCTGAGGGCTGCGTGCTGCCTCCCAATGCGCGCCTTCCCTCCCCTTCACTCTTGCCTCCTTCGTGTGTCCAGCACAGAGCACGCCATTGGCTTGACGGAGCAAAACGGCCCTGCTCTGCTGTTCCTGCACGTGAGCTCAGTCAGTAGTCAGTGTCCTTAAAAGCCCGCCTCCCGCGTCCCAGCTTTTCAAAACTTTTCTCTCCTTTCTTCATTTTCTTTTCCGCCTCTTTGCTGGCTCGTTCCGGGCTTGGCACACCGAATCCAACGGGTGATCAAGAAGACCTGTTGGGACACGAGCCCTCTTGGGTGGCGTGGGCTGCTGAGAGCGAAAAAGGTAAGGGCAGCTTCGGACAATTTTTTTCTCATCATCGTTCTTGCAACGAATGGGTGGCTCAAAGGCCGCCCGAAGTCATCTTCAACTTCATTTTCAATCATCTTCTGCTCCCACTCTTTCATCACCATCGTTGGCTGGTCCGGCGAGGTGAAGAAGGATGTCTTCAAGCTTCGTTTCCTTCCCTTCCTCTCTCCCTGCCGGCTTTCTTTGCCATTGCTGGCTGGTCCGGCTAGGTGAAGGAGGTTGGTCCTGTGGCAATGTCAGTTGTTCTCAACACACACGGACGCATGCATCCGTGCTGAGTTGTCTCCGCCGATGCCTATTGCTTACGCTGTCAAAGATTAGCACACATCTTCCATGAGGTGGTGATACAAGCAGGGACATCAGGGTGTCTGTTGATAATCATATTTGGACTGGAATGTATTTCTTCGTGTGTTCATAGTCGAAAGATAGGTACGCAGTTGAGCTCCCAGGCCACAAATGCCCGTGATGCCGATGACGTGAGATGGTGGTCTTCTGGCAGGTCGTTTCATGGTTGCGTGGAAGAAACAAAAGAAAGACGACATAGGTCAGGGAGAGAAAGATCACTGAATTATTTCGATGAGGGACTCGAGAACTTAAATACACATTGTGGGCGCTGCAAATGGCGCAAATTTCAAGGGCGAGACGGCGCGGTTTGGGTAGGCAAACCGAGTCGCTCTCGTGCTCGCTACCTACCTAACCATCTACCTAGGTAGTGAACTAGTGCAGAATGAGTCACTCTGATGAATCTAGAAGGCAATGGAACTTGTCTGTGTCCGGACTGACACTGGAAAATTTATGAAGAAGTTCGTGGTGTCAATTTGTCGATGTCTTGCACATGCCACCGCGAAGCAGCGCGTTGGGTAAGGCTGTGAAGACAGTGATGTACAAGGAAACAGCGACGTGAAGGGCGATGTTCGGCAAGCCCGAATTTGGCCCAGGAAATGATGACAGACTGAGGGTGTGCACCCTGAATTGACTCTTATGCAACGAAAGAAAAGATTTGCTTGAAGCGACCTTGACGGTGGCAACATTCAACGAGATAGTAATGAGGACAGCTTCAACAGCGCATCTCAGAGCTCTCACCCTCAGACACGGACGGTGGGCTTCATCCAGAGTCTAGCCGGAGACGCTGAGGAGACCCATGCCGACACCTAAAAGGAATGGTCGACTGTTCTGCATCTGTTGCTTCTGTGAACCAACACTGTGTGCTCCCTCATTGCCCTTCCTCCCAGCTGCTTCGATCAAGCGACCTCGTTGATGAGCTGACTCTAAGTCCCACATTCGACTATACCATGTACCGTTCAAGGAGACAGTATCAATCGCGCCTGAGACCACATGTCGAGATTGGGTTGGAAATATCCGAGTTTGTAGGGGACAATAGAGCACCTCTGACTTTGCGTGATTGCCAGCCAGCAGCTTCAGCCGTAGGCGTGAACGGATGGTGTGAGTGGACAGACTCTTGTTCTACTGGACCGTTGTTGACCATTTCAGAGCAACTATCTACTTGCCACCCATGGACTGGCTGACGACCTCAAAATGCGAGATTATGGCAGTGAAGACGAAACAGAAACCAAGAAACCGGGAAGAAATTGAAGGAATCAAAGTGCTCATGCAGAAGAAAATCAAAACGCTGTCTGGGAGCATGATAGCACAACACTCTAGGTACGCATTGAGGTATCTTGAGAGCCAATACTTAATTGCAAAACAATCTCCCCTTTCCTGGGTGCTTCAATAAATCTCACCATTGCCAGTGAGGCTCAGCCCTTAACGGCAGGCCGAGCGAAACGCTATTCCCTGCAATCTTCAACAAGTCTTATCGGCCAATGTAGCAAACGATCGGGAAGGCAGGAAGGAGACCGCACTCCAGTTGATTTGGAAGGCAGGAGGCCGCAGCACGCAAAATCACCTAGGTACCTAACGTCTAGAGCGCCATGGAAGCTTGTCACAGTAAATTAAATCTGTGTCTCGGGCTCTTCAACACAATGAAATCCGATTCGATACATTTTCCTTGCCTCGACTAGCCTTGAGACAAACAAGCCTGATCCTCAGCCTCAGAAATCAGATTCGGCGACTGAACGCAGGGCCTCGATGAAACGATCATCAACACTATCGAAGCAGCAGCAGCCCTGATATCAAGCCCACCCTATAGCCGCAGGGCTGCGACGAGCTCCACAGCCTGTTTGTCGCTGCATACGAGCGCACCAAACCACGGGCTGCTGCAGTCTTCCTTTCATGGATCTCAGCATAGAGCAACCTCGCATGCCAGCCTCACATGGCCCGCGCCTCAACTTCATGTCGATCCCAGGTGCCGAGTGTCACGTGCCACTGCATTGAAGCACGCACGCCTTGCGAGCACATCGCACGTACGAGAAGAGCCAAGAGGGAAAAAGGAACACCAGATCGTAAGGATACAACCGTCCCCCTAACGATCGGCGGTCCAGGGCGCGTGTCTGTACCAGACGTTCGGGGTCGATTGAGGCTGGCCAGGCAAGTTCCGAGGCCAATTGATACCGGCGATCTGCGTCCCTGGCACCTATCACTGCGGCGTGCGCGCAGCCGCGGTCGCTCCGACGCGACGTGGATCCCATCCCCTGATGAAACCGGGGCAAACCATCGACGCGCGCCCAGCCCCGGCGTGAGATAGGAACCCCGGCCGAGCTTGCTTTGTCGCCTTGCTGCACGCATCGCTTGATGGAGGCGAATTTCGTGTGCGGAGGTCACCTGGAGAGAAGCGTCCCACCCCTCCCGTCCCAAGCCCTATGGGCTGCGGAGCGGCACTGCGGTATCACCGTCGCCAGTGAAAGGCAGCGATCGACATGAAAGCCCCAGGTCTTGTATAACTTTAGAATACGTTGGAAGGAAGTATACCCGACCGCGCGGATGTCGATATGAGCTGCCGAAGACCCCTAAGACCTGTCTAGTCCCGATCCGAATCGGCTCCGCAGATCTGTTAGAATAGGGGTCCTGGGGTCCTTGTTTCTAGGTTTCGGGAAGAGGCATCATCCTGGACCGGCACGGCAACTAGTTGGTAGATGGAGGGTGTCTAAACCAACTTCGATGGGTTGACAGGCAAGAATTGAGGATCGGAATCCTTCTCCAACCGCGACGATCACTCTTTTGACTTTTGATGGCGCGCGTTTTTGTGGGGTGTTTTATGAATGCTTGGAAAAGAAACGTTGCGGCGGGGAAAGTTTTCAGAACCTCTTGCGCTCATCATAAGTACAGACTGGGCATGTCAAATTGACCAAAAATATTAGTTCACATTGCCTCTATAGGCTTCGGATGCTACGGCTCCAGACAACAGCTCAAGGCACAAATGAAAGATGTGCGCTGTCAAACGTCCTGTCAACTTTCACTTGCCCTGGCCAGCCCTAGGCGCAGGGCTCCGACCGCGACCTGAATCTGTACCTGGAGAACATGCAAGGAAATGTGATCTGTGAGACCTGAGCATTCAGGATCGCTTTTGCGTCTCTCGCTTAAGCAGAAGGATGGCCTCGATTCTTCACGTTGTCGATATGTGGCAGATTATGTACTTCAGATTGAAGATCTATAGGCCAAGTGAGGGGTGCGCTGTGGTCAGTAGGTGTGTAAGTGAAGATACAGGGCGGAAAAGTGAGGCGAACGACCTCTGCGCTGTGCGCCCACTAAAATGGAGCGAGACAGCAGGGGTCGAATCCCTTTCGGACCTGGGAAATCATGCAAGCTGCTGCGCTTAGCATGTGTCCTATGCGGCAAACCGTCGCAGTCAACGATTGTTTCGACATGGCCCAGCGGTGAATGCGGGATGGAGCAAGTCTCTACTAGCCCCGAGCTGCCCATGGCACCAAGGCTGCGGGCCATAATCTTGCACGTTCAGCTACAGGCGGCAGACCGGAAAACATGGACAACATAAATACCTCCAATGCCCCTTGATCTCTGCTACGATCGACATGCGCAAAGGCCTTTGCCGATCTTCTCCGAGATTTCCGTGCCAGATGCTCAGCTTGAGGTGATGATGTCGTCCTCATCCACCATGAACAAATACTGGATCCCCCACCTCGACATCCACAAAAAGGTCATCACCCAAGAGCTCCAATATTGTAGGTGAAGTTCAAACTTGTTTGATTGCTCCTTCCTGTAACTTTGGGTCGTGAAGCCATGATCAAAAAGAATTTCTTTCGCCATATACGTGTCACGGCCTCATAAACCAGCCCGCCTTGGTGAAACTAACTGCCATTGTCGATCAGACCTAGGCCCCGAAGCAACGGTTCGACCATTCACAAGAGACGTACGCGTTCCTCACCAGCGACACTTCTAGTTCAGAGTCTTGCTGACAACATAGCCACGAACAGGGTGAAGATGGATTCCTCATCACAACGCCAGGCCCCTGCTTGTCAGATGTGAGCGTCGTCGGTCTGTGATACAGACGTTGTTCCCCATGTTGACCCTGCACGCAGGAGCAAATCGACGACATCTGCGTCAAGTCGAAGGAGATGTGGGAGAGGCAAGCCGCGAGCAGGGCTACGACCGCCACCGAGGCCGCAAAGCCCCTCAAGCGGCCATTGCACCAGCCAGTGGTGATTTCAAAAGCCAGCTCAAGCCGTCGAAGGCACGAGGACCCGCGGAGGGACTTTGGTCGAGGTTATGATGACCGCCGATAATATCGAGTCCAATAGCATTCAAGGCTGTGACGAAGAGGAGGACCATGTGCTTGGGCGCACCTTTGATGCAGAGCCTTGAGGTGGAAGCCACTTGGGGCCGCAGCCCAACCGTGCCCAAGTGCACGAACGGGGCCACTGCTGAATGAAAATCGACACGGCAGCGTTTCGCAGAATCCACCCAGGGCAGCGCTGCTGATTTCGGAAGTGATCGTTGGGCGAATAGCGGGCGTAGCGGCGTGAATTGCATTGCTGTGGTTTTGGTGTGGAGGAATTTTCCGAGCCAGCGACAGCCCGCCAGCTGGCACAATAGACCTTGCGTTTCCACTCGAGCCCGCATGAACCATACAGATGAAGGTGTGATATGCAGGAGTGCCCAGTAATTAATCAATAGTCACAGAACTCTGGTCGAACCTGGCTGACCATGAACGTCCCTTGAGCTCATTTGTGCAAATCCACAAATGTGATGCAGGGGGTTGTGCTGGTGGGATGCCGGCCGGGTCTCGTGCAACACTGGTTTGCGTCTCGGCGTGTGTAATCCGATGCCCACGTTCCCATATTTTGAATGTTTAGCATCGAGTTCCTCTCGCTCTGTTTTTGTCCCAGTTGTTGAGTGGACGAATGGTGGGTGTTGTGTAACGCCTCAAGAAGTAACCAGAACCCCTAGCGTCCTACTGGAGCTGATCGCTCGACGTTGGCACGACACAGGAGCATGCACACCCCCCAAAGATTATGCCGAGTCGCAACAGTGCAATTGAATCCAGGCGAGGTTCACCACATTGTGCGTCTTGTGAGGCCCAGTAACCTTGTTGCTATGAGTGCCATCCTAGTGAGTGAAATGCTTGCAAGATAAAGTCACAGTCTCTGTGTAGCGCTGAGACCCGATGGCTTTGCCTGTCGTATTAGCAACCTTCAAGCAATCGCCGTCAGCCAGCGCCAACACTCACAAACTCGGTGTTCCCCCAGCCCTACTCTAAGGCCGCAGCTCCGTGCCAGAATTCAAGGCGAAAATCAAAAGGACTGGCTGTCGACATCGTCCGCTCGACCTACTGTTTGCGTAGCCGCCGTGAGATGTGTGTTACCTATCGGATAGACATGCTTCATGCCCAGCCGAGCTGACGAATATGCCTCGCCCGGGCTGTGAGGCCCGGTTTCGAATTATTAAAATCAAGCCATGAACCGCTCTGCGAACATGTGCGTCTTGCTCGACTTTAATTATTCCGTGCCAGGCTCACTCTTCGTGGGCATGCTTGCCAGACACATCTCGTAGCGGCCAATATCCAAGGAGCCAGGGGACCAGAGCATCAGTGCTTGGACATGAACAGCGGGTAGACCTCTCTTTCGTTTGGTAGGCTTCTTCACCGATGCTGACGGCGGTGAGTTGATGTAGCCTATGACATTGACCCACTCGCCGACCGAAGTTTGCTCTGCTGTGAGCTTCTCGAGCAGTAAGCGCACATCAACCAATGCCTGGACTTCGGTTGGTTTAGGGAATTTGTGCTGCAGCGTAAGCTGCCCTGAAGCGGTAGTGTAGGACGTGACACTGTGATCCAGGTCAGTCAAGACTGCCCTTGACCAAAAATAAAAGCTCTCAGGTAGAGAGCCGGATGGTATTCGAAATCACACAATCTTTGAGGCAAGCGCTTCAAGGCCTTGGTTTTGAAAGGGTCCACCAGCGAACATACCATCCTAAAAAGCGCACTTTAGTACCGGCGTCGCAAGAGGGGAGAGATGACAGCAGCGTAAGCTTCGATGGCAAAGGGGTGCTGGACATTTCAACACCCAGCAACAACAGGCGCCAGGGTTCCGGAAGGCTGAAGACTGGGTCGCAGGTCCATCTCAGGGGTCATTGATGGCAGGAATGGAGGATGAAGGCTCCTATAATTACGGGAAAATGGTCAAGGCGCATGGAGCAAGATCAAGCGAGATGGTGGTGACGAGTACTGTTGTGCTAGAATCCGGTGCCCTCGTTTCCAATGCCTGAACAGGCTCACGGCTCGCAGGCAGCAGAGGCAGCAACGGATCGGGCTGCAGTGACTAAGCAGGCCGCGGCTAAATGCCGGACGCCTGCGGCTGCTTGTTGACTAGCGCGGGTCATCACAAGGCCAAGCACTGACGAATCGTGCTTGCATCATACCTCGTCCTTTCTTTAGGCTTCTACCTATCACCCTGGCATCTTGACTGCCTTTGCGAATCGATCCACACTGACGACGACCTCTCTCGCGACGACCTCCCACACGCATCTACTGGGCCCCCTTCCGAATCTATAAGGACCGAGCTGCGACACCGGCCTGGCTGCGGTCAAAACCCCGCTATCAACGGACGAGTCCTCGGGTCCAGACCCAAATCATCTGCCGCATTTCGTTTCGCCCCGCCGCCCTCGATAAGCGACCACGACGCTCGATCTCCCCAGAGACGCATTTCATCGGATCTCTCCTCCTTCTGCATACCAATACGTCTTTGAAGCAAAATGTCTGGCTGGGGCCTGGGCTGGTTTGGCGGGGCCTCTGCTCAGAAGCAGAAGAATGCCCCCAAGAACGCCATTCTCGGGCTTCGGTCACAGCTCGACATGCTGCAGAAGCGCGAGAAGCATTTGCAGAACCAGATGGATGAGCAGGATGGCCTAGCCCGGAAATACGTCGCCACAAACAACAAGACTGGTGAGGACAGACTATTGCACAGACGAAGTTGGTTGCTTGGTCGCACGTGCTAACCTTGTCCCCCTTGACAACAGCCGCAAAGACCGCACTGAAACGCAAGAAGCAGCATGAGCACAGCCTCGAGCAGACACAGGGGCAGATTGGAACGTTAGAGGCGCAAATAAATGCAATCGAGTCGGCCAATATCAACAAGGAGACGCTGCTGGCGATGGAGAAGGCCAGCGAAGCGATGAAACAAATACACGGCAAGCTGACGCCCGAGAAAGTGGATGAGACAATGTGCGTACTACTCCCCACTTCCTTCCGCCTGTGCGTCTGTTTGGCATGCCTTGCTGACCATTATTGCGAACCAGGGACAAGCTACGGGAGCAAAACGCCCTCAGCGAAGAAATCGTCAACGCCATCACAAGCAACCAAATCGGAGAGCCTATCGACGAGGAAGACCTGGAGGCCGAGCTGGACGAGTTACAGCAGGAGCAGCTGGACGAGCAGATGCTCAAGACTGGAACAGTGCCGGTCTCGGATCAGATCCAGCGAGTGCCTGCCGCACCCCAAGATAGTGAGTTACACCCCCCGGGCGCCAAATCTCCCGCACATGCTGACAGGCTCAAACAGTCAAGGGCAAGACGCCGGTTGCGGCACAGGAGGACGACGAAGAGGAAGAGCTGCGAAAGCTGCAAGCCGAAATGGCCATGTGAGAAGTCTCGAGCTGCATGGGGAACAGATAGAGCGTCGGCAGGCAACATCAAGGACATGTCCGCAGACTGATGGCCTGGTGGCAGAAGTGGACCGAGAGGCTGCTCAGGGCAGATGGGCAAGAATTACTGTTGCAGGGAGTCTTTCCGCGGCTGGCGTTGGCGTACAGGAGGCTGCATTCGTGATTGCGCGGAAATTAAGGAGACAGGATCGAGGCAGCCAGCTATACAATTTCCAAATCATATTGAAAGGCCTGCCGGGCTTCCTACCCATGCTTGATAGACCGATGGAGGCTCACATGTGGGAGACTGCGTGGGTAGCTCTATATGGCACGAAGGTCAACCTTAGATGGGCTGCTCAGCTGCATGGCTGTGGGAACCCACTTGATGCCGATGTACACCAGGGCGTGAATCACTCGGAATGGTAGCAAAGACTTCCGCAGTCCCCGCTGAATCTGCTGGATCTGCTGAATCTGGGTTGACAACCTTGCTTCCGCCACGGTCAAGGATGACATTGGGCAACGCGCTCACCAAGTTTCGGAACCTTGGTGGACAGCGCCCAGAGCAGCGAGGCAAGGCTGTCAGCAAGCGAAGAACATCGCTCAGCCTGATTCCTTAGCGGGCCCGTCTGTTCATGAGTGGACATCTGCAGCAAGACTGTGTGGGCCTGGCTTGAACGTGCTTGGTCAACAGTCAATTTCACCGCGGGCATTACAAACCATGGTGACTTGGCCAGGCTCTAATATTCATGGGAAGAATGACCGAGCTGTGATTGTGAGCATATACAATGCTGCACGTGGTGGAGGCCGTCCTGCTGAAATTCTGGGATTCAAGTGTTAAGGAAGTCGGAGTCACACGAGTAAGTTCACCTGTTTGGGCTCGGAAAGCCAATATAGCAATAGAGACGTGCCCGAGCCTAAACGCTTCGTACAGCACAGCACACAAAAGATCCACTGCATGAAGCAACCGTGAGATAGCATCGTTCATAGGACAGTGGGCTTTGCGTGCTTGGTGTTGTGTGGAATGAAATGAATAAGGCGAGTCGTGATCAATGCACATCCGTGGGAGGTGGTCAATAAGGCAGGGAAGACGCGTCTTCTTGGTCCAGAGTGGCTTTAGTCCAGGTATGTATCCATGTACTTTGGATTGCTGCCAAACACCCCTCAGAATAATTGTACTGGCTACTTGGGCATGCTGTCAGATGCAAGGCCACACGATCAAGAGGAACCAACGGCAACACTCCCGCGTCATCTAGTGTGCGGCCATCGCCTAGCTCATAGAACAGAAGTCTGACAATACTACTGATCAGAAGGCCAGCCTCGCTGATGCAACCTTGACACAGTTCATCTCAAATCGAATCTCCATCGCCATCTAATGTTCCAGAAAGATCGTCGAATGCTCGCTCGCCAGGTCAGCTCGAATGTCGGCGCGTGTTCCGGGACTGCAACCTCCCAAGACCTCTGGGGCCTTGTCAGACAGTCAGCACCGTCTCGTCCGATGTATTGGAACCCATGGGTGCCTAACAACATCCCGGAGTCCCGCGACCTCGGGAACCAAACCTGAGGGATGATCCATCGACATAGAGGACGCCATAAGTTGGAACGCATGAAGGACATTTTAGGAGCAGCTTTCCAAGGCGTCAACAGCCCGTCCTTAGCACTCCATATATCACGGGGTACACAGTGATTTCATGCCTCCGCCCCACACAGTCAATAGACTCACGGCGCCTCGACGATCGTGCATAGTTACCGCACCAGCCGCTGCGGTCATCACGTTCGGGTTATTCACGCGTTGGCGCCCACCCTTCAGGTCCTCCCGGGTACACACTGTACATGCACTGATCAGTACGGATCAGCAAGCGACCACCCAGCTAGCGAGCCACGTAGCACGCAGAAAAAGTCGATATCTGCAAACCAACGTACCACCTGCAGCACGGCTGTGTCCTGTCATTGGACGACCAGAACACCACAACACCTCCTGGTGACCCTGTCCTGTCTCTTATTGTCTGTCACAACGGGCAGTCCCATGGTTGGGCTTGTCGTCCAGCGTCCTGCCGTGCCAACCATCGCTCAACGAACAGCAGAGAGCCCGGCACGGTCAGGAACCTTCTCAGGTCCCAAGCCGTCAAAGGACCTGGCAACCCTGGAGAATCGTGGCTATAGACCACAGTAGCAGGCCACGTTCTGCTCGAAAGGGCTTAGCTCGTCTATTTCTTCGGCGCTACCCAGTGCCTGAGTGCGGGTAGGCGACATGCATCCGCAACATGGATGGAAAACGATGCTATCCCGCGTCGACCGGCAGCTTCTTTATAGCCGCGGACAGGTTGACAACACTGTACATCCCGCCTCAAAATCGGCCTCGCAGATCTAGAGTACATACCCACGACCTGTCTCATGCATGATTCTGAGTTTTGGGCCTGTTGGGCCGCCAGGAGCCCCCCCATCTCCGGATCTCTGTCGCACGGAGTGGTCTCCCGTCGTGGTAATCCCATACAAACCTTTCATTTGCAATGAATGATTCGCATTGCTTGTCTGCCTCGGCTTTCCTCGATGTGTTTTGACGTGGCGCCAGTGCCAGTCACGACCGCGCATCGGCCAATCGATCCCCGGCAAAATGCTTGTCGTGGGCGTCCCAAACTTTCTCCATTGAATCATTTCGTTGGCATTGACAGGCCCTTGGAAGTTTTTCTTAAAAGTGGAAACTGTGGAATTTCACACCGCGGGGCATCGCGATTGCAACAAATGGACCCTCTTCGCCTTTCAACAAACTGTTGCCGGGGACACCCCATCCCACCATCAGACCGTCTCTCTCAATTTTTCAAACTCCCTCTTCATGTCCCTCGGTGACCTTGCAAGCATCTCCCTCCTGGCTCACCGTCTTCAGGTTGTTTGATCCGATACATATCACTTCAGGTCGAAAGCCTGCATATACCTCCGGCACCCGCATATCAAGCTGTGCGGGCTGCAAAACTTTTTTCTCTTTTGTGCATACAGTATTTACCAGTCGTAAAGCGTCTGCATCATTGCTTCTTTTACCATATACCCAACCGTCAGGTCGCTATCTGATCCTCGTCTGCGTGCCACGACAGCACACCCTCGTGACTGCACACCACCCAATCGACTCAACCGCCTCCAAACCTGCCGCCCCACAGGACGCAAGATCCCTTTGGGCATTGATTGTCTTGACCTTACCTGCATATCTGCAAGACCCGAGAACTAGCACGTTGCGTCACCTTTATGGCGAACGACATTAAAACCCAGGACCTGTCTTCTCTTGACACCTCCTTCGACCATCAGGCGTCGCAGCCCGCGGTCCCACCAGTATGAGCTTCCCAACTAACAGTATCGAATACTGTCCCGTCCGGACAAACATCGACTGGTCTCAAGTCCAGTTCTCGGATTATCCTAATCAAGAAGTGCAGGTAGCGGACTACTCCAAGGTTGAATACTTCCAACCCTCTGACTCCGACGAGGAGCAGAGCGACGACGCCGTCCAGAATGGCAACGGCACAAGTAAGTGGTTACCGTTGCGTATCAATTCAACGCGCATGCTCACAAAGGCGTAGATGGACACGCTGCTGAGGCCGGTGATGTAAATGGCGGAGAACCTCTCTCTCCCACATCACCTATGGATGGCACAACACCCATCAGCAGCAAGACGGCCAAAAACAAGGCCAAAAAAGCAAAGCAAAAGGCAAAGGAAAAGGCGAAGAAAGCCGCTGCTCTGTCCGGGGAATCCACCCCGTTGGAGACCCCAATGACACCATTGTCGCCCACATCACCCACCGGCCAGCTTGGCGAGGGTGAAGAGACAGCTACTCCCAAGAGCAAGTCCAAGAAGAAGAAGAAGAAGTCCAAGTCAAAGAACAGCTTGGATTCTGCCCCTACTACTCCACCCCCAGAACTTGCTTCTCCCGGAGAAGTAAGCACCAAAGAGCCCGAGTCTGCTGCAGCTCCTGAGCCGGTGAAAGACGTCACTGAGGACGCCCCTGCTCCAGCCGAAGCCACCAAGGCCGTCGAGCCGGAACAGCCTAGTGAGAGCAGTACGGCAGCTGTGGAACCCCCTAACGACCCCGTCCCAGAGGGCACTGCCCCCGGCGTGTCTGAGGAGGTCGCTGAGCAGGCCCAGACCAACGGAGATAGCCCTGCTTCTGCAGAAGTCGATAACGGCGTCGCTGCTACCGAAGAGAAGCAAGAGGCTGCACCGGAACCGATTGTAGACGCCGCCGAGCCCGGCGAAGCGAAGGAGGACGTCACAGCCGATACTCCCGTCATTGACGATTCGGCCCCAACCTCCGTAGAGGAGCCCGTCGGCAACGACGTATCCCAGCAGCCTGCCCAGGAGTTACCAAGCCTCGACAGCAAGGACGAGGCTGCTCCTGCGGTTGTGGAGACCAGCGAGGCTCCCAAAGAGGCTGAGATCCCCGAGAGCAAAGACGACGTCAGCCCCGCTGATGTCGAACCTGTTCAGCCGGCCGAGGAAAGCCAAATTCCAGCAGCTCAGGAAGAAATCGCTGCCTCAGCGGAAGAGACCAGCGAACCAGCCAAGGAAGCCGACACTGTTCAGAGCCAAGAGCCAAGTGCAGCTACCAGCGACAATGCACCAGAGCCTCAGCAGCCTGAGGCTGACGTCCCAACAAAAGAAGAGGTAGCTGTCGTACCTGAAGAGACTTCGCCTGCTGAGGCCAAGGAAGCAGACATTGACGCCGGAGTCGTCAAGGAGGACATCCAGGAACCATCTGTACCCGAGCCAGACACCGCCGGCAGCAACGTCGAGGAGGTCGCGGCGCCCGCGTCATCTGAAGGCCCAGAGGAGAAGTCTGAGATCTTGGCCGAGTCTCAGCAGGAGCCCGTGAGCACTGAGAGCCAAGAAACAGCGGCACCTACTTCTGAGGAGACAGAATCAGCTTCAGTCGAGGAAACGTCAACGCCAGCGCCTCTCAGCACCGAGGAGTTGAAGCCGCAAGCCGACCTCGTGCAAGACGACCAGGCGGAAGTCGCTGACGCGGCTCCGCTAGCCACGGATGAGCAGCCTGCGGCTTCAGAACCTACGGAAGAGTCCAAACCAGCCGAACAGACTGCCGTGCCTGAGCTGGCGGGCTTGGAGGCAAAGGAGTTTTCTCAGGACGATGCCGCTGAGCCGGAGCCGGCGAGCAACGCTGCTGATCCCGAAATCGTATCTGCTCAGAATGAGGTCACTTCAGCTAGCGAGCAGCCAGCAACTGTCAACTCAGAGGAGGTCCCAGAAGTTGCAATCATCGTAGAAAGCCAGGACGTCGATCAGGCTGAGGAGGCGGCTGCCAAGGACGAGCCCAGTGAGCCGGTTCCTGAAGCTGTCAGCGAGGACAAGCAAGATGATGCCTCAGAAGCCCCTGAAGTTAGCAACGATGACAAGAAAGATGACAGCACACCGGTCCAGATCGAGCAAGAAACATCGCCGGCACCGGCAGAACCTCAAGCTACTGTTGAGGAAGCCAAGGAGGACATCATCTCGCAAGAGGCCGAGGCAATCCAAGAACCGAGCGCCGACAAAGCGGAAGAGAGCCCAGCAGTCGTCTCCGAGGACGCTCAAGAGAGCGTTCAAGAGGAAAGTGCGCCAGCGGAGCACAAGCCCGAGGAGAGCCAAGTTACGGAGAGCCCTTCAGTCGGTGACGACGCTCCTGCGAGTTCCGAGGTCGCCAAGGAGGCTTTGCCGGAACAAGCATCAACTGAGAGCGATGCTGCTACGGCCGTTCCCGCTGCCGAGGAAGTCGCTTCACCTGAGAGCTCTTCTGAGAGCGCACCTGTTGAGGTTATCGCCGCCAGCGTCCCTACTGCTGCTGAAGAGGTCACTTCCCCGGAGAGCGTGCCTGCTGGTACCGAATCCCCAAACGAGGAGCGCGAGTTGAAGACCGAGGATGCCCCTAACACAGAGGACACGCCTGCAGTTGAGGAGACGCCTGCAGTTGAGGAGACGCCCGCCGTCGAAGAGACGCCTGCAGTTGAGACGCCCGCAGTTGAAGAGACGCCTGCAGTTGAGGAGACGCCTGCAGCTGAGGAGACGCCTGCAGTTGAAGAGACACCTGCAGTTGAAACACCCGCAGTTGAAGAGACGCCTGCAGTTGAAACGGCACCTGTTGCCCAGGAATCGCCCGCCACTGAAGAGACTTCGGCGGATGCTCAGCCATCGCAAGAAGAGACTCTGGAGAAGGTCGAGGATAGCAAAGAACAAGCTTCCAGCGAGAGCAGCCCCGACGCACCCCAAACCGAAGATGCCAAGGACACCGCCGAAGTGGTACCTGCCAGCGTCGAGGAGATCCCAGCCAGCGTCGAGGAGGCCCCTGCCAGCGAATCCAAGGAAGCAGAAACGCCGCAACAAGCAATTGCACAAGAGTCTGCACCCGTGCCACAAGAAGCGAGCGCCCCTGAGCCTGAGCCTCAAGCCGAGGATGAAAAGGCCGCCGATCTGCCAGTTCAGAAGGATGAGGACATCGTCGAGAAGGCCGTGGAACCAAGCGCGGAAAGCACCGAGGACGTCCAAAAAGAAAGCTCAGAAGTGCCCGAGACTCAAAATGAAGTGCAAGAGACGTCAGCTGAGCAAACGTCGGACACGCCTGTGAACGTTCCCGTGGTCGATGGTACGACAGTCCCCGAAGAGACTACCCAGAAGCTGGAGGAGCCTGAAGTCCAGCCTGAGATCAAGGACGATGTCCAACCTGAGGTCAAGGACGATGTCCAGCTTGAGGAGAGCACGCCTGAGGAGAGCAAGCCCGAGGAAACAGTCCCCGTGGAGTCGGGCGGAAGCGTTGAGACAGAGAAGGAAGAGACCGAGGTGAGTCTTTGGTCATTTGCACTCACCCTGTATCTCCTGGCACGGATTTACCTGTTCGAGGAATTTCCACATACGTCTTTTTCTGCTTGTGTTGCCATTTCGACATCCTCTGCTTTCTGCAATGTGGCTTCAATTTATTGACTTTAGGAACACGCATTGCAACCCGTGGAGACAGCGCTAATCAGGACATTAAATAGGTTACCCCTGAGGTGTCTGCTGAGTCACAGCCTGTCCAGGCAGAGGGCATATCAGAGCCAGAGACCCAAGCACCGGAGACCGTTGCAGAACCGGAGACCGCTGCAGAACCGGAGACTGCTGCAGAACCGGAGACCGCTGCGGAACCGGAGACTGCTGCGGAACCGGAGACGGAGCTCGAAAAGCCAGTAGAGGCGCCAGCTGAGCCAGAAGTAGCTCAGACAGCGGTGACCGACTCACAGCCCGAGAAAGAAGAGGACAAGGTCGCTGTGGAAGAAGCCGCGCAGCCCGAAGCTTCACAGGCGGAAGAAGCCGAGCCACAGCAGCAGAGCCCAGCGGATGCTGCCGCTCCCGAGGCGGCCGAGAAGGCTCCCGAGGCGGTTGAGGATGCTCCCGAGGCGGTCGAAAAGACCCTCGAGCCTACGGATCAGCCGACGGACACTCAAAAGCTTCCCGAGAAGGAAATACCCGCTGATGAGCAGAAGGAGCAAGCCTCGGTCGTGGAGGATGGAATTAACGCAGAAATTTTGGCGGACAAAGGTGAGGTCCCCCCGACTGCAATTGATGATACCCATGATGTTCAGAGCCATGTTGCTTCAAATCCTGTCGACGAGAATTTGCTTGCCGTGGGGGAAAGCCAAAGCCGTGATATCTCTGTCGAGAGCACGGAAATACCAGGCCAGATCGAGGAGGCCACCAGCACTGCTTCAGGCACGGAAGTTGCCCAAGCTACGACTGAAAGCACGACTGTCGAGGACACGTCTAATGATAATGAATTAATGACGTCGAACGATGCCGACGAAACGATACCCGTTCAGACAGACGTCGAAACACCTGTCGTCGAAACTTTAAGCACCAGCGAAGATCAACCGGCAACGTCCGAAGTCGTCGGACATGAGCCCGGGGCCGAGATTTCGAGCGGTGACAACAAAATTGACCGACCTGATGAGGTCGTTGCGGAGGCCGATACTCCGACAGAGACAATCGAGGAGGCCACCTCACAGGAGGCTATCCCACAGGAGGCTGGCGAACAGACCCAGCCCGACAACACCGAGAGCGTAGAGCACCAAGGTCAAGCAGATGCTCACGAGCCAACGAGCGTGACCAATGAGTCTGACGCTACTCTTGAGGACTCAACCGACAAGTTGGTTGCCGGAGCTGGCGCGTTGGCAGCTGGGTCTTTGTTGGTTGCCCCTGCGGTGGTGGAAGCAGCCCGTGATGCTGTCAAGAATGACGACCAGAGCTCCCAGGACGACATAGTTCGGGACACTTCTGAGGGTATCCCCAACGAGCCTTCGGCTCATGATCTCCCCCTTTCTTCCCCCTCCCCCGATGCTGCTACGACTGTTGCATCCTCCAAGAATCAATCTGCCGGGTCACAGTACGGCACCTTCACATCAGATCAACAAGAACCGCAAGCCGTTCAAAGTGACTTTGAATTGCGCGAGCGTTCTGTTGCCAGCGGTGCCAAATCTTCAGCCAAGTCTTCTCAGCAGGACGTCGTGGTGAAGGATGAGGTTGTGGCTAAGCCAAGCGCTGCATCTACAACACCAGGCAAGCTTACCATCCTTGCGTCCATGGCCCTCGGTGCGTACGCAGTTTTCAAGCTTGCTAATGGTGCGTGGGGCTCAAGATATCCTTGAGTCGCCTGATGAGCCAGGGCCCGTGAGTGCCAACGACAATGACCCGGTCGTTGTGCAGGAGGGCGTAAATACTGGGTCTGGGGACGGGGATGAGGATCAGGGAGATCGTGATGATGAAGCCGTTGTGAGAGATGCTGACGAAAAGGATATCGCCACTCAATCTGCGGTCGAAGATGTTGCTCAGCCAGTCGTCGAAGACTCGAATGACTTCTCCGAGCCGCCGAGTTCACCAATTGTCCTAGAACCAGTCGAGGAAGTCCCAACCATTGATTCAAGCGAACAGCAAGCAGACTTGAGCACCGAAATCGCGCAAGTAATACGAGAAGGTGACCAACATGAGTCTGAGCATACCTTGGAGCAAGACATCGAATCGCCATCAGTACCGCAAGTCGAATCTGGCACATTAGAAGAACAATCCGCGAATCAGTCCGAAGACATCCTCAAGGACGAGGCGTTGCCTGGAGAACCGATCCCTGAGAACACGGAACCAGATGAAGTCCAACCAGAGCCGTCTTTGCATCAAGACGAGATCGTCTCCAACCCAGATGAGCAGCCAGCAGCCGTCTCTGAGCAACAGCGTCCATTGACTCCTAATATCATCGAGGACTCACAGATCGAGTCAAATACCGAATTTTCTCCTGCATCTACTGAGAGAAAATTGCCTGAGCCCATTATCGTTGCGCCGTCTTCTCCTGGTCAAAACACTGAGGAACCTGCCGTGGTCGAACAGTCTACCATCGACGCCACCACTGTCGAACAACCCAGCGTTGAAGCCCCGGTACATGATCATTCTACAGTCGAGCAGGCTGATGATACGGGACACCAGCCAGACGCTCAGCTTCCGGAAGAAATTGTAATTGTACAACAAGAGCAAGTCGACAAAGATCTGTCACCCGAATTGTCACATGAAAATCCACCCGATGTGGAGCCAAGCGCACAAGACCAGGCAGGATCGGAAGGGGAGCCCGTCATTGACGAAACAACTCTGGGCGAATCTCATAGCCCAGAAGAACCCAAAGATCCCGGGGAGAGCCGACCTGACTTGGAAAATCTCGAAGATCCGCAAGTCACAGATACAGTCGATTCAGAGCAACCAGGTGGCTCGGATGACGCACAACCAGAAATTGAGCTCGAGCAAGGGGACCAAGAAGACACTGTCTCACCCGAGGAGCCGTCAGACTTGAGCCCCGTCGAAGAACATGTTCAGTCAAGTAGCGGGTCCGCCGATGTTGCGCCCGATGCTCCCTTGGATCAAGTGGAGGAGAAATTAGAAGACCAACTGTCACCAGGCGATGTTGAGAAATCTTCTGAGGAGGCTGCCGTGTCGTCCCCCAATCCTGACCAGAGTGACGACACAGTACCTGCCATTACCTCACTTGATGATTCCCCTGGCGACGCCATTGGCACGCAAGAGGATTCTCACCAGGCCGAGGCTGCTGAAGCTTCTGATGAGGTACCTGCAGACAACACGATAGGCACTGTGGATGGCTTGGACCGTGACTCTCTCGGATTGCCTGCTGAGGAAGAATCATTCAAGGTCGAACAAGACGCACCTGAAGCCTCTCTGGAATCTTCGGACGTTTTGCCCGTAGCTGACACATCTACCGTGGAAGAGACATTGCACAGCGGTGACGCTCCAACACAGGAGGAAACGCATCAAGAACCTGATAACGAGACTATCGACAACCTGGTTGTGCCATCCAATACCAGTGTCGAAGAGTTGTCACCAAGCCCTCTGGAGCAAGAACCAGCTATCGGCGACATGTCAGAGCCTCAACCTGATACCGCTGCCAACGAGGATGTCGCCAACGAAGGTGTTGCCAACGAGGGTGTCGCCAACGAGGGTGTCGTCAGCGAAGACGTCGTCAGCGAAGAAATCGCCTCAGAGCAACCCGTGACAAGCGAACATGTTGAAGACACCGTGGAGGAGCCACAGCTGCCAATCTCGACATCTCAAGATGAACCTTCAGCCGAAGGCCAGGCTCCCAATATTGACTCAGAGCAAGTCAAAGGCCAAGACGACGGCACAGAAGACGAGGAGGGTATCGCAAATGAGGCTATTCCTCCACCCGTTGAAGCTTCAGTCAATGAAGATGAGCCTGTGACGAAGGAGCTAGAAGTCCTTCCAGAAACTGTGGCGCCCGCTGATGAACCTGCCGACATGTCACTGTCTAAAGATGACCTCGAAACATCTACAACGGCACCTGAAGACACAACAGTCGTTGCCAGCGAAGAACAGGACAACAATATCTCTGAGGCGACTGGAGTGGACGCTCAACCTGACGTATCGTCCGAAGTCGTGGTTGATCACTCTGCGAATGAACTTGACACTGTCACCGGGCCAACTCTACCTGTCTCTAGCAGTGAGAACGCCTCTGCACAAGCTTCCCCTGAGCCACCATCTTCAGGCCAAGATGAGGCAGTATCTCGTGAACTCGAGAATGATGAGACGCTGAGCCCGCCAGAGGTTCAGCCGCACGACGATGCTGAGCTTTCGAAAGAGCCAGGCGATGGTGTTGGTGAAGAGCTAGTCCAGCAGGATGGCATTGCAATTCCTGAACAACAAAATGCTGAATCTGCAGTAGAAGTTCAAGAGAATGAGCCTCCTGAGGGGCAGGAAACTCTAGCCGAACCTATCACAGACGCAGCCAGCTCCAAAGGGGAAGATCCCGCTCTCGAGGGCGCTACGGAAGACCCTGCTTCTAAAGACATCAGCGAGCAAGATCAAATGCCAGCAGAACCCGACGAAGAGCCGGTCATCGCTGAGGAAACTTCGGCAGAACCAACTTCAGGTGCGGATGTAGTCACAGACGCCTCATCGCCAGAGGAATCCGAGACTCCAACTGAGGATGCATTGCCTACCGTTGAAGATCATGGGCCAGATAGCACAGAACAGTCTGGGCCGGCGGCGGAGGTATCTGAAGACGATAGTCATCTCAAAGAAGCTGGAATTGCCGCTGTCACTGCTGCCGCAGCTGGAGTTGCTGTTCACGAACTCGTGTCTAGCAAGGAAACAGAAGGCGACGACCAAGTTGCCGTTCCTCAGTCTGCAGACGAGGTTGAGCGGCCCAAAACAGCTGACAAAGCTACTGGTACGCCGGAGGCAACGACTCCAGATCAGAATGACCTCGAAGTGCGGTCGATCTCATCAGCTGCCCCTGACAGCCCTGAGGAAGTCTCTTCGCAACAGCCGCTGTCCGAATCTTTCACCATGGTCGATCCGCGATTGAGCAGTGACCAGGACCGATCCGTCGCAGACTCGACTGAAAAGCCAGTGCTCCTGAGCCGCGTTGATTCATCGACCCAGACTGATGAGCTGTGGCGGCCAAAGACCCCTCTTGCCAGAAGCAGCACTCCTGGGATAGTGTTACCGGATCCCAATGATGAAGAGACCAAGGGAATGAATCGGGGCAGAAGCGTCAGGAGAATGAGCAAACAGAGTGTGAAGCAAGCCGAAGAAGTCGTCGCCGCTGCAGTCATCATCCGCGCTGCGGCCGACACTCTTGGCGAAACCAGCGATCGGATGGCAGGTCACGTCAAGGATTTGAAGCAACATGGAGAAACAACCGCTCCTGCGACATTGCAGGTTGATGGGAGGGGTACGAGGGTTGCGGATACTAGCACTCCTTATGATTTCATCGCTAACCCAACTACAGGCAAGGAGTCTTCTAAGGCAGATGACAAGCTTCCGAGATCACCACGTTCAAAAGAGCACAGGGCTAGTCACTCCTCACGGTCTAGTCGCCCAAGCACACGTGAGGATGGCACCATCAGATCCTCACACCATCGACACTCGTCTCACAGGCACCGGCCAGATGGCGAGCGAGATGCTGAGCAAAGCCCACGCACACCGCCAAGACGTCAAGATACCGCTGAGAGCGCACAGGGCAGCCACAGCTCTCGTTCTCGTCGCGAGCGCACACCTCAAGAGCAAGCCGAGCACGAACGACGCAAGGAGGAGCGTCGTCGAGAGAGGGAGAAGGCGAAGGCCGAGTCACCGGTTGCGGAAGCCAAGGGAAAAGAAGTCGAGGCACCACCATCGGCCGATCGCTCTCACCGAAGCTCTCGGCGCCACAGCTCTACGCGCCACAGTGTTACTTCGCCCTCCAACACTTCCAAGACCGAGTCGTCAGCTCCCGCGCCAAGCAAGAAGTTCTTCGACATGAAGAACGGCGAAAGCGTGATGGGTTCCAACTTCGGCGGTCCTCTGACGGCCGATACCGCCTCCACTTCCACCAAGGATAAGGACACTGTCTCATCCTCTCGCCGTTCCAAGGACGTCACCCGGCCACCTCCAGTTGAGCTCAAGCGATCCAGCACCACACGCTCCAGCAAGGGCATCCGGCGCTCACTGGACCAGTCTCATGCGAAGCTCCAGAAAGCTCGTGAGCAGGAGTCCACGAAGGCGGCCAAGGAGAGCCACCCACGTGGGGACAGCAGCTCCCCTGGCCCGGGTGCTTCAGCTGAGACGAAGAAGTCAAAGGAGGATGACAAGCACCGCAGGTCGAGGCTCGAGAAGCGTGAGAAGGAGGAGAAGGATGAGAAGAAGAAGAGTGGTGGTCTCAAGGGCATGTTCAAGAGGCTCTTCTCGAACTAAGAGCGATGAGCTGGCGAGAATGAGGGCGGATTGTGGTCTCCGGGGTTTATCTAGTGTGTTCGTTCACTTCTATGGTTGTCTTCTGATTCTTGGTTATCCTTGATGGTGGCCTACCTCGGCTGGATGGCAAACGATTTTGATGGATCGTGTACGACTTTGACAACAGAATTGTTAGGAAGATTGAAAGAAAAAGGAGGGCTGCAAAAGCTGATTTATAGGAGGGTAGAAGGAAAGGTAATACCGCCGATCTATCCGGGATTGTATGAATGAATCTCACATCTCACTTTCACACTAAGCACTCGTCGAACAAGCTTGTGAATGAATTGTAATTGAGCCTCTAATTTATAGTAAAAGATCTCGAACCCGGGAAGACTGTTACCTGGAAGATTCCCAAACAAGTCATGTCTCTAGAGCCAATGTGTCTTGCTTTCATGGTCGAGAGATTGAGCGCCTCTATAATTAGCGACCCGAATTGTTTTAAATCAAATAATAAGAGTAGGCTCATCTTCCTCCCAGGTGTAGGACATACTTTGGTGTGAGTGGTCGGCTTCCCCACTTTCTAGAGATAGGTCTATATATCGGGATGATGATATTGAACTCGTATGGGTGACTGATCTGTGATTTCTGCGTGATTGCACCCTGAACAATTGGGAAAACAAAAAGAATTCTCCAAGGAGCATCCTAATCTTCAAACCGCCTCTCCCACACTGGAGTGTTTGTCATCAATCTTTGTTCGACATCTATCGGCTGCTGCCCCCGGACAGAGGACCTAGTCATTTCTCACACCCAATAGGCTCTTTGACTGACTGATTGCATTTTTCTTGTGTTGTATTGAGAGCTCGATTGTGATCCAATTTTATTACCTCTATGTCTTTCACTATGTCTAGAAAGCTTGCCAGCATTTACTTGTTCAGCCGCGACGCTCTCTCTGGGTCCCTCCAATAGAGGCACGCCTCCCTTCGAATCACATCCTTCTCAACCGTTGTCCCATTTGGCTGGACAAGCAGCTGTACAGCAGGCTCCGAATCCAGACCATATCCGGACGGAGTATACTGGGGCCACTCGGGGCTTCCCGGGTACCTCAGCGTGTTGGGGTCACCCGTTGCTACGAAACTAGCTATGTATGCATGGTATAGGTGGCTGATTTCAGGATATTGTACGCTTGGCTCGTTCCAGGTGTACTTCGTGTCCGATGTATGCGGGATGCCCTGCCACGCCGGGTACGAGTTGTTCGTGTTGAATCTCCCCTTCCAGGTAGGAACACCCGCAGTCGACACGCGGTAAGCTGTTTCCTGACCTGGACAAATATACGCGAAATCACTGAAGGCGGCAGAGAGTCGGTTGTATTGCGTACTGTTTGGAGAGTTGGCGAAGGGCGATGAAGGGTCCGTGGACGGATCGGGGTACAGTGAGTCCAATAAGGCAATGTCGGTTTCGTTCAAAGCCGGAGAGATGTTGTGCATGAAGTCCAGGAACTCTTCGTTGGTTTCGAGCGTGCCAATGGTGTAGTACTTTCCCTCGTCCGAAACAGTGGTGGACATGACGGGCACCTTGAAAAAGGTTTCATCGTAGCCAGACTGCGACCCAAACTTCTCTAGAAGTGGCCCGCCTTGGACGGGCTGGAAAGGCCAGGTGATGTTCGGGTTGTATTCGTTGTACAAATCGACGCTGATGTTGCGAATCGCGTTGATGTCCGCTGACCGCAGGCAAGCCAAGGAGGCCGCGTTGTCTCCTTCAATTGGACATCCGAGATAGTTCGTGAACTTGTCCAACTGCTCTTGGTAGAGCGGGTAGGTAGCGTTGGGGAATGCCCGGGCCGTAACGGACCCAGATTGGTGGTACACCTGAGAGAAGAGCGGTTTGCCTTCGTCCTCCCCATAGTTGTGGAACAGGTGGATCCCCACCGAGTGTCCTCCTGCAGAACGGCCAGCGATGGTGACCTTTTCCGGGTCGCCACCAAAAGCCGCGATGTGCTTCTGGACGAATTGAAGAAACAGTTTCTGATCACGGAGTCCAAGGTTGAGGAGACCCTCCTCGTCGAACAGTGCCGACGGCAAGAATCCCAGAGAGTTGACGCGGTAGTGAAAGTTGACGACCACTATTGGTGATTCCGACGAGGCCGCAAAAGCAGCACCGTCAAAGGATTTGTAGCTTCCAGAGTAGAAAGCTCCTCCATGGATCCAAACCAGAATCGGGAGCTTCTCGGTCAAGGGAATGCCCTGCGGCCGGAACACATTGAAGTTGAGGCAAGCCTCATCCTGAATTGCGATGTTGACGCTGGTGGGATCTTGGACGCAGGCTTTGCCGTACTCTGTCGCGGGCTTCACTCCTTCGAATGCTTCTGGCCAGTCCACCGGGGCAAAGCGGCCCTCGCCGACCGGTTGCGTCGAGTAGTCAATACCGAGCCACGCGTCAACCGGCGCAGGCAGTGCTTTCCCACTAAGCGTCTGGTTGACGGTAGTTCCAATGAAGCTTCCGTATCCATCGAGCCTCACTGTTCTGTTCGTCAACAGCGGTTGCTGCAGCGTCACGGCCGCGGTTGTGCCCGCCAGGTATGCCGCAAGCCCGATGAGGGCGCCAGTACTGAGAGAGGGCATAGTGGGCAGAACAATTCCCGAGGCAGTCCCAATCGAGCGGAGGGCTGATCCGACGAGGCGCTCCATTCTCTCCATGTGTAGCCGTGCCGGTCACATTCTTTTATATTGTCTAGGTGTATCTGTAAATCTTCAGTTCCGGTCACGGTGCGCAGCAGGGATGTTCGTCATTACTCGTTCCTATCACAGCATCCGACGGATTGGAGATAGCACGCACAATAATCGCCCACGAGGGGTGGAGATTTTCTACTACCATACTCCACTTGTGTCAACGCCTCCGCGTGAGTCTAATCTCCCCAGACTTGGCATCCGGCGCGGTGTGTTAATATTTCGCACATAGAGTTGCGTAAGCACGCTATATGTGCTCCGTTCCAGCCAGTCCGTTTGTATTATTACTGCGACGGTCGGGAATAGGCGATATTGCCTCTCTATTTGGGCAGTAGATGCCGAGAACGGGATACCATTGATCGGAAGGCAGCCAGCAGTGCCGTTCATCCCTGTCCCGGCCCTTGCCAGAACAGCTCGCCATACTGGCGAATTTTGATAGGCGGAGCTATCCAATCTGGGCTTTCGATTTATCGGAAGGCAGCGGAAGTGAGGAAGAGCAACAAGTCCGCTGCGTTATCATGATCCGTTCAAGCTGTGTAATTGTTCTATAATTGTTGTCATCGCCGTTGAAGGCACCCCAGGCTGTCTGACAGCTTGAAAATAAATGCCAATGATCAACGCAAAGGGACTGTAAGATATGGTAACTGGCAAAACAACTCAAGGGCGTAGCACGTAGAATGACAAAATTGTTCCCATTTCAACCTTCTGTGAAATCGTTATTTGCGAACCGTGATTGCCGTGGTTCAGACTTTCCCACGTGAAGTGAATGAACGATGCTCAGATGGTTCTGCAAAATAGCTATGTACTGAAATAGTTGGCAAGCAATGCCTCAAGACTCCGTATCACACATTCAAATTAGAGGCATTGAAGATGCAAAGAAAGACTGTGGGAGTAATCGATTTTGACACGCTTGCGGCCTAGGGGATGGCCATGAGAGACTGTTAATGCTACCTAGGTAGTTCGTACTGCTCTGACGCTCGTCAGAAACGTGACTCTGTGACAGACAACATGTCGAAATTGAACTTCCGAGGAATCCCGCCCTTCCCTTGAGCAATAATCAAGCGCGCACAATCATCCTGTAGTAATTTCTTCAGGATATGTTTCCACGTGCCGAAAAGACGCTTAACACGACAAGTGGCTGTTGGTCCTCAGACCGAGGCCGGCCAGAGCGAACTGAGCCAGAGGTGTCTACAATGAAAACAAACAATAGATCGAACGACTCGATTATACGCGGAGTTGAGTTGACCTCACTATAGTTGCCATTCATCTTAAGTGCTCGTTACTCAAGATTCCACTTCGACGGCTGGCTGTGATGTGATTTCCTGACACTTCACCAGTAAATGTAAAGCCGCGACAGGACCCCGCGCGAGCGTGGGATAGGGACCATTCATCGGCTAGGAGAGCATGTTCACGTTTTCGCAGCCCTCGTGGGCAAAGGCATGCTCACCTTTCGAGAGCAGTCACGTGGGCTCCTTAAACGTAATGGTATCATCCTCTTTGTGCTAAATCTCAAAGTCACAACGCCTTGGCAATACCACGTCGAAGGAGCAAAGCCTATCCGCTACACTGACTCTCCATGCTGAGGGCTGACTTGTCACCTCCACAAGACCATACCGGGTATCTTCTAGATATAATTTACAAAGTCTTCGTGGTGTTCCCAGCATCGCTTTTCACCGTCTGTGACCCCGTCGCCGAGGACGCGGTCTTGGACCTCTTGGACCGCATAGGCTGGTAGGCATCGTTGAAGTTCATCGCGACGCCCAGGAAGCGCATGTCTACGTCCGGCTGGTACGCCAGGTCCCCCAGTAGTAGGCACAGCTTGCGCTGAAAGCTCGTCGCCAGGTGCCTCAAGCGTTCCTGCAGGGCGGGGAACTCGGAGATGACGCCGCCGAGAGCGGACGCGAATGGGTCTTCGGACAGTGTGTCGACCACCGGTGTATTGGGATAGGAGCCTCTGGTGCTCGTCGCGACGGATGCAGACTTCATGTGTTTCGATGGTGGGAAGGGTGGTTTCCGCGACGTGGCGGCTGTGCGCACGTCCGCCTCCTGTCGTCGAGTAAACTCCGAGACGGACCATGAATACAGACCATCCACAGAATCCCGGTAGGTCAGCATGTTGTCGAGTATGGACTTGAGCTGCGTCATGTAGTCGCTCCTGTCCTCGAGTTCCGTCATCCCTGGCGCCACATACTGCTTCCTCTTGGCGCCCAGCAAACCCTTGTGCGTGATGTTACTGAGGAACTTGTTGTGCGCCTTGATCAGATCATCGAGAGTGCAATCATCTTTCGTGATGCCCTTCTGCAATTCATCCCAGCTGGACTCAATAACTTCAAACAGTATATAGTATTGTAGCTGGCCGACGAAATGGATCATCTCTGCCAGCACACCGCGGGTTGACTTCCACGTCTCAAGGACAGAGGCATCGGAGGACTGAAGAACGCCACGTGCTCCAGTCATGCATTTCCGCCAGGTAGACGAGAGTGCGAACTCGACACGCTTGATCTTCCAGAGGAAATTGAACACTTTGAGGTACTGTCGGTTGCCGAAGTCTGTAATAACCACGTCGATGGGTGCGTCGACTTTGTACTCCAGCGTGAAGCAGTCCCAGCCTATATCGCCGTGCGATAGCTGTAGCATGCGTGCATCGAGGCGGCGTAGCACCTCAGAAGAGTCGTACTGAGCATTAGAGCCGCGAATTGCATGTTCGAGTTGCGCAGTCAGGGTGTGTCGATATTGCGCCCCTGCGGGGCGGTCGAGGTTCGCTGCCAGGGACTCCATCAACAAGGCAATGAAATCGCCTTGACCGAGAAGCAGGTAGCTTTTAAGAGCATTCAAGTGGTCGAATAGGTGGAATTTGGTAGTCATCAGGTCCATCAGGCGCTTCATGGTTGTCTTGTACGCCTCATCGATCCAAGCCTCAAGGGTTGCTGTGTCACCGTAACGAAGCTCCTTGGAGGACGATTTCGAGTAGTCGTCCACCCATTGTGCATCACCACAGCTATGGCGGATGAAATTCAGCGACTTCCCAATCAGAAAGACTTTCTGGGCGAAATCGTCGGTTATGATGCTTGGTATCATGCCCTTCTCAACCTCGTACTTGTCGTTCCAAACACTACTTTGGCCACGAGATTTGAGGTCAAGGCGATCCTCATCGTTCGGATCTTGCTCTTTGACGAAGAACTCCTGATACGGATCTTGTAGCTCTCCGTCATAAATCCAGTGTCGAAGGATGTCGTAGAATGGTCGTGTCACAGACCCGAGTAGCCGCTCGGCAAACGCAGCAACAATCGGATCTCCATGTGAGGTCGAGAAGCCGTGAATGAGTGAGATAAGCTGCCCGCCCTTTTTGCTTTTCGATTCCTCGGCAATCAGACTCAAGAGACGCAGCCCCATCGTTGCCTCTCTCGTCCATACCACACACCGTTTGAGAGTCACGCCTGCACTGCCTATTCCACTCCTCGGCGCACTCTCATCCAGAGAAGACAAGGCTCGACGTATTTGAGCTTCTAATGTTGCCACCAGATTTAAGTATGACCTGAGTTCACCATTTATGGCAGCGCGCAAACTCTGCCCCAGAAGCCCGCCGGCAGGAGACTTGACCCATGTCACAAGTCCTTTGTAGAGCAATGATGGCTCAGCCAAGCTATGCAGCAATGATATTAGAGGCGGCGGTAGCGTGGCAGGCAGCTTCAATATGGTCTCCTTGGGGAAGGGTAGGGTTGTCGAAGATAAACCTTGCAGCGTGAAGGGCAGGTCCCTCAGCAATACTGTCTCGGGCGGATCGAGTTCGACGTGGTTATCTGCCAGTAACCTAGACTTCAGAGTCACATCTCTACTGCGACTCGGTTCCTTGTGCTTGTCCTGGTCAAGCCCGGCCGACTCCTCGGGCCCTTTCCTCGCCTCCTCTGAAGGGAATTTCCTCAGACCTTCGGGTTGGAAGGCTTCTTTGAACTGATTCTCTTCCGTTCTTGAAGCAGGTCGCGATGGCTTTGGGGATATCTGAATCTCGCTACGACGTAATGCCTCAATTCTCCTGTTCTCGGCGACCTGCCTAAGGGTGTCGAGGGGCAGGGCCTCGTCAGGGTCCGGCGAGTCGGCGAGTTGATAGAGAAGATATAGTATTGCCCATTTTTGTTGCAATACTGGGAGGGTCAAGAGGCGGGTGTACAGGTGTGTGAAGCGAAGCGCGGCGCTTGGATCGGTCTGGACAAGTTTCTTCTTGATCAGGTCGTGGGCTTGGTTCGCATCGGCGGAAATGGCAGTAGATCGGTTGCTGTTCAAGGCAATACACGGTCAACAAGGCGTGGGGCGGCAGGCGTCGGAGTGCTATAGAGTTCATGCTTACTTGTCCAAGATCTGATGGGCTAGCTGTATGTGTTCGTCGACCGTCTCTTGCACAAATTCCCTGTCCTCCTGCCTATTTGCCTTTGGGATGATGTGCCCTACCAGCTGCTTGATACCAGCGTCGATGTGTTTCTGGGGATTGCGAGACATGGTCGCATTTTGACTGCAACAGTCGAGCGAGGGCGCGAGAGGCCGTCCAATTGATCAACAAATCTGACTGCGATTCCCGACGTGGGTGGGTAGCAGGATATGCTTGGTGGAGGGGCTGGCCAAGAGTAAAACCAAGGTGGGATGGATGTTGATGTCAGTTATCAGGGTCAACGCGCCTGACGCGACTGGCCAGGTGTGCAGCCTGCACAGAGCCGTGAGAGCAGATTTGATGCGCCCAGCCTCGGTTCTCAGGTGTACTGGGTACCCAAAACTCTCATCGTTGGGCTCTTGTCTACCTGTGGGATGACCACCAACCAGACCCTCTGCTCTGCTTCCGTTTTATCCTCAGTCCTGAACGCGTCAACAGCAAAGCGCTGGCATCCAATTCCTCTTTGCTATTAGCTACTCTGTTGATCATCTGACCTTGAGTTGGAAAGGGGAGAAGCGAATCATTGGGTACGTACAGTACCCAGGTACCTCAGACTCTCCAAGCTCCAGGGGCTGTTTGGTGCGGGTGCTAGCCTAGCGCAACTGTACCGACCGCACTGCACTGCAGGGTTTCTGTTGTGGGCACGTCTCTGCGGCTTCACTGTCAGCACCGCAACTCAGATCCGACCTCACCCCATCCACAGCGCCCAAAACCAGCATCGATTCGACGGCCGCATCCTATCAAAATCATCAGTTTGAATCAGAAATGAGGATCGCATAGTACCCAGAAGTCGCCTAATGCCCTCATGATCGAGTCTGCCGCGTCGCGGTACGGAGATTTCCTGCACGCGACGTTGCTGGCGAGCCCGTAGACGACCAAGCACGGCGCGCAATCCGCATCGCAGACTCCCAAGCCCACCCATACCATCGCCAAAATGCCCGACATCAACCCCGCCGACCTGTCGTCGCGCCCAGCCGTCAGCCTCACCACGCCCACCCTATCCAACAAGACAATAACCGTATCGACCCCCTCGACCGCTGCAAAGCCCATCAAGACTAGTCAAATAATACCCGCCAGAATCGACCTCGAGCCCATATATGCCGCCCTAAAATCCGCAATCGGCAACGAGCAATGGGCCACTTACAAAGAAGCTACAACCCAATTCTTCATCGGTCAGCGCGCATATGTCCCCAACCACCGCAGAGTCTAACGTCTCGCTTCTTAATTTTCTAATGCTAATCCATTGCATCATGCAGGCCGACTCAACCAGACTGAGTACTCAGATCGCATCGACCCCATAATATCATCCCAACATGGCGACAAGGAACACCTGCACAACCAGCTACTGGCTGCCCTCTATGCCAATGTCACCCGTGAGATGCCAGATCAGGGGCTGGCACCATGGGTTAGCGCAAACGACAAACCTGCCATTGGCACGGGAACCAAACCAGTGTCTGGCGATGCGACTGAGAGGCGGTTAAAGGGACAGGTCATGCAGTTGCCAAGCCGTGACCGCCGGCGCATCAAGGATCTACAGCAAAACGATGTGTGTATACACGCGCCAGCTCGGGATATCCAAGCTCTGATTGATTCTTGTGCAATGCTGACGCCAATACAAACAGTTTGATCCCTTCGAGTCTCTTGCGGGTGTTTTCGCAGAGCACTCGATCAGGGCAAAGCGTCCCAGGCCGGCTGAAGAAAGTGTGGCCAGTAGCGGCCTGAACATGAGTACGCTGGCAACGGTTAATCGGACAAGTACAATCGCTGACAAGTTGACCAGACCGGGAACAAGACATCAAGAAGCGATACCTCAATCCCTTGGGCCTGGAATCTGGCGAATTCCCCGATGGGAACTATACCGACTCACGCATGCTGCCCTATTGCTACGAAGCTGGTCTCGAGTCCGCTGCACCGGACGCGGCGCAATTGGTTTCCGCTGCCACCGAGTCGTTCATAAAGGAAGTCTTGACCTCCGTCTTCAGTCGTACACGCAGCAATGGGCCAGGTGATTCCGGCAGTGCTGGATTTGGCTCAACCTCAAGCTGGATACAGACTCACAGGTACAAAAGACAACTGTCCCGCGAAGAAGATGCGGTCATGCGCGGTGAGGTCGCGCGGGACAAGTGCGGGTTGCTGCCCGTCGAATCCAAAGCCGCGGGTGAGAGAGGCCCCCTCGGCATCGCAGACCTGCATCTTGCACTTGACATTGCCGATTGCGGCCTGTCCCAGTTCCCTATCATGGCCAGGTCGCTGCTCAACGGCTACCGGGATGGTGAGCTGGAGAATATGAACGACCACTACTATCTAGACGGGCGGACTCAGATGACCTCGAATGGTGTCGATGGCGACATAGCCATGATCCGGGCCCAAGAAGACAAGAAGCAACAACTTCCTAACGGTGTGCCACATGATGACCCGATGGAAATCGACGATGAGTACTTCTGGGCCGGTGCGAATGATGAAGACTTGGAAGGACTGGATGCCGTTCTGGACTCTATAGGAGCCAGTGGTTGAAGGTCTTTCCTCGCTCGGCGCATCATGTGACCAAACTGTTTCTTCCAAAGGCGAGGTGAAGATTTCATCGCTCTGTGCGAGCTTCCCATGCAAGGCGTCGGCGTTGAAGACTGGCTCTCCATCTTCATTTTTTTTTGTTTGGCGTTTATGGACGCATTACAAGGGCGGGGAGTCGGGAGTGGACTCCCAGTGCGAGGTTGTGAAGTGTGGCTATCTGTATGATGCTGTTTGTGTATGACTGGGTTTCTTGGATCATAATGGCGGCGTTTCGGGCAGGACACATGCCCGCGGGTCAATTGGGCGGTGACTAAAAGTTGCTTTAATGGACGATACCCATAGAGCCCCTTGAGATGTGGAAAGGCTCGCTGAAAGGACACCATGGGCAGGAGATGGCTGCAGATGCAAGGTCTTCAGATCTATGGTGGGCTTGGAGATAAAGAGACGTTGACCTCGGTCAGGTGGTCCCCATTCTTCCGCGGCCCCACTGCCGCAATATATCTTCATGTACTGTACTCTTCAGTACGCATCGCCGTGGTACAGATTACATATGTATATGGCGGGAAGCAATGTGGATAACTGACAGCTTAAGCCCACGGTGTGGAGGCTGAACTTGACAGCCAGTCTTGATGGGCAAGCATCATGAAGAGCGTCCTACCAAACCACGAAATGAGAGCCCAGTATAACCTGATTGAGATCTGAAGAATATGGGTGCACTTTCCAATGCACGTGGGGTGAAGGGCTATGCAATACTGTAACATTCATGGTGCAGTGCCTTGGCGCTTTACAGTATTCAATTCGTCTCACCTCCTTATGAGTATACACTACAGTTGAACCGTATGGGTGATCAGCGCATGAGGCGTCACTGCAGGGATCAAGCTCTCCACTCCAATGGAGCTGCCGCTCCTGCACCCCTGCTCACCCTGCCCACCCCTGTAATACCCGCTCCAACGCGCGCAGCACTTCCGCAAACGCGTCGCGTGTAAGTCTTTCCATATGGCCTGCCCACCCTTGCCTTGCGCTGTCCACACAACACCAGCCCATCACAACTTGACTTATCTGATAATTCCGGAACTGGAAGACCCAATTGATGAAAGCATGTTCTCTCTATGATTTTTGTACATTCAAATACCACTCATTGATCTCAGCCAGTTCTTCCTAAGCCACGATGGCTTCCTCTCAGCCGACCTCACCTGTCCGAAGCCCCTCCCCAGACAGGTTCGAGCTTTCACCGAACTCCAAGCTCAAGAAGCTATTGGCGGCTGTGGACAGCGATTCAGATGATGGCCATAATCGAGCTGCCACGACAACACCTCAATTTGCTCAACGTGCATCCCCTACAGCCAGCAATCGAAGCAATGACGCGCCGGAGCGCGACTCGAGTGACGACGATGTCCACCCCCGAGGTCGGATCGCCTCTCGGATGCAAAACGGTCAAAACGACGCGAGAGCACGCGTGAGGGAATTGCTACAGAATGCGGACGCGAAACAGAGCCGGGGAGGCTCTGCTGATGTGGTGATGGCAGACACGGCCTCCGGTCTGGGACAGGGAAGCGAGGATGACATATTTCGGCCACGAGGTCGACTCGCGTCTCGTATGCAAGGCGGTGACAAGAAGACTGAGGAGAACACAGACTCGAGCCCAAAGAAATCGGCTAAGGAGGCCATGGCCACGAATCACCCCTCAAATGACCCCGAGGATATCCAGATGGCGGATGGTGGTGCAGATGATGAGCAGGAGGACGACACCCCGGCGAAGCCAAGAAAACTCAAGCAGAGACAAAGAAGAAGCAAGACCCCAGAGTCTGATATCGCAACACCTCAAAAGGAGGCGTCACCTGGACTTTTCGTCACTCCATCCAAATCACCGACCTCAGCTCAGCCATCAAGTCAGGCTGAGGGCTCGGGGAGTGAAGATGATGTCCCAGCTCTCAAGAGCAACCGCTTCCAGGCCCTGGTCGAGAAGAAGCGGAAAGAACGCCTAGCCCGCGAGGCCGAAGAAGCCCGGAAGAGGGAAGCCCGCGCTGCGGCAGCCGCGGAGCTCGGCGACGATAACGATGATGATGTCTCGGACATCTCGGACGACGAAGGCGGCCGCAAACTGACGCAGACGCAAAAAGCGAAAGCTCGCCCATCGCGGAAGGCCAGCAAGAAGGCTCTGGAGGAGATGAATCGCGAGACGCAACGTATGCAGCGTGCCATGCAGCTTGCTCATGAGGCGAAAACCAAAAAGAAAATTACGAAAGCGACACTATTCGAGCGGTTCAACTTCAACCCTGGTGGAAATGCAATGAAGGAGAAGCTGCAGAGCTCCAGACGACCTCAGACACCTGGCTCTGCGAAGAGCACGGACGCAGAGATGCGAGATCCCGAAACACCTCCCAGCTCACCTCCTGCACGGGTCGAAGATGTGCTCGGAAAGGATCTGGCGGGCCTGCAGACGCAGGGCGGTGTCTCTGCTCCACAGCTGACCAGTGCTGAGGTCGAGGGGCAAACCGAGAAAGACAAGGACGACTTCCCCGACCTCTTGGACGACATGCAAGCTTTTGCTCGCAAACCTGTCGACAAGAGCAAAGGCAAGGCCGAAACACCAGAGCTTGACATTAAACCGCTATCGAAGCGGCAGGTTCGAATAAAGCTTCCACCAATGCAATCGAACAGAGTTGAACTTGGCCCTGGAAATAATAACGATGGGGACGACGATGACCTCGTCATCCTCGATGCAAAGAGGAGCAAGCTCGACGCCTTGTTCGAGCGCGCTCCAACAGATAAGAGCAAAGAATCGCGTTCGCTCTATGCTCTCCGACAACTCGCTCATCTCGACTCTCCAGAGCGCAAGGCGCACAAGAAATCTGGCAAAGCTGCCATGACTTCTGGCGAGCTGCTTGCTTTCCTCAACCAGCGCGCCCGCGATCAGGCCAGGCTTGAGAAGGAACGGCGCATGGAAATGCTCAAGGCAAAGGGCATCCATGTCCAGACAGAAGAAGAGCGTGAGCGTGATCGAGAGCAGATTGAAGATATGGTGGCCCGCGCAAGACGTGAGGCCGAGGAGATCATGGCCCGCGAGAGGGAGGACGCAAAGAAGGAGAAGCGCGCCTCCGGGAAAGCTGACCCGCTGGCTTGGGATGACAGTGGCAGCGATGATGACTACGTCGAGGGAGAAGAAGAGCAAATCTCTGCCGAGGTGGAATTGTCCGGGTCAGAAGAGGAAGAAGAAGACGAGCAAATGGTCCTCGGTGACGACGATGATGAGCAAGAGGACGATAATGAAGAACGAGGACGCCTCAAGCAGGAATCTGCTGCTCTAGGTTTCGTCGACGACGATGCAGAAGATGGTAGTGCAAGCGAGATTTCTGCAAGCGATCGGTCCTTCGTCGATCCGGACGAGGAGGAAGAGAGGCACCGGTGGGGAGCGTCTGACGAAGAAGCGGATAAGGCACCAGCCTTTGTTCAAGCTCGCCGACCGAAGAGGCCTACCGCCATCATTTCCGATGACGAAGATGAATTGGATATTGAGGCCACGCCAAAGCCAAAGGCTCACTCTGTTACTTTCACACCTGCGCCCAAACCGAAAGCTGCCGCATTTACTCCGGCTCCGAACAGCGATTCTCCTGAAGTACCAACGTCGGTATTGAGGTCTGCCAACAAAACCTTCATTCCTGGGCTACCTGTGAACGCCGGGGGTCCCGCAGGTCTCGGACTGACGCAGATATTTGCCGGCACTATGGACAGCCAGGCAATGCCATTCGAAGGCTCTCCATCGCAACCCATGCCCACATTCGACAACTTCCCTGACTCGCAATTCTCACAAAGGGCCACTGATTCTGCGGATGGCATGGTCCTCGATAGCCAACCGGTCTCAGCCACGCAGCAGGATGAGACACAGGTTGGGGATAAGGAGTCACAGATCCAGTTCAACTTCACGCAATCCCAAACGCACGGCCTGGACAGTCTTCTTAGGGATGATATCATGACGCAGACGTCCGATTTTATGAACCCTACCCAAGATGATGGTTTCCAAGACTGGACGCCTCTCAAAGAGAGATTTGTAGAGCCACCATCGGCGACTGCGGACACTGTCGCTCATGATCCGAGCCAGGTTGAGGATATATCACATCAATCCCCTCTTCTGCAGAAACGGGGCCGACTCCGTAGGAAGGCTGTCGTTGCCTCAGACTCTGAGGACGAGGCCAACGAAACTAATTCCGCCACCAAACCCAGCGCCTTCAATGTCCTGCAAGACGCTGCTGCCAAAGAAAAGAAGCGGAAGGCCAGGGAGGAGTTCATCAAGAAGAACAGCAAGGCTAAGGAGATGGTAGAAGAGCAAGCACAGGAGTCCGAGGACGAGTACGCCGGGTTAGGTGGCGTGGATGGCGAGGACAGCGACGATGATGATGCTGCCTCTGTCCATGAAATGATCGACGACCACACTCAGGGCAATCAGGCAGACGATATCAACCTGGCTAAGTTCTATGCGTAAGTCTAATACTCAGCACGGCTGAATATCCGAGACAGAACTGACAAATATTCAGTGACCGTGCCCGAGCCGAGGATGAAAAACAAGTCGACAAACTTTTCAAAGACATCACAACTGGCATGCTCCGCCGGAAACGTGGCGCGGGAGAGTTTGACCTTGACGATGAAGACGATGGCGGCGAGGCCCGTCGACGCATGAAGAGGCGGCAGTTCGCCAAGATGCAGAAGGCCCTCTTCGCGGACGAACGTATTTCCAAAGTTGCTGAGAACCCACGTAATCAGGCGTTCATGCGCACCATTGAAGATATTGGCAGTGATGAGGAAATGGACTTCCTGTACGAGCCAGCTCCCGATGACAACAAAGACAGCCAAGAGGGTTCACAGGACAACCAAGCACCAAAATCTGCCTCTGTTGTACCGGACAGCCAGCCAGTAGCTGCTGGTAATATGAATGCCCCTGCAAGGAGGGCGCCGGCGGCTGATAGGCGACCGAAGACTGGCAAGAAGCCTTCTGATATTGGCGAGATCCGCGAGACTCTGTCCAATCTCCTGGACGAGCCTAGTGGTAACTCAATCATCTCAGCCACTGAGTTCGGGTCTGACAGCGAGGACGATGGCGGTGACGAGGAAGACGGTGAATCCTCGAACAAGGAAAATACCAACCCGCGCCGCGGCCGCACCCAGCACGCCGGCCAGGTAGTGGACCGTATCAGCCTCAAGCGGCAGGGCTCCTCCAATGTCTCCACCACATCCAATGGCGGGCGCATGGCTTTCGCTGCGCCCAACTCTAGCAGTGCAGGCTTCAAGGTGCCTGCGCTGCTGCGCCGCGCGACGACCAACTCCCTGATATCCACGGGTTCTAGCGCGTCCGGCAAGGGCGCGGCTGCCTCCAATGGCGGCAGTGCGGGCGGGTTCGGCGACGACGCCAAGATCAAGAGCAAGGCGGGCAAGAAGAGCGGCATCAGCTACCTCGCGCGGGAGAACGACCGCCGCAAGGCGATCGACGAGGCCGAGAAGCGCCGAGAGCAGAAGAAGTTCCGCGCTGTGGAGGGGCGTAGCAAGGTTGTCGGTGGGCTTTTTGGAGCTGGCAAGTTTGAGTAAGGCCGTTGAGGCCTGATGTTGTGGTCCCAGTTTGAATGGGTGTCTATGAAGATGGCTATGATAGCTTAGTCTGTCGCTTTTGGACAGTCTGTTGGATGGCGTATGGTTTCCTGGCTAGGCAAGGCGTTTGCTGGTGGTTTATGAGCAAGTCATAATGGCATTGTTTGACAGTTGTACTTTTGTGATGAGCATTGCTCTCCGGAACGAAATAGTATGGCATAGCCTTTAAGCATTGATATGCTATTCAAGAGGTTGGTATTTCCAGGTCACTGACACTGGTAGTTTCTCGCCGAGTTCATCCTGTTGTGGTCGCATCTCATCATTGACTTGACTATTATTCACTTCAGAAAGTACTATGGCACAAAGTTATCCGGTCCTGCATGTCACGGGGACTTGAACTACAGTAAATTGGCAATACTCGATTAAGGACTCAGTGCAAGTAGTATAGATAGGCACGCACCTGGTGGTTGAATCGTCTTAAGCTCTGTCGTTCGTCTAGGTGCAGTTGCTGTTTGGCTGGAGCCTCACTGGTTCCTGCCCGAAATGCGATTTATACAAGTTTATAATAGTATAGCTCCTTGCTTTTTTCTTATTAGCTTTGGAATCGTTGGAGTTATCTTATGAGCACAAGCACGCATCTCAATTAGCTGTCGCTGTCGGTGATTAGGCTAGACGGCTCCCATTTGGTTCGCTCCTTAAATCTCAACTCCTCCCTTGAACAAGAAGTGTTCCTTGCTCATATCACTGAATTAGAACAGATTCACCGGATCCATTCGGGCAATTCTTTTGATTATATTGGGATCCACTGTACGCAAAAAACCGGTTGCTGTCATTCTATTGATTTTGTAGAATCTGACCACCTTCGAATGTTTACTTCAAAGGTGAAACGCAAATTACCTACACCGGAAATAATACAATGACAATCTCGGAAATTGAAGGCGCGTGCCGAGAAAAGTAAAGACCGCGCTGTTCATGCATTTAAAGACATTGTTGTGTTGAGCCGGTGGACAATGGTGTTGGATTAAGCAATCCTGTGCCGAGAAGATTCAAAGCGTTAGAGAAAGGAATAAACTGCCCATAAAGCATTTTCATGACAATCATTCAATCAAGCCATCACTTTGTTTGCTATTCTAATTATGTATCGATAGCTGGATGGTATGCTGTTCACACACATGCTTTGTCTACTGAGTTATGATAAAGTCTGGCCAGCTAATCAGCCAGCATGATTTATCGTACAGCTGTTGTTCTTTTGAAGACCAGTGCCTACAATTTGCTGTTGGCGTTTGCGGAAAATGAGAATTAACGACGGCGTAGTTGACTCTAATCCGAGACACTCCTCTGGCGAATGACTGAGAGGCAATATAGACTACGCGCAGCACAAAGAGCATTGTATTCACAACAATGCCATTGTCAGCGGCCCGTCTTATTGTCAGAGGGTAGTGTTCCAATGTATATTTAATCCAGTCCGATACCACACTACTTTTCATGTCTTTCGTTGTTTTTCACCAAACTTTGCAACATATCCCTGATCTAAATATATAGAAATAGCGAACGCGGCGGTTAAACATGTGCTGGACAACGACCGTGTTTTACACTTCCTGCGGCCACACAAAAACCGAGATTCGTGAAGGCTCGCGGTGTGCGGTTGGGATATGCCAACCCCAGACAACATTCCACCTCCGAGAGCCCGAAGGCATAACACGCGTACACGAGATCTGTAATCTCTGCAAGACGCGTCTCAAGAGGTATGGCTCTCACATGCAGAACCAGGCTGATCAGCTAAGCAACTTCGCAAGCTCTCTTTCTACTCACACTAAGCGATAACCTGTCTATCTATGGGCGAGATACCGAGACATTCGAGTCGAGCAAGACAGAAACAAAAACAAAAGGCCTCATTTCTTGTTTGGATTTCGTTTCTCAGCAGTACTAATGTAAATTTCTAGCAATATTAACCTTTTACAGCACTATCCCTGACAATACTAACTTCACTTCTTAGCGATACTAATTATAAAGTGTCTAACCTTTCACAGAACCAATTTCGTGATTTCTACCATCTTGTAAAAAGTCTATAACCTTGATTACAGCAAATAATTTCTACCAACTAAACATTCACGCAACCAGAAATTGTAAACAACATCTCTGTGAGCCGAAAGGCTCAGTAACGACTCATTCGAGGTCTCCGTGAAGAGCGGATCGAGCCGGGAACGAAAGTAAGATATATTCGATGACGGTTAAATTATTATGCTTGTTCGTCAATTAATTCGAAAATCGCCCCATAAGAGATAAGGGCTGCAGTCAAAATATATTTCCACGCGAGTCCTCTTCTTCTTTCCTTCACGACCCTGTTCTCATTCCTATTCTTCCACTCTGGCCCCCATGGATCGTGATCGAGTTCTTGGTAAGCTCTGCAAGATTAATCACCGCCTACTAGAGGAGCGTCAAGAATAATAGTAACTGAACGTGTTCATCCCAATCTTGATTCCCGACTTAACCGAAAACCCAGCATGAAGCACTCTTGGATCCCCTGTTCCATTTGGCAGCATATTGTTCCAGAAGACAGCATTGCCCCGCTTTGGCTTGACCAATAGGCCCGTCCCTTTGTCAGTCCTTGCGAACTTCTCACCATCTGCACTGGCGGACACTCCTTTTATGTCTGGAAAGTAGGTCTGCCCACCAGAACAGTTGCCTTCCAGATACACAAATATCGAATCAAGTCTGTTATACGGTCTGAATCTTCTTTCCTCGACGTAGGTCTGGTTTCTGGTCTCGCGGAACCAGTCCATGTGCAAGCGAAACCGCTCACCCCCTTCAAATTTGACGATCTGGAGCGGCTCGACATCAATATGTTGAATATTTCCGAGGAAGGACTTCATTCTGTCGGAAAGACAGAGGGCAACTGGATCGTCCCAGGGTAACGTAGCGGAGGAGGAGGTTCGGTAGTTTTTGTCGATGACTGATTTGAGATCGTTGTCATAAACCCAAGATTGTTCGAACTCATTCTTTCTACAGTGACAAGTTAGCCGGAGCACTCGAAGCCGTACAGCACCAGAGTGGAGAGCCTGACTATACATACGTGATGTTGAGTAGATGCTCTATTTCGTGCTCTTTGAAGTTGTTGAGGTATATGACGGCAGGGTCGAATGACAAGATCTCAACGGTGTACTCATGGGTACATTTATGGCCTTGGGCTGTCGGATGCGCATCGAACATCCCATGTTTCGCAAGCTGAGTAATTTCCCATAGTTCCTGTACGGAATTTGCGGAGAGGAGCGAGCTCAAGCAGAGCGCTAGGACCGGTAGGACTAGGTAGATGAACGACTTCGACGCTGCTCCCATGCTGCATTGTCTGCCTACAGTCTCCTATTCAGAGGCTCTGGTGACTTCTCAAGGCTGTCGCGCATTGCTCAATAAATTGGATGGCTCTCAAACTATTTGCTTACATTAATACCTTCGCTGCAACTTATCACAACTTTCAAAGATGGCCTCCAACTTAATTTTTCAACATGTGTATATGAACAAGATGGCAGGATCGCGCCCCCCGGCCAGGATCATGTTTCACTGCATCATATCCCAAAGAAGACTAGCGAGTGGTGGGTGAGCTTCAGCTGGATCGAAGGCTTCTGCGTCCCTTATGAAAATGTCTCACCTGGCTTGTACCCTCTCCAGCTGACCCCTCAACTGCATTCCTCGAGCGCTGGGTATTGAATTGATCAGCCTCGCTTTCCTGAGTCGATCATCCGCGAGGGAACCATACGAGTGGACATCGGCCAATTCGGTGAAAGTCAAGCCAGACCGAGAGCTACTACCAGCGGTATGCTGCTGGACCTTTTCCCGCTGCAAGAACGTCCGGCGCCATGGAACTCATCCCGAGCCAGGTGTCCAAACTCAAGGTTTCAATCCGACTTAACCGAGCCATAAGCGCGTTTTACGAGTCCCTAGACACAAATAACAAGGTCATATTCGACTCTTACAGGGACGCGGCTCGCGCCTCGCCACCAAGTCTGGATGATATCCGGCAGATTGCGGCTGAAATCGACAGAAAGGGACGCAAACCACGCGGAGATCGTTTCAAGCGTGTCTTGGAGGCTTTGCAGCAATTTGTAGCTGTTGGCGATGTTGTTATTGGGAGCACTCAGAACATGCTCGCGGCCGGCGTGTGGTCGGTTGCTAGGTTGACTGCTATTGTATGCTATCAATCCTCCCGGTTGGAAAGGCATGTTGATATACTGACAGTGAGGCAGATAATGATGGGGTATGCGAGCTACAGAGAAAAAGTCTCAGAAATCTTCCTCGAGGTGGGCCGTACTGCGCCTAGGCACGCCGAGTTAGCGTGCATCTATCCGGGTAAAGGACGTCTACACTCGGCCATGATGGAGTACTCCATTGTGGTCGTCGAACTATGCAAGTCTCTTTTCCACCCGACTCTTCTGCAACGTTTCACGACATCTTTGAAGACAGCAATCACAGATCCTCAGCTGCAAAAGATCAAAAGCAGCCTTGCAACATGGTCTAAGGAAATTAGCGAGGAAGTCATCGTGCTCCAGAGCCGAAGGCTCGAAGAGACCGATAGAGGGCCTGGGATAAGGTCTCTGATTTCAAGCATATCAGATTCAGATCGGAGGCGGAGAAGGACCCGAGACCGTGTTAATTGGTTAGACGCGTGTGGAGACTACGATTACGAAAGGCAACGCAATCTCACGCGAAGGAGCGGCAATACCGAGTACTTTCTTCATGACCCGCCTTATTTGAAATGGAGAGACTGGAGTGGGCCGACGACCTTGATCTGTGAGGGAAAGCTGGGCTCAGGAAAATCCGTGTTGATGGCAAACATGGTCGATGACCTTCTTTTGCACAACATCAACGATACCCATACGACGGCGTTCTTCTTCGTTTCTGATGACACCGCCGGATACAATGCTAGAACGGTCCTCGGAAGCCTTGCCCGGCAGATTCTTGAGTCCTTGCCAGGTTCCCAATGGACGGATAAGCTCGAAGAGGAAAGTAGATCCTTGACAACGAACAGATTGACGCAAATACTGGGTAGAGCAGTGCCTTCCACAAGAAAGATCTATCTGATCCTAGATGGCTTTGACGAATTCCCTGAGGTCGAGCGCCAGATCTTGGTGGAGCAGCTGAAAGAGCTCCAGTCTTGGCTCCAGCTGCGCATCTGTATCTCTTGGAGGCTTGAAGCCAAGAGCCGGGCCCGCGAAGACTTCGAGACCTTCGGGCAGTCTGCGACGCTGAAGATCCCCATTATAAACCCGGATATTGAGAAGTTCGTGAATACAGAAGTCGATGCCCTCCTCGAGACCGGAGAGCTCTTGATCAAAGGCGATACCATAGTGCATGAGATACGGCAGCGTCTTCTCGAAGGTGCAAATGGAATGTGAGTTGACTTCTCGGAACCTGGAAATGACATCTAATCTCACCAATAACTACTTGTAACTTATAGGTTTCTCTGGGTAGCCCTACAGCTGCAGGCCATCTGCCATGAAGACGAGAACACCATTCACGAGGCACTGGAAAACCTACCCAAGTCCCTGCCCGAGGTATTCCATAACATCCTGCAGCGTAGTGGAGAGCCTGAGAAGCGCTATCAAATGCACATCCTCAAGACTCTGGTGGCTTCTTTCCGGCCGCTGACCACGTCAGAGTTTGGGGAGGCTCTGAACTTGGCTTCAGAAAACGCAACGATGCCACTGCGATTGCAAAGCCGCCAGGTTGACGATTTACGTGGGATCCTATCCTCTTGCGGCAGCCTGGTAATGATCGATGAACAGGACTTGACTGTGCATCTGGTTCACCAAAGCGTGCGACAGTTTCTCTTGGGTAAAATGGCTGATACCTACGACTACCGAGAGTGGCAGTTCTCTGCCGATACTGCTCATTTGCATATGGCCGCCGTGACCATGAGGTATCTTAGCAGATGGACCGACAGAATGGAAATCGCTCAAACACCACGTCGAGTGCAACCATCCACAATACCACGGCCGTCACCTATTATCTTGCCGAATCCAGTCGCCATTCATCTTGCAGCACAGACTGAAATCAAGCCGGGAAAGCTGTCTAAGATACTCAGCATAGTGTCAAAAGCTAGGCTGAATGGTGCTGCAGCTCAGGTGGACGTCACAAGAGTTGCTGAGAGCCTGTGGCCAGAAACGTTAAAAAAGACCACCACAGCAGAGGGGGAAGACAACACATCACACGTCGAAGCCATGGAATTTCTTACATACGCACGAGGTCATTGGATGCTACACTCGGCGCCGATGTCCGAAGAAAACGGAGAGCTCTATTCGTTGTGGAGCCAGGTGCTCATGACTTCGGATCCTACAGATTGGCGGGCATGGGACCCACTCTATATGGCCAAACGCCAAGTTGAGGTCCCTGAAAGCATGCTGTGGGCGGTTGTGAATTCCCACAACGTCCTACTCGAGAAGGTGTTGCGGAAGCAAAAACGGCGCCTGAAGTTGCTGATTGACTGTTTGGGGGTTATCCTGGGTATGTCGCCCATGCCACGTCTGAGCCCATTGATGGCGGCGAGATTTCTCACCCTGCAACTTTTCCTGCAACGAAGTTCGATGTCAAAGACCCAAATATTCCTCAACATGAATGCGGATTTCAGGTACAACAACTATGCATGTCTCTATGCAGCGGTATTTACCAGGGACTATCATGCAACCCGAGCCATCCTGTGTACTATTGGAGATCACACCATTTTGAAGGGCTTACCGTACCCGCTGCTTGAGCTTAGCGTGTCATGCATGGATGTGCATATGACACACCTCCTATTATTTTATGGCGTCAGACCTCTGCCTCACTCACAGGTGCAAGAGACGGCTCTGGCGATGGCGATGTCACGGCTCCGGCCAGGATGCGATCCTAGCAGCACACTCATCGCCGCCTGGCTTCTTAAATCGTGGGCGAGCACGGACTCGTGTTTTCGCCACCACCTGGCCAGAGCACTAATCACCTTCAGAGAGATGACCAACAAAAGGGATTTCGACGCTGAACAATTCATCAAAGTGCCGTCGTGGGGATGGCTGGTACACTATGTCCTCGAGGCGGCGGAAAAGGCCGTGCGGTGGCTGAGTGGGCTCTTCACGCTGAAGGTCCTGGCCATGTACGCGGCTGTAATAGCGTTCCTGGATTCGCAGACCGAGTCTAGAGCGATGCAAGTCTTGACATTTGTCGGTTTGGTGCTGTTTGGCTCGGTTGCTCTGTGTCCAGCTCTCCCCGGTTTCGGAAAAAGCAGACAGCCTCCACGAGCATTTCCACCCAGGTTGCGAAGTGTTGCTGCTGTCAGATACCATACGGCATGGCCCACCCCTACAAAAGATGGGAAACCTTTATTTGTAAGAGGTGCGTGGCATTTGCCTGGAACCACACATCTAGGTCGCAATCGAAGCGCTTGAAGCTTTGCGCTTTGGAACACACATAGGTTCTACGAAGTGGCCCAAGCAGGCCAAGGACTACAAGGACATAATTGTCATATTGATCCTAGTTCCGGCGTTTGGGACTAAGGCTAGGGTTTGGGAGTAAGCACATTAACGCGTAGGGATCAAGACGCGTATTTGGTTTTACAATAAGGTCAAAGAAGATCTCACTCTGCTCAGGAACCCTGAGCCAAGTACAAGGGGACCCGCCCACTGTCAATTTGGACACTTGATGTCCGGCTATGACGCTGGCTACTTCTCATATCTTAGGTTCGTGTTCACCTGATCAATGGTATTAAATTACCAGTGCTAAATCAAGTCAGTGCACAAATCTTTGCGGCAGACTTTTACGAGACAGCATTCGCCACCAACCCACAGAGTCGACAGATTTGGGACCGATATAGACAAGTTATCCTTGAGGCTAGTGGCAGCCGAGATGAGCTGAAGGTGATGGAAGAATTTCTGGGTCATTGCCCAGGACCAAATGCTCTTGTGCGAAGCCTAGGACTTAGCTGATTTTTCACCTCTTGGGAGGTAGGGGGGCTATACGGACCTATTCCAGTGCGGAAGAACCCCGCTTCACCAGATAAAAAGCAGCTCTAAGAATAAAAATGTCCATACGATCCAGATCCGACTTTCTCGGTGACCTTTGGCGCACCCTTAGTGGCTTGAGGAGCTTTGATTGGTGTATTGGTACAAGCTTGCTTGGTCTTGGTATTTTGTGTCTTGGGAGGCATTGAAATTGAACTTTAGAAACGTGAAATTACCGTCTCTTTCCGTAGGCTTACACATCTATCCTTTCCTATAGCTCTCTAATAGGCCGGGTGTAGAGATTTAAATTTAGGACCGTTATCTCAGCCGGGAGTCATCACGTGCATTGCAGAACCTGATATCAACGTTAGTAGCTCGTTCCTCAGAATGCAATTCATTATTACCTTCTGAAGGCCCCAGTAGCTGCTTCAGCCGCCTAAAATATGAGCCATAACAATCATAGCATGTTTATTTGCAAGGTAAATAGTGCCTGTTGGATAGCTTCGTTGACCTTACATGCTCGACATATGTAACATTACATCTGGCTCTTCCAGGAAGTCTCATTTCCACCACTATATGACATTTTCATCATTCTTTGTCAGGAATACACTAATCCACAGATACAAAGGGAGGAAGATCTGTCTGCAGATTATTATTTCACGAGAGCACGAGTGTGGCCTGAGAGGCACTGCTCAAGCATCCTCTGTAGACTTTCTTTAAAACCTTCTATGCAATCCAGACGGCTTTTTTGACCTCAGACTGACAGAATCGCGTTTTAATGTCTGCAAGTCCAACGGATAAAACAGATGTGCGACAGCGCAACTGCTTTAGACGAATAATGACCCACTTGCTGCCTAAATTCTGTAGGCATTCGTAAGATGATCACCCCTCTCGAGCCCCTATAATCGCTTGGCTTGTACCATATCATTATTTTTTCTCTTTTGAGTAGCATGAGAATGGTGAATAGTAGGTGTGAATATATCTATATCCACTTTATGGTGGAGCAACCCCAGTGTGCTGCCTGTGGCTCTTGAAGCGAAACGCGGTTGTTGCCTAGCAAACTTTATCCCTATTTAATTTTTGTATTCACACGTTTAAAACTCACACCACGGCAGCTGGTCAGCAACTACATTTTATATAATGGGCACTCCCCTCTTGTCCTGGTCAATGACTTTGATAAAGCATACCACAAGTATCTTTGTTTGCTACGGTCACAGATCCCTCAGCCATACTCGAAAACGCTATCAGGTGCCATTTATCAGGAGCATTTCTACTAAAATTATCATGGCGACATCTCAGTCAGACTCTCAATCCCAGGTCTCACCTGATCCAGTCACAGCCGGGCTACTGAACCAGTTGCGTGAAGATCTCGGCAGACAAAGCGAAAAGATCATCTTCACCTGTGGCGGCACAATCCCTATTTTCGAGCCTGGTCAAGACTTTGCAACGGACAACACAAAGATCTCCTCAGTTTCCGAGCCTGTCACTATCCGCTGGGACCCAGCTTCGCCGGAAACACCAGCATCGCAGGCGAAACTCATCCTGCCCCTGGCGGGTGACAGTCAGGGGAATCTCGTGAAGCTGATCAGTGACTTGGAGCCCGCCAGCTTCGGCTACCATGGCAAGGATGTTTTCGATGAGACGTATAGAAAAGCTTTCAAGATGGACACCGATAAGTTCGCTAGTACATTCAATCCGTACGAATGCGGCATCATCGATAGCATTGCACAAGTGCTTCTGCCAAGCACTCCAGAATCCGACCTCCGAAGGGGTGTGAGGGCGGAGTTGTACAAGTTGAACGTGAGTCTTCCCGTAGTGCCCCCTTCGGCTCTGACCGAGCCCACCCTCTTTTTTGACTGCCTTACTCATTGACCAAAAACTAGGTATATTCCAGCCCATCCGGCAAGTTCAAACCACATATAGACACTCCTCGGGGCAGCACCCAGTTTGGCTCCCTAGTCGTCTGCCTGCCACTTGAACACGAGGGCGGCCAGCTCCAGGTCCGACACAAGGGCAAGGAGGTGACCTATGATTGGGGCAGCCACAAGAATCAGATATCGTGGGCCGCTTTCTACAGTGACTGCGAACACGAGGTGCTCGAGGTCAAATCGGGCTACCGTCTGACATTGACTTACAACCTGTACGCTGTTCGTGGAGGCGGCATGCTTACCGGAATTGAGCCGCCTGTGCTTGATGCAACACAGCTACCAATCTACCTGTCTTTGAAGAACATTGTGGATAACAAAGCGTTCATGCCGGAAGGTGAGCAATCTCCTGGATAATAGGCGTCCTGGTCAAATTTGCTCACACTTCCTCGATAGGCGGCTACCTCGGCTTCTATTGCAGCCACGCATACGCACACACCAACACTGACGCGATTATTCTTCCTGACATGCTGAAGGGCCTCGACATGGTCATATGGGAGACATTCGGCCGCCTCGGACTCGAGGCGAGTGTCAAGCCCGTGCTCAATGTCGAGGACTTTTACCAGTATGAGGACGAGCCCAGGGACCCTATGATCGTCGGTAACGATCGAGCACTTCAAATGAGCAATATGATGCGCATAGAAGACTATGACCAGATGGACGAACAAATCGAGCAGTGGCGCGGGGGTGAGACTGTCAACTTCAAGGAGATACACTGGCTCACAAAGCCCAATCACAAGGAACTACAACTGGCTTATATTGCTGTGAGTCCCAAGTTCAATGTCTCCGCCGCTTCGAAATATGAACTCAGAACTGACTTGACTTTCGCTCAAAGTACGGCAACGAGGAGAGCCTAGAGTCTTTCTATTCCTACTGTGCGATCATTGCTAGGGTTCAGCCTAGTGGTGCTCGCTCGAATTGAGCAGCCGAACCGAGAAGGGGTTAGCGACGTTTGATGTTACAACAGTTGGTGTCAACCGAATCACGACTTCATGCTATCGAACTTCGGAGGCACAGCCAAATGGGATCGTGTTTAAGCGACTGGTTCCAATAATAGGTCAGTTCTGGATTGGCCTTTTAAGAATGTCTAGCAAATTTACTTCTTCCCCCATGCTGGCATTTAAAATGCATCTACAACCATATCGAGTTCTCATGTCTGCATGGGACGCCGTTGAATTTTCTTCTACAAGATGCTCTTTAAATCTCCCTCGTAGATATATACCTTCTCAGGTAACCAAAATCGCTTGATAGGCGTGTGAAGGCCCGTTCTCGTGGTTCAATTCTAGTTCGGGGGAAGGGAAAAGGAATCTCTTAGACCGTAAGGTCTTATTACTCCCAACGAAAGATGGCAACGCAGCCACTTGTCACTCAACTGAGATGTTCAGCCACGAAATCACTCGAAATGTAAGGGATTAACTACAGCATGAAGACAGGACAGCTTCTTTGGAGCATGATGGATCATCATCAGCCTTACTGGAGTAAAGTAACCAGAGTACAATTTTACACAGCATGCAACAAACTCAATTCTGAGGTTATGCCGGCCTCCATGTACTCCCGAGATCACTATAAATAACGGCTTTAACAGGAACATCGGTAGATTAGATGTGATCTCCATCGTATCGACACATTGGGATATACACCTGGGCAACGATACTTCCAAGGAATCCAACGCATGGGGATGTTTCGTTTTTGCCAGCTTCTTACGATCTACTTGATCTCATGAAATGAATTGTAAATGATCTATTTTGAACAGGTCATGTTTCAACCTAGTTGAATCTTGTAGGAATTTGCATTATACTTTGTTACGATCTATTACGAATTATTTCTTTCAACCTCTTATCGTATTTGATCGAGAAGTGTGTTGATAATGCGCTATGACAAACACGGTTAGCTTGTACGCTACCCGAGGTACCGAAGTACCCTGATGGCCACCACTCGTGAGCTAGGGACACGTCTGTCCCACTCACAGTAACAAAATGAATCTTTGGTCTGCTCCTGATATGTGAGCGCAACCTGATGAATGGCCTCTTTCCCCTGCTTGGAACACAGCCCCTAACATGTCATTTCTCTCTCTCTCGATGTGTTAGAAAGCCTTTCAAGATCTCAAAATGTCGGGCTTCCTCTCCCTAATGGGGTGGACCTTCCTCCCCGATGTAAGTTCGCCCGCGGTGTCTACCATAATCTTGGCCTCCCTAGATGCCAACGTACTGACAGCACATTCCTCCCAGCTAGCCACACGCTTCCTTCAGAGCACATATTATGGCATCACCATCCGCGCCGGGTCCCCCCGCCCCCAGCCCGGCCAGCCACGCTTCGCAGAGCACTACCGACGCATCTACATCCTCGTCGTGTGCGCCTACCTCCTCTTCACCATCTACGAGGCCGACTGGGAGCTCCAGCGGTCCGGCGGCGACTTCTACTCGATCCTGGGCGTCGCGCCCGACGCCAACGTCCGCGACATCAAGAAGCGCTACCGCCAGCTGTCGGCCATCATGCACCCGGACAAGGGCGGGCCGTTCGACGCCGAGGTCTACATCAGGGTGCAGACGGCGCACGAGACACTCAGCGACGACGTGAGGAGGTTCGCCTACGACCGCTTCGGCCCGGAAATGCTGCGGTGGCGCGAGTGCACCGTCGCGCGCGACTTTGTCATGCGGGGCGCCAAGGACGTCCTGGGCTACTACGGCGTCGGCGCGCTGGTCATCTACGCCCTGCCCAAGCTGGGCTACTTCCAGCAGGGCATGTACTGGCGGTGGGTCGCGCTCGCGGCGCTGCTCGTCTTCGAGCTGCACACCATCACCCGGCCGGCCCAGCCCTGGTTCCTGACCGGCCTGGTCAACCCGCTCTTCACCGGCGTGCTGAATCCGGTCTTCTCCTTCTGGGCCCCCGGCCTGGTCCACCCGCCCTACCTCCCCTTCCAGGCCGTCGCGCTCGCGCGCAAGCTCAGCATCACCCTCACCATCGCCCTGAACCAGGTGGTGCCGTACCTGACGGCGGACACGCGCGGCGGCAGGGTGCAGCTGCAGCGGCGGGGCACCGAGGACGCCCGCGCGCGCCAGAGCCTGGACGAGCTGGAGAGGATGGTGCACAGCGTCGACGAGAACGCCACGCGCGCCGTCAAGATGGAGCTCGCGCCCTTCGCGGGCGACCCGCAGATGCTCGACAGCCTGAGGGACAAGATGCGCCGATGGCTCGTGGACAATACGGTGCGCAACGAGCCTATGACCAGGGACGCCCTCCAGAGGACCATCGCGCGGAGGCGGCAGGACGCGCCGGCCGGTGCGCAGGGCAATGGCATGAGGATAAGGAAGCCTCTACAGGCGACCGTAGAAGATGATGCATGATCACGCCAGCCTCGATTACTTTAATCGACCCTAATTGAAGCCATTCATGAACCCTAGATGATTCCCTATTTGTGTCATGACCCATTTGCGCCATGTCCTAATTAAATGCCCTTCAATGCCCATGTTACGCCGTAAAATGAGCCACGCGCCGATCGACTTTTTGTACAAGTTTATGATGCGATGTACGAGTGAATCAAAGCCTCTGTCGGCCTCTAGTCTCTATAGGTATCAACACGATACCTACGAATGCGGCGAAAATCAACACCCCCGATAGATATATCGGCGTCGACGCCCCGTCTCCCGGTATGTTAGCCGCCAATATCGGTGCGAGTAGCCCAGTGAACCTGTTCAAGAAACTCGCAACGCCAGTCCCAGCACCTCGTACGGGGGCAGGGCTGCAGTGGGAAACACACACAAGTCAGCCAGTCCATTTAGCACACCCATACGAAGGGAAGAAAGGAGGCCAGACTCACAAGATCTCGGGCGTGAACGCATAGAGCACGCCGTACATGATGTTTTGGCTGAAGGCCTCGACACAGCTGAACGCTAACTGCGAGGCCGAGGTCTTGCCATACCGGACAAACAGGAAGAGGAAGCTCGCAGAGATGAGTGTCGCGATGGCCAGGGTGCCCCTCCTGCCCAGGAAGGCAGACCGGCTGTCGACGGTAAAGTAGGCCAGGATGCTGCCCGGCACACCAACGACGCTCAGGATGGCGTAGTTGCGGTACGTCTCGGCCGAGATGTTTGTTGGATCCGTCGCATCGGGCTCTCGGGGTGCTGACGATGACGAAGCGCCGTCTCCGCCGCCAGTTGCGTGAGATAGGTACTGGGGGAGGAAGGCATTGAAGAGCGGGTAGCCCATTCCGATAGTTGCCCAGCAGAACCAGACCAGGGCGGTCGCAAGGCCCAGTTTGCGATTGCTGAAGAGCGGGCGGATGCGCGCCCCGGAGAACTCATCCAGCTTGGCCTTGATGACGCTCTTGGTGGACAGCGCAGACACAGCAGCGTGACCGCGATGACGCGCGCGCTCGTCGCCGCTGTCGTAAGCGTCATCGCCATTGACCACCGCATCGAGGACGGCTTCTGTCAGCCATGTCTTTGCTCCATTGCGGAATGCAAGACCGTGCACAACTGCTACAGCCTCGGGCTGCCGGCCGCGGGACAAGAGATACTTAGGGCTCTCGAAGAGATGGAAGACGAAGAAGCGCAAGCAGAACATGCCGAGTGTGATGAGCCCAATGGCCAGCACAAAAAGTCGCCAACCCTTGTCCGCAGGCCAGTTGCCGATGAAGAACCACGCGATGAAACTCGAGCACAGCTGGCCTACTGGCCACCAGACGGACAGCAGGGTGAGTAGTGATGATTTAGAATCGGGTAGGAACTCGAGGAAGAGGGCGCCGTCGACAGGTAGGTTGCCACCAACACCGAAGCCTAAGAGGGAGAAAAATATGCAGACCCATGCCCAGCTGGTTGCGAAGGCGGTCATAATCCCAAATATGCTGGTGATCAGCAAGGTCATATTGAAGGCGATGCGTCGGCCGAGGATATCGGAGCCGACACCCCAGGTGAAGCTGCCGAAGCAGAGGCCCAGATATACGGCACTCGTCGTGTACCGAACTGTCTTCTCTGCGACGCCAAACTCGGCCGAAAGGGATGGCAGAATTAATGAGACTCCCTTGGTATCATCAGCAGTGGTTCTTGGTCCAAAATCACAATTGTAAAGTTGCCACGCGGGCGGGCTTGAGACTGTCTCACCTGCATCCACAAACTGGGGACGAGTGCTTGGTTAGCAAAAGCTTGGCCGGTGGACCAAGGGAGACATACTTATCTGCAAACCATCCAAAACCACACAGGATGAACAGGTGCCAGTTATATCTGCCCATTCCTATATCCTGGACCGCCTTGTTCACCAGCATCGATTTCACTGCCAGCAGCAGGTCAGCCAAACACGTCCTGGCAACCTCGCTTCAACACCACTGCGCCGGCCCTTTGCACACTGAGGTAGGACTTGGGAATTGCAGACTGACTCTCGTAATCCGACCTCATCCCACCGCTGCCTTTCCGCACCTCCTTCCTGAGCCCCTCGATGCTGTACTCAGCTGCACTCATCTCCAGCATTCCGGTCCCCTCGTCCCCGACCCTGTCCTTGGGGTCATCGTCATCATCACCGTGGGCTGGGAGCTCCTCGTACTCTGTCCTCCCGCATCGTGCAGAGTAGCTGTGGAGATGTGCCTGATCCAGAGGCACGAGGACGCCGGAGTAGTTGTCGACGGACTCGGTGCGCAGCCCGCGCCATCGTAACCTTCCTGCCATTGCTCGTAGTGGGGCCCAGCCAGTGTGTGAGGTGCTCGGCGACGTGTGGTGGAAATACGGGAGGGGAACGGGATATCGCTCCCAAAGGAGCTGAAATATATTGTATTGATAGGGTATGTATGGCTTGATGTCTCTTCAATAGGATGTCCCACGTGCGACCAGGCAGTGAGACAGTGACAGTCAGCTGGCTGCCGACTAATCCGTAAGCGGCGGGCGCTGCAAGCAGGTGGACAACGAAGCCGGATCAACGACCTCAACATTCAACACCACAAGCACGACTCCATGTGCCGCTCGTCCATGCACGCTTGGATATGGACAGTGATTACACAGCACACTCAGCCCACGTGGAATGGAATGGCCTGGTCTGCTGATCAGGAAACGTTGAGATGCAATCTGCAGCGGCGCCAAGCATTGACCCGAAACAAACCAACCCCAACTTTTGCCAGGCCTGGGGGGCGATGGGCAGTCGGGGCAGTCTGGGGGTGGCAGCACCTGGCAGGCCTGGCACCTGGCACGACCTGGCATATAGCACATGGAACATGGGGCGCCAACAGCTGCAGGTCTCGGCCCGTGGCCGCGGTGCTCCTACGGTAGGATAGGGCCTGGCCTATGTAGTATACGTTTGGGATGGGGGCAATATTCTCCGTTTCAGGGACTCGAAACAGAACATTTCTTTTGGGCCAGTTGGGCCAGTTGTGCTCCTGGATAGGAAGGTGTCTAGACTAGTTGATGCGAAACAGGAAAGACAGCTCTTGATGGGAGATGAAGGCAAGGGAAGGGTAGGATAGACCAACATCGTAACCCCCCTGCCCCCTGGGTAGGGCATGGCTGGTTGCAATCAGGAATCAGGAACCAGGAACACATCATCCCTCCTTCACGAGTCCCGAGCAGGCTGGCAGGCCATTGCGAGCCGCTTGCAGAGCTGCAGAGCTGCCCAGTGAGCTGCCCAGTCCCGAGCGAGTGAGCTTACCTCAGCGCCTGGCCCAGAGTCCAATTTCCTTGATTCCCGAGGCGGATACGCCTCCCAATCATAGTGGAGTACATTTGGACTCGTACCCTCTCTTTTGGGCTGCTTGGCACACGGGCTCCCTGGGTAAATCGCAAAAGATCTATTCTCAGATCAGCCACTTCACTTCCTTCACCCTTTCACTTCCACCTCACTCGCTCCGTCCATTCATCCATCGATCCATCCGCTCACCCACCCACTGCGCCTTTGTTGTATTGCTCCACCAGCTAAAACGGGGTCAAGTGGACGGGGACGGGAGATGTCATTGTCATCATGAGGCCAACTATAGTACATCAAGGCTCGTCAAGAGTCAAGAGTCGTAAATCAAGATTTGTCAGGGCGTGACCATGCACTCAGCTCCCCGCATATGTACCTGTACGTCACCTCATCTAAGCTACCTCCAGCGTGCTCCAGCATCCGGCATCCAGCACACTAACCGACCAGGGCAGGAAATAAGATTGAGGAAAACTCTATACGTAGCGCAAACTACACTACTGCGCTGTGGTAAATCCCCGGCCCCCCGGCTCCTGGACTCCCGCCAGGCACACCGGCTCAAAAGTGACCACGCTATGACACGACAAGTCATCCCAGAAAGCAACGCCGCCCACCCCTCAGCTGTGCTGCTGCAGGCCCAGGCCGCCTAAACAAGCCTCTTATCAAACTAGGCCTTGGCCGCAGCCAGGCACACGCCCTATCACAGCATCCGGACCTGCCAAGATGCCCCATTGCCCCTGGCGAGGCCGGCAGGCCCAGGAACATTTTCTACGATGCCGCCATGACAATCCCACCCTCCCCACCGAGAAAGAAACCTTATCCTCCTTTGTTGTGGGCGTTACCCTGTGGGCCGTTGGGACCCAGTGAATAAGCATGTCCTTCACTCCATCTTACGAGCCTAGGCCGCACACCGGGCCAACCTTCTGTTCTAGCCCAGGGGGAGGGCGGCAGGGTGTCCGTGGCTGCCCACGCCTGTCAGGGCTGTTTGTTGTTTCTGCTGCTGCTGCTGTCACTTGTTGTTCGTCCGGTATTTGAACAAGCCGTTTGCCCACCTCCTTCGCCGTTCGTCCCATGTCTTCTACCTGACTGTATACACACTGACTGCACTCTCTTGTCATTCCTTCACCAGAGCAGGCAACTCTCCCTCACTCACTACCTTCGTAGCCATCACTCATTTCAGGCTTCGTCGTTGAGTTAAAAAAAACTCCAGAACAGTCCAGTCCTTCTTTACAGAGACAACACAATCCTTACTACATCGCAAACATGCAGTTCTCCGCCATGAAGCGCCTCCAGGTCCTGGCCGTTCTCTTCCAGGCCGCCCTACTCACATCAGCCCTCCCCATCGAGAACCGTGGTGCAGCAATCCACTCCGGCAAGCGACTTATCCTCTGGGACTACACCCTGACCCAGGCCTACGCATCCAACGGCAACATCCAGGCCTCCGCTGCCTCCCTCAGCTCCTCTCCTGGTGTCGTCGCCGCAGTCAACTGGAACACATGGAAGCCCGAGGAGCTCCCTTCAGATGTCCCCTTCCAGCCCATGATCCGCACACCCGCACAGCTCTCAGGCGACGACTGGAAGAACCTGCTCTCGGTCGTCCAGGCCGGCGGTTCCAACACCGTTGTGCACTTCTACAACGAGCCTGACCTGAACGGTGTCAATGCCGCCGACGCTGCCGCCGCGTTCAAGGCCAACGTCCTCCCCCTGCGTGCTCAGTACGGTGTCAAGCTGGTCGGCCCCGCCGTCGCCAGCAACGACGCTGGCTCTGCCTGGCTCTCGCAGTTCTACTCCGCCCTCTCCGCCGACGAGAAGCCCGACTTCCTTGGCGTCCACTTCTACACCGGCGCCGACACGGCCGCCGACACCGAGGTCGAGAATGCTAAGAAGTACATCTCCGACAAGCACGGCGAATATGGTCTGCCCGTCATCGTCTCCGAGATCGGCAGCACCAGCCGCGACTCGACCAGCGTTGACACCTTCACCAAGGGCATCTCATCATGGCTCGACTCCCAGGACTTTGTCGACTCATACGGCTTCTTCGGCGCCACCACCCAGCCCGTCGACGGCTTCGTCAGCCCCGCTGCTCAGCTGCTCGACACCAGCGGAGCCTGGACGGCGCTGGGCCGCTGGTTTGTCGACGAGTAGGGGAGGCATTGAGATAGGACGAGACGGTTGACACAAAACTTCATGAACTGCCGCTTCGTCACTTCGCTTCTCTCCGCCCCAATGAAGGGTCTTCTAGAACGAATTTTTTAAGTATGTGTTACGAACTCTATTGTATAATGAATTAGTGTCGTAAATACATACTATTGAAAGAAACATCCTGTCCGATTGTGCAACATGCGTGATTCCTGTGTCTTGTTCATTGGCTATGCTTTAGCCAGCAAAAGCTGTGACTACGCTTACGGCTTGCTGCAGATATTGGTATGTCTCCTCTGCAACATCGCTATAGGCCGGCTAATGTTCGCAGTCACTACTTTGAGTGCATCTTCTCCTGATTACCATGTCGATGCACTGCAATCTTCTGCTCCAGAGCTGGCAACTGTGTTCACTTGGAAGCTTCTCCAAAACTCTATGAGGGTCGCTTGATGCTACCCACATTGTGTGGTTGGGTTCTGTTTCTATAATGAGACGGCGATCCCTTTCTATTTCGGCTAGTTCTGGACGTCCTCTCTTCCAAGTTGGCATCGACTGCTATTGGTGTCGCCAAGTTGCAATTTCACAAACTCGGATTTCCAACCAGGAAAACAGGGCATTCACTCTCTGCGCCATTGTTCCTTGTGCGTGACCTGAAACCCCCAGAGACAACTCCGGACCCAGAGCTTGGCCAGGTCGTGTCCTCCGAGATGTTTTGAGCAAGGCACCATCGGCCCCCTGTGTCTCCTCATCTTCCGCCACAACCACAAAACGCCCCCGGTACTGACGCCAAAATCCCTATTCGTCGGGTAGTGACCGATGCGCAGGGAGGGCAAAAACTTCGCCGACATCCACAATCAGTATGGGGCAAGCCATCGGCACTTTTCCCCCCGGGACGCCACAAAGGGAACGACATGACTGACGAGCCGCCAGCGGGCCCGGGGAGGGGGCGCTCTCTTACTCGCTACCTGAGAGCCACCTGCTACGACGGGTAGGTACTAGCCCTATCTCTGATCGTGACCGCAAGTCCCAGGATAACGAGGCTGAACCTCAGCTCTGGAAACTAGGTGCCCCCCACAAAAACACGTCCCAAAACGTGTGTAAGTGCTGTAAGCGACAAAGCCCCAGAGCTGGCTGGGCCGTTATATCCCCACCGTTGGGTGGTTCGCGTCGGGGGGTTTTTTGTGTTAAGCGAAGCGATCATTGTGCGCAGCGTTGTGGGTTCGCGCATTGTCGTGTTCGGAAATGACTTACAGCGGGTTTTGTGTACTGCGCGGGCTCGCGGCACTCACCGTCCGCACCCTTGGGTCTCCGCCCTGCCAGCATACCTAGGAAAACGTTCAAAAATAGAGCTTCTCGTCGATTTGAGGAATGTGGTATCTGGATTACGGGGGTGTTGGAAATGATATCGTAGATCGTTTCCCTTACCGTTCTGCCGCCGGCGGAGCTTGTCTCTTGCGCTCCCAGCCAGCTGCAAGAAGCCACCGTATCCGTGGGCCGGTAGCTGCTGAGGAAAGGGTTCCGGGATGTGGTGGGGGCCTTCTCCCTCGCTCTCTCTTTTCGGCCGAGGCGGCAGGGCGGTATCCGTCCAACAAGACGGGCAACCACGCGACTGACTCGTCGGCGGCGCGGACTCGGACTTGGCCGATCTTATTCCCTTTCCGGTCGGGCGAGGGAGACGGTCGACGTTTTTCCCGGCTAGAACCTAACACCTACTCTTCGACCTAGGAGATCTTCATTTCTTCACCAGAACAATTGATCTGCACGTAGCTAAAACAAAGAATTTGATTCTGGGCCACGAAAGAGCACTTGCCGCGCGTACAAGTCTTGAACGGACAAAGAAAAGCTGATTGAGACAGGGAGGATTGGTTTCAGAACCAACACAAGTGAAAGGTATGAAAGACTATTTGGTATTTCAAATACTTTTTGCACTTGTAGCGGGTTCTACGGACTGCAACATGGAAAGCATGTGGCCCACGCAAAATCTAGTCTCTGCATGTCAACTCAAAGCCGCAGCTCAAGGACCCAGGATTTCAAATATTGATGTCTGCGTGGGAACAAGATAATTGCAGGCACAGGCAGGCCCAGGCCGGGTTCTATTGTTGATTCATAGAGCGTAAATCGGGATGCAGTTCTCAGGAGCTGGACTTCAAGGTCGGTGTGAAATAGTTGACATCCGACATCCAGGGAAGCAATTCCGTTATGTCACGAAGATATTGATCACGCAGGCAGGTCCTTAGAAGGAGATGCTGGGCTGGAATTGCTAGTGGTGGCTGCAGTACCTCCTACTCTCACCTCAGGCCTTAGAACAATGGATGCTTCGATGACGCCTTGGAGCAGCTGGTCTCAGGAACCGGCCAAAGGATGTGTGTATTACCCTGGATTTGCTTCTCACCATCTCTCACTCTCATTTCCCCTTGCAAGTTGTAAATGCATACACGTTTGAGACCCCTCCCAATGTTTCCAGCCATTCTTTGCTTTTGATCCCATTCAATAAAATATCTTCTCTTTTGCACAAGCTGTGACTAGGACATTATGTCACCCGGGTCGGATTTGCTTTCAATCAAAGGCCACAAGTCTCTAAGCGTGCTAGGGTGTTTCAATTATGACAATGTGCCGTGGGAATAGGGGGCCCTTACATGTTATGACTTGGCCTTGGAAATGTATGTCCTTTCTGCGAAATCTCTCAAGCTGCATCGCCCCGACGTTGCTGGTGTCGCATATCCGGTGTGTCGAATCAAGAAACTGCTCATGTGAATGTATTTGTGTTGCAGGCAAGCACACGGTGCGTATGGCCTTAAGCATTCATAGCTGCCTCGGAGCTCTCTAGAGATGACGGAACATGTGCCGCTGATGGTTTTGAAGAATGGTTCTACGACTGAGAAAATACGAAAGGGCGTAGTATTTACCATATCTCATGTCGAGGATGGTCTAGTAAGTTAAGACGCAAGGTAGGCGGCCAGCTTGCTTAGACTTGTGCTGACAGAGACCATCGTGATGGTGGTTGGAGGCACCTCCACCTCTTCACCCAAAAGAAAAAGGCAGAGCCGAGAAGGCCTGGCGGGGGTCTTTCATTCACACAGCATATTTACTGACATTATATTCAGGGTTGAACTAATGGTTTCGAGGCGGAGCCGTCCACTGGAGAGTGTCTCGCGCAATCACCCCGTCCCTACAAGACCTCCCGTACTCCAAACAGTACTCCCACATATCATAAGTACAACGTCATGAGTTAGTCCGTAAGATTCGAAGCCCTCATAAAGAAAATGTCTAACAATGCTAGAAAATGCTTCTCAACGACCGTGCCTCTCTTGTTCAATATCTCATCATATCATCACAGCCTCACCATCATCCCCCTCGACACCGTCATCATCGCTGAAATCGACGTCGGCCGCCATGGCCTCCGCCCGCCTCTGAACCTCCGCCAAACCGGAAAGCTCGGCCACGTAGTCCTTCTCCTCCAGGGCCTTCTTCACAAAGGCCCAGCCGTCTTGCTGGTACGCCTCGAGGACTGGCTTGCTGCACGCACTGCAACATGGGTATGACTCGCCCCGGATCATCATGTTCTGGAACGTCGACAGGAAGCCACGGATCTGATGAGGCACGAGGCCAAGCGCGTGGTCCGGAGGGTCCCTTTCGTACGAAGAAGAGTCGGCAGCAGGCTTGGGTGCCGCGGCGTGATGCCCTTCAGGGTGCTGCAAGACGCTAGCAAGCAGCTCGACAAGGAGCGCGGACGCAATGGCGGCCACGCCGGGCCGCGTGACAGTACACTGCTGGTCGAGGGTGAGGTCCTTTTGGGACTGCATCAAAAGATCAGTAAGTCTGTGTAGAGAGCGGGTTCGGTCCCTGTGGGACTCGTAGAAGGGCCGGCGCATACGTCTGTCGCTACGACTACGTCATTGCAGAAGTAGCATCCCAAAGTCTTCTCGGAACCATCCTTCGGTGTAGGACCATGCCGCATCACGACGTAGGTGTCGAAGCCTAACGCGGCGTTCATGACAATCTTCCCCGCTGCCTTGCCCATGACGGTGGGCAGCCATCGTGACTCTCGGCTATCCATTAACAGGAAGACAACATCGTGCGAGTCGACCAAATCCTTCAACTTCGTGAAATCCGCCTTCGTCTTGGCCTCATCCGTGATCGAATGGCCAAGCATAGGTACCGAAAGGCCATGTCCCTCGCTCTCCACCCCTGGATTGATAGCTTTGAGCGCCTCAGCTGCCCTGGCAGCTTTAGGGGCTCCCCCTTCGAGGCAGTCTTTGAACTCAAAAAGCGGTTGTCGAACGGGATTCGAAAACGATACTGACCCGTAGTCAACGAATGTGATCTTCCGCACCCCCCAACCCATGAGATTTCTTGATACATAGCTCCCTAAAGTGCCTGCGCCAAGCAAGAGGCAAGAAGTGTTCCTGATCGTGTCCAGGTTCAAGTTGGGAGATATGCGCCACTTCATCAACTTCAAATTTAGATCAACTGCTTGATCAGCAAGCTTCGTCGGATCCATATACTCGGCGAGATTTGCTTGTCTGGCCTGCAGCTTCCCTGTCGCATTCCGCTCCCATCCTGTGACCTTTGGCATCTGTGTCGTCTCCATCTCCGGCACACTGTCCATAGCAAGTGGCAGGATAATGCTTCTAGCTTCATGCCGTCTGGCCTGGGTATCTCTGTAACACAGGATGTTGACCTTTGTAAAGTGGAAGCGCTGCCGTACCAAAATCAAGAGATTTCGTAATGGCCACGATGGGTGCTCGGTGTAACTCGAAGGGTCGACGAGCGAAACAAATCGATCTTCTTCCGCGACACCTTCGAAGAACCCGCTTTCAAAATCTCGAAGGGCACCGACGTCCCACCTGAACCCTAGGTCCTCGGCCGAAGAATCAAATGAGTTCTTAGATCGGTTGTCCTCGCCGCCACGGGTTCTTTTGACCAGGAAGAATCCATACTGCCTATTGTCCACTCCATACCGCCATGTCCCAACCTTCTCGACCAGTGACTCACTCTCTTTAGAGGTGAGCTTGCTAATCGGGGCTGTCCTCTTCCACTGAGGATCAGAATGTAGCGCTGGGAACGCAAACCAGTACGTAAATCGATATTTCTTGAGATCGGCGAAGGAGAGTATCGTGAAGGCGGAAAGGAGCGACGGAATGGAGTAGATGGTCCCGTCCTTGATGGCATCCCATATTTGCCGACCAGCGGTTTGAAGCATAGCTCCTTTGTCCGTCTGCTTGAAATCCTCCATCGTGTTGACATTTTTGATCATGCCCTCGGCTCGGCACTGACCCAGGCCGATTCTAGGACTCCACGTTAGCCTTCGGGAGGGGGTTTCACAAGACGCGACAAGTGGTTTGTGACGTACGCATTGCTTGTCAGCGCATTCCCGAGGATCTGCATACGGGTGCTCTCCTCGGGAGTGGCGAGGGGATTCGACTCGTACGTCCCCAGAACAAACCGCGCCGAGTCATCTAACTTGTCGAGGTCGAGTTTCGAGGAGAATAGTGCAGAATAGAAAGGAAGTTCTATCTGCGACGTGAAGGCAGAGAACTTGAGTTCCGACATCTTGGGCGAAGGGGGTCGCGCCGACGGGGTTCGTTCGCCGCTGATGGGCTCTCTTGATCGAACAGAGCTTTCTTAAATGTTTTGGATCTTCGAATAGACTGTAGCTATTATACGGAAAGTTTATAGGCTAGTCGTGCGCGTGGAACAATAACACAAGATCTAAAGGCTTGCTATTCCCCTAAGCTTGGCATAGGCTTTCGAAGCTGAGGGGTTCGCGAGATCCACAATGGAGGGGTCGTGATGATGCAACAGGGCGACAGGTCGAAAGTGATTTGAAAGAAAAGGCAAGAAGCTAGGAGTATGTAAATGCCGAGCTTACAGGTGGGAGTGAAGCCTCGCAGTCACACGACGAGTAGTCATCGCACAACGGGCTGATCAGGTGGGAAGGAAAGTCAGAGTCCAGGCAGTTGTGGGCGTCGGAGCCGTCATGTGTAATGATTTCATGAATGACGGGACCTCGGGAGCTCCCTTGTGCCTTTGCCGCAGCTGCAGGTGCCCAAAGGGTGGCTGCAGGCACTTCGACAGGGTTGCCGCCGGCAAAGCCCCCCTGCCCGCGCTGGGCTTCACTGTGAACTGCAGACGCGTTGAAGAAAGTTAGGGGCTGTGAGACGCGTCTGCTCCAGATGATATTTGGTGAAAGGCTTTTCACAAGCAGTCACTCTTTTGACAAAAATCAGAACCACAGAATCATTCTCCAGTGACCTCGAGAGGTTTTTAGAGGACCAGTTTCCTGTACTACAAAAAATGTTGATTGGAATTTGTGGCAGTGAGTCTTCCTTACTCTTTTCTCTACCAGAGACTTACATGCCTACCAGGTATATGCTCCGGCAAGAGCACTGTGGCTCGGTATTTGGTAGACCACCACGGCTTCAAACATGTTTCTGTCGAAGCAAGTGCGGCTAAGAGCCTTCATGAACAAGGGACAGCAAGCTTAGAGGCAGAAACCAATGTCTCAAACACACACCAGAAACGGCCATCCCGGACAGCCCTGGTCTTCGCAACCTCAGATGAGCTGCTGGAGTACATAACTCAACGCTGGCGAGAACGATGGGTGACGACGGACGTGATGAGCAAGGAGACTCTCGACGCATACAGCCGACGGCCCTTCTTCCTCCTGATCAGCGTTGATGCACCGCTTCTGGTCCGGTGGCAGCGCTATCAGAAGAGGAGACAAGAGCCATCAACCACGGAAGCGCCCGCCGAGCCCACGGCAAGGCCACCGGACAGCCAGCAAGCCCACTCGGCCGAGAGCCTCGAGGACTTCGTGACCCTCTCGGACGCACAACTCTACCACCCGGAGACGGGGCAGGCGACGCACATCTCGAGCGCGCCGGTGCGGCTGCTCAACACGTCGAGCTCGCTGGCGCACCTGTACGTGAACCTGGGCAAGCTGGACCTGCTGAGCACGGAGCGGCTGCGGCCGGGGTGGGACAACTACTTCATGACGCTGGCGTCGCTGGCGGCGCGGCGGTCCAACTGCATGAAGCGGCGCGTGGGGTGCGTGGTCGTGTCGCACAACCGCCGCGTCATCTCGACCGGCTACAACGGGACCCCGCGCGGGATCCGCAACTGCGGCGAGGGCGGCTGCCCCCGCTGCAACCAGGGGCTGGGCAGCGGCCACGGCCTGGCGACGTGCCTGTGCATCCACGCCGAGGAGAACGCGCTGCTCGAGGCCGGCCGCGACCGCCTGCGCGAGGGCGCCGTGCTGTACTGCGACACGTGCCCCTGCCTCACCTGCAGCATCAAGATCGCCCAGGTCGGGATCTCCGAGGTTGTCTACGCGTATGGGTACAGCATGGACACGGATACGGCAGCGGTGTTCAGGGAGGCCGGGGTTAAGTTGAGGCAATTTGTGCCGGTGAGTTCACCTTCCCCTGTTGTCTCTTCTCTGGTGTCCCTGGTCGAGCATGAACCTACCGGCCCTCACTCCCCTTCCACCTGCTGGAGCGGAAACAATGCTGACAGAACGCAGCCTGCGAATGGTCTGATCCACCTCGAGAAGATGGAGTTTCGTACATGAGTTGAGATCGCCGCGGGGCAGGTCTCTGAGACTGTAATCCTGTCGTCATCTTTAGCGAGCGAGCCGATAGAAGCCTTGATATTAGCTGTTGCGTCCGCCTCCCCCGGACTTGGAAGGGAAGCCGTTGGACTTGTAAACATGCATTGTAGGTCAGCATAAACCACGTGGTAGTGGGTGCTGGTGGCAGGGTCAATGGAAATTGCGGGAAATGCTGATTAAACCATAGTATCGTATTGAGTGTCCGGCGTGTAGTAGATGAAGCGTCCCATGCTTATCTGAACTATTTGTGATGATGCCAACAACCCCTGACATCGGAGTATCATCTTCTCCTCGTCCCCTGTTACATTCTTCGTTCCGTCGCGTCCCTCTCCTAACATCCCATTACGGCTTTACGTAGTACGTAGTAAGTTTATCGTCCTCCCATTAAATCATGCATGCGCCGCCGACCGTGATCGACCGTCGAACCTTCTCAGCTGAATCGGTGCACCACCCTAACCTTGCAGCGCTTGCTTCCTGGCGCGAGCGGCAGAGATCTTCTTGCTGATGAACAGACTGAGAACACCAAGGGCGACGACGAAGACGATGCAGAAGACGACAACGACACCGGCCTCTTTCTGGGCCCAGTTCTCACGCTTGGCGATGTGGGAGAAGGCCTCACGGGCGACCAGAGCGTTGTTGATGGCAGGCATTTTGTAATTTGTGTGGGGAGTGGACCCTACGAGTCAATTGTTAGCTTTGGGTCGACAGTAGCTATTTACTTTGCATGGTTTTTGCGCAAATAGTCGACTCTGGGCAGAATCAACGATCCGGAGAAAATCTGAGTCATGGCGAGAGCAATTGGCCCCGCTGACGCCCAGGCGAAGCTCCAGGCGAGGCTCCAAGCGAAGCCCAAGCAATGAGGAGTCGATTGGCGATAGCGACCGTGGCTGACGGTGGTCAACGCACCCAAGAGCTGGACCTTGGCACCCGTCATTGTGGGCTACCGGGGCTCCCGGGTTGGGCGCCGCGAGCTTGGTCGCTGCTCGGCAAAGTGGGCGTAACGCGAGGCGGATTCAATTTCAATTGCACCTGACGGTCGAGATTCCTAAGGATTTGCAAAAAACGGCAGGATAATCGAGAGACATCGTACAGTACCTTTTATGTTGAGACTGAGGAAGAGGGTTGCGACGGGGTGGGTTTGGGTGATTGGATTTGTTTATCGGCAAATCGGCTTCGGCACGAGCTGTAAAGCTTGGCTGCAATGCGATTGGAGTCGGGGTAGGGATGTTGGGCGAACAACACACGACTGGTGACAAGAGCTGGTGAGGAGGATGTGGAATTGACTGATATGGGGGTCAGGACGTCCGTCGGGAGCAGGTTGTCTTATTGTTGTCACGGTCGAGTGAGTTGGAGGAAGGAGAAAAAGAGAGAAGAGGCTTCAGAGGTCGAGAGACGACGGGCAGGAGCACCAACAAATAGCAGCTGGCTCTAGCAGGACCTACCGAGGGGAGTGGAGTACACAGTCCAGTCTAGGTAGGGACCGACTAATGCTGGGGTCTGGGATGCAAGCTTGCCAGGTACACAAAGATTTGCGTGTGTCGGCGCCAACAGGGTGTGTAGCCCCCTAGCAGCAAAGAAACACCCAAGAGCCCGTCTCCCAATCAGCGCGGACGGGCTAACGAGCCAGACGGCAAACAGAAAAGCTTGTCTGGCAGTGTCCGTGTGGGAGGAGTGCGAGGCAACATCAGATCAGTCCAGCCCAGTCCCCGTCCGGTCCAATTGAGGCCGGGGGCCTGCGCAGGAGACACTACTTGTTACCAGGTGGTGCCCAGCGACACCGCCGTTGTGACCTCGGGCGGTACTCGGTAAAACAGCACATAAAGTATGCGCGCACGAGTATCCAGCAGTCAGCAGCAGCGGCAGAGCGGCCAGGCGAACAGAGCAATTGCGCGAATTTTGGACTTGAGTTCGCCTGGGCGAAAGGCGCGAAGCTGCAAGGATCTCATCCGGTCGACCCAGGGCAAGCCCCAAGGATGGCCTAGATGGGCACGACGTAGCTCCGCGGGTGGCATCGCCGGTGGGTTCGAGGGCGAACTGGAGCTGCTGGAAGTGCTGGATGACCTCGAACTCGGATCGCAGAGAGGCTGGAGACACGACGTACAACGCACGACGCAAGACCGCACGACACACGACACACGACACACGACACAGCAGGACATGTCCTCTGGCAGCCCAATCAGACCCATTGGTCTTCATCCGTGCGAGGAATGTGATAAGGTTGCTCGTCGCGAGTAAGTTGGGCTGGGAGTGAGGACTGGCTTCCCAAAACACGGCCAATTCGCAGGAGATTGAGACTCCCGCCTAGGTTGATGTCCGAAGAGCTAGCTACCCAGCACAGCTGCAAGTGCAAGGTTGGTGATTAGGTGGTGAGATGAGGCCCGAGTTCCCCCCCAAGGTCAAGGTCAAGGTTCCAGGTCAAGGGTCACCGTCACACTGATGGTCATGGTCATGGGTCCATGGGTGGTGGCCGCCGGCAGGGATCTCGCACTGATGGAGCAGTTGGAGCAGCTCCATGTGGGGTGAGGGAGACATTGAGAATGGACCTCTGATGACCGGCCGAGGCACGCAATTGGCTGGGCGGCAATAACATGCCAGGTGCCTGCCAGGTTCCTCGAGGTCCATCCCACTGTTTTTGCTGTTTCTGCTGTTTCTGCAGACAGGGACACTGCGCTTGCAACTGCACGTTTAATTGCCTCGAGTCACTACGGGCATCATCGCCGCTTCTATAACCGACCCGATCCGTAATCACAATCTTGAACGGCATAACGGCATAGCAGCAAAACAGCAGAGCAACAGACCAACAGAACAGTCAGCGTGTCAATTCACTCACACAGATTCCACCATCATTGGCACGCCCGAAGTGACATAATGCGTCTTTTTCTTCTCCCCTCCCTCTTCCCTTCAAGGCCCCCAAGACACGGTATCTGCGAACGCGGTGGCGTGCCGATACCTCCGGCCCTGGGCATTACATATTCACTCACTCACAAGGACCGGGCGGGCTTGCAGATCTAGTCGCCAGACGGACAGTCCGATTTGCACGCGGCTTGCGTCCTCCTGCATGCAGCTTTGGGCCGAGCCGAACAGAGCACAGAAAAACCCTCACTCGCTCATTTAGTCACTCTCCATCCCCAGACAACCGAATTTCCATCTCCAGCGACCCAATGATGTCAGTCTGGCGAGACCCAGAAATGCCTCATGCTGGATTGGCTCGGAATCCAACGGCTTCCCTCCTCGCTCTTACTCCGGACATTATCCTTCTAGCTGCACTCCACTTCCTCCAGCTTACAATGTACCCGCCCTGCCGCCGTCAAGGCGATCGCACACCGACTTTGGGGAAAACGCACCCGAGTTTATCATGTCAAATGATGACCTACTCATCCACTACGTCTCTTATCTTCCTCTGTGATGCGGTTGACAAAGCCGAGTGGTATTCAACCTATGTACAATGGCTGTCTAGGAAGCATGTACACCAGAGGAAGAAATATGCCCATTGAGCCCCGACCAAACAGTATCAAGTCACACCCTGTCAAGACCCACGGACGACCTCCGAATGACACCCGGATAGCCTATTCCAGCCTCGTCTATTGAGCCCAACACGGCTTAATCTTTGTCTGCCACTTAGCAAGTTGCTACAGCCGGACCTGGAGCGGCATAGGGCTGGCCGTTGTTGTCTGGCTGTCCAGATGCACCGTAGATGTTGGTCTGAATACCGGCATCGCCTTGCCCGTAGAATGGGAATGAAACGGCTGGGGACAGTGTCTTCGAACCAGAACCACCAACATTGAGCTGAGCACATGAGGAATAAAATTGAGCACCGTTCCTGCTGTACGCGGAGTGGAGCGCAATAATCTCGAATCGCATGAGGTACTGGCCCGGTGCAAGGCAGGATGGCAGGTTGAAGTATGCCCATCCATTATTGGCGATGAGATTGTCTGCAAAACACTTGGTCAGCAACGGTCTGGCGACTCCTGGGCTGCCAGCCCACGAGAGGCCACAGGCACTCACCAACGCCCCATTTCTTCGAAGATGTATCGAATGTGTCCTGTCCGATCTTGAACCACTGGAGCCCCGTGTGGCTTGATGACGCCGCGTTATCAACCTTGGCCATGTAGGCCAGCACTGGGCCGTGATGGCTGCTCGCGATCGGGTTGTCTGGGTCGTTGGGGAACTGGGCGCCGCCGATGACGTGTTGGAACCATGCACCGATCTTGTCGCCCGGGTTGGCAGCAATGACTGCCGACGATGTGGTGCCGGCTGCGCCGCAGATCAAGGAGGTGCTGGTGACATCGGTCACGGGGTTGTTGGTTGAGGGCGCTCGCAGGCCCTCGAGCGAGCCTTTAGCGTTGCCGTTGACCGAGATTTTCTATTCGGTAATGTTAAGAGTGATCCGCGAATCTAAGTGTCACAAGTGTGAAGAAGATCGTGGGCTTACTTGGAAAATGCCGTGTGCCTCGACTGCAGCCGCAATGGCAGAGGTGATAAAAAGTGACAACTTCATGGTGGCTGTCGTTCGGAAGTAGAATCTGGTCGATGAGAAGGCAGCAACGCTTGATCTGCCCTTGGTTTAAATCACACTGACAGGTTGAGGGACGTCTTTTATAAACCATCGCCTCAAGTCTCATCGACATCTCGGGAGACCTGGCCTACGAACCGACATCAGCCTCAACTTTTAATCTCGACTACCACGCTATGCATCTGTCCCAGCAATCGTGTGTGGCTTAGGAATACCTACCGCCTACATGGTTGGTTCTGGCAGATCTCGGCACGGCAGAGGTAGATGAACTTGTTTGGTGATGATCAACTACTGCCCTGGCCTGTCACCAATCATGTTACACGCACAGTTCTCACATATCAGATGTCGAGGATGCCAAGCGCGAACCGTCGCTCATGTTGGTGTTTCACTCCCTTAATTCGTAGCGATATTGGGGCCGTCGTCCTCCGCTGGCCGAAAAGGGAAAGGAGGAAACCACGGTAATTTAGCCGCGGTACTGGTCCAACGGTCACGCGTGCGCGGTGCGCCTAGCGGAGTGCAGATTGAGATACACCTCAGGTGACAGAACCTTATATGCTTATATGATATTTATCTACGCTTCGACTGTCATGGCAAAGTGCCGGGGTCACACAGGGTGCATGAGTAGGACGGGACGCCTTCCGTAGTTCCCGTACGGTCACCTCACCAGCCGCCCGGGACAAGAAACGCATATTGCACCAGGATCTTGGTTGTGAGGACATGGCCCAAATAACACGAAATGGAGCCGTTCATTGGAATCCATGGTTCTTTGCCGCTGTTGCCGTTTCGATTTGAACATTCTAGAACATGGGTCTCGTCCGGCGCGACTGGGAATTTGCTCCTCTCCGTGCTTGAAACGTGGGCGTCTGAGACCAGTTCACGGACGGACGCTAGCAGACAGTTCATGAGCCTGCCATCGATATTGTGGCGGCTTATCTTTAATACTCTACTGCGAGTTTTCCTTGAAAGTCCAAAGTGTCGGTACTCAGTGGGCCAAAAATGCTGGGTCTGTGTAACCTTTCGGATGGAAGCGCAGGCAGTGGATTACGCCGCCCATCGTTTAATAATTCCGAATGCCCGGCTTACAACCATCGTCGCTCCAACATTGAGTCTCTAGAGTATTTATTGACTAAATATGACCCTGCAATCGAAGCATATAGCGGGACGAGATAATGGACCTCGTCAATATGGGCAGCATCCGGAAACGAACCGCAAAGGTAGATTTTGATGAGTCGTGGACGGTCGCCGCGCAGGTCACTCTCGCAAATTCCACGGACTCTTGGGAAGATACAAATGGGCGTCCTCTATTGGTCACACGGGTTTCTCTGCCCATTAAGACACCCCCTCCACGGGCGATGTCGACTTCCGCTGGCGAGGATGGCGCTCTTCCTGTCGAAGAATTGAGAATTCTCAGGTAAATATTCAATGTGATGAAGTACTACATTAAAATCTATCAGATTCCATCGGTCCTATGAAGTATTGTACCGAATGGTTCTTCTCAAATTGACAACAAGACATGCACAAATGGTGAGTTTCGACCCTTGATCAGTCAAACAGAGACCGCTTTGAATGAGGAATCGCTTTTCTAAACCACGGCTTTTGTTCTGGATACCAGGGATCCCAGAAGTCACAGCCTGGTCCCACGTCTACCTTTGGGGAACTTAGAGCCTTGTGTTCCCCAACATATGAGCTGTGGAACCAAGAAGCACTGATTTCAGATCTAATCCTCCCACTGCCAGTAGATAAAGATGGCTGGTCCTCTCTCTGGCGGCCAGAGCCTTTCCGCTGGATGTAGCGGTCTATCCACTATGGAAGGGGACGGTACATTTCCCTTTGACCATCCCCGCGAAATCTCCGTAGCAACCACCCCTTTTAAAACTCATCGTCTCTCCATATGTTTGGTACCCGGCCGGCAATATCTTCCCATAGATAATGGTACCAGAAGTACTCTGCTGCATTGCACGGTCGTGAATCGAGCTCACGTGGCGGCACATGCGGTATGCCCGCGTTGTTTGAGTCGATTAGTACAAAGCGCGGTAGGATGAGACTGCATCGTCTTTCTGGTTGTGTTGTAGGATCTTCGTTTTGGACGAGCATGATATTACGTCCCGCAAGATCGTTTTGTGCGACTCCAGTCCTCAGCTATCTGCCGTAACCATCCATAGCCCTCGCGAGTACCTCAAGACGGCATTCTTCTGGGCGGGAGAACGGAATGTTTTGAATGCGAGATCCGTGGATACTTGCCCATCCAGGCGTTCGACCAGAATTAGACGGATGGGTCTCTCTGTGGATCACTCACGATTGGAAGAGTGAACATCCATGATTCATAATATTCGGGTGCAAAATAGCCAATCTGGCAAGTTTGCTTCGGTCGTCCATAAGCCCAGGTCTCAACCTCGTAATATTCATCGGCTTCACGAATACAGTCTCGTGGGTAAATGCCGTTACTGGACTCGAAATTGTAGTACAGGGGTCGTAAATCTTTGCAACTACCACAAATGGATCTCCCCCGTGTAGAGCGACTTTGCAGGCGGCGACGGCTTGCGCACCTCGAGCGGCCCAATAGCGGTAGACGTGGTTATGAGCAACTGGGCCGTCTCAGCCGGCGAGGAACGGGCTTGAATCCCATCTACAGATGGATTGAGAACAACCGCCTCACTATGGGTCACCGTGCGAAGGTATTCCTCAGAGATTGGGTCGCTCGTGATATGGGTAGCCTTCAAGTTCCTCGACGGTGGCGGACTCGGGAGGTGGTTCGTGTTTGACAATCTCAACGGAGAGACCGGGAAGGTAGGGGACTGTTGGCTTGTCCCGGTCTTCGGGAGGATACCATAAGTTGGAATTTCCAAAGTGAGAGAGCTCGGCTTGTGGTATTTCTTTTGCTGTTTCTTTTGCTGTTTCTTGTGGGTTATGCGGCGCAGACTCCGTATTTGTGTCTTTGGGTCACTTTGTCATATATTCTGGAGCTGACAATATCATTGAGGTGTCCAGTGATATTATTCTTGAGCGCAATAAGAGCTTTCTGGTGAGATGAGATGTGTAAGTTTATGAAAAGGCCGAGAATTGTCGTGGAGCTCTAGGATATAAGTTGCGAAACACTCATCTCAAGCACATACGGCCACAGATACAGGAAAATACGGGATCCCGTCCGCTCTCCCATAGTCAAGCCTGTAATCGCTGGATTAGTAGTTGGGTCGGTGACGACCAGCGAATACCCGGTGCTGTATGTTTTTGCCCCTTTTTGTGGTACCCACTCCAGTGGAGCCCATGTTCACTGGCTTTGTAGTCGAGGAGTTTTTGGCCCCCCTCGGTGGTGGCGGGCCGCGCCAAGGCCGGCCCCGACGGTAGACAGCTTTGCAGGCGGCTCTGTATGTGAACCTTCAGCGCCTATCACAAGCAGTCTACTCTATGAAGCTTTCTGATGTGCTTGCTTCAGTCAACATAGATCCATGCAGCGGCAAATAGCTGTTGTTTTCGAAGGATGCAAGTAAGGGAGCGTGCCCTTTTACCTTGATATGTTTTTGTGTCATCATTGCTGGCGTGCCAGGTTGCACTCACTCTAGTGCTCACTTGATGCACATACTCCGGCCAGTGAATAGTCTTGATGGGGTAATAATGATAAATTTCAGATTCGGAATGATTGGCTGGGGAAAAGGGAGCCATGGCCGATTTCAAGCGCCTGAAAGCGTTGCGATGGAGAATTGCACTTGAGTAGAAGAGTAACTTTTGCAACCGAGACTGGGCTTTTTGAGGATGGAACTGCGGTTTGACCAATGGTCCTTGACCCAGATATTTCATCCAATACATGTATGTACTGTCCCCTAAGTCCTTTTTCTGTTCTGCTGACTCACGGAAGTCTACAGGCCTACCTCTGCTTCTCTCGGCAATGTCCAATGTTTCAGTCCTAAAATTCTCGAGAACGAGACAGGATCGCGGAGCAGGCGAAGCAACTGCACCCTATCTGGCAATAGATCCAGGAATTCGTGGTCGCACGACATCAATATCATAAGATGTGCGAGTACAGGATGCTTTTTGGTGGGATTCTGCGCAAAAATGTTCTTCTTCCTCCTAGGATCTACAACAAGACAACCAATGGCTGTTCCGTCGGATGGAATCTAGTGAGCCGTCAAGAGGCCGCATGATAGAATCCGTGGGCACTGTTCAGTTCGACGGTTTGTGATGTGTTACTGCTGATTGGGTTGCACGACGTTTGGGTGCCTGGGTACCTAGCCATAAAAGTGGGTTTGACTTATGACCAATCACAGCAGCAACAACCAGGCTGAGCAAACATGATTAGGTAATCCAGTTTGAGCCGTCGGGAAGCTCCAAATGTTTGACGGCATCACTTTCAGGGCGGCGACATCTCCATCAACCCTCAGCCATTGACCTCTACATAGCTCACCATGGCAAGCAAGATCGCCCCCATAGTATTCAGAACCGCCGCCCGCTCTGCACGGAGGGCGGCAAGGCCACAGATCCGCGCATTCTCCGTCACAACCTCAAGACCGAGCGACACGCTCATGGTCGTACGTGCCCCTCGACCCCGTTCGTCCCCGATCATCACCACCCTCCTCGACACATGAGCCTTGAGGGTTGCCAGAGACAGATCGTGAAGAAGAGCTGACAAAATCTCACCTCCAAACAGCACCGAAACACGCCCGACAACAACCCCAACATCCCTTTCAAATTCTCCGCCAAAAATGAAGCCGTCATCGCCGAGATCCTCAAGCGGTACCCACCACAATACAAGAAGGCCGCTGTCATGCCGCTTCTGGACCTGGGCCAGCGCCAGCACGGCTTCACCAGCATCAGCGTCATGAACGAAGTCGCCCGGATCCTCGACATGCCGCCCATGCGAGTCTACGAGGTCGCCTCCTTCTACACAATGTACAACCGGACACCGGTTGGCAAGTTCTTCGTCCAGGCCTGCACTACGGTGAGTTCGCTGGCATCATGTATATCATTGAAGACAAGCTAGGAAATAGAAGAAAGGGGCACCAATTCGTCAGACGTGCATAAGAACACCGCAGGAAGTACGAGAACACCAGAGCTGACGGAAATTGAACACGCATAGACACCCTGCCAGCTTGGCGGCTGCGGCTCCGACTCGATCGTCAAGACGATCGAGGAGAGCCTGGGCATCAAGGCGGGCCAGACAACCGAGGACGGGCTCTTCACCTTCATCGAGGTCGAATGCCTCGGCGCGTGTGTCAATGCGCCCATGGTGCAGATCAACGACGACTACTACGAGGACCTGACGCCCGAGACCACAAAGAGCCTGCTGACCGCATTGAGGGAGAGCGCTGGCGACGTGAGCAAGATTCCAAAGCCGGGCCCCATGAGCGGCCGCCAGACATGCGAGAACAGCAAAGGCCAGACATCGCTGCTGAGCGAGCCATACGGAGCAGAGGTCACGAGGCCGGATCTGTGAGCGGATCGGTGCAGGTGCGTTGGTCTCTTGGTTTCTGACTTCCCGAGAGATGGTCAAGCCGTCGACTCAGCGTCGCCGAACCGAGAGCAGAAGAGGATTAGACAGACGGTGGGTAGACGGTTTGTGGACGAGGCGAGGGAAAAGGGACAGAGAGAACAGAGTCAAGCCGGATGTACATATGAATTTGTATTGCGCGTCATATCAAGACCTTGTGAGACAATCTTGGTCGAAGCTTATGCTACCTTTCTCGAGACATGTGATCCCAGCCACCCTCGGCCGTTAATGCAAGAACGCCAACCCCAGTTATGAGATAAATAAATCGTAAAAAGCTCGAACTCGTCAAAACCCGAGCCGCTCAAGGTTCCCTCTTCTCTGCACCAAGCCTCAGAATCCAGCCGTCTCCCAACCTCTTATTCGCACCGTCCAAACCACCCCAGATAACAATGCCTCTCTCCTCAAGCTCGCCCATGTGAGCTGTGGCGAACCAGCCCCTTGGTCCGGGGCCCTGAGCTGCGGCATCGTCCTCGTCGTCGTATGCCTCGGTTTCGACGCGGAACCACTTGCCCTCGACAGGCCTCTCCTGGCCCTTGCTGCCGCTCCTGCCCCTGTTGAATATGCCCATGACGGACGACGCGGCGGTGGCCTTGGGGAGCTCGTACGCCCAGATATCATCCCAGAACTTGCCCGCCGCCTCGTGGCCGGCATCGCTCGGGTCTCGCTCGCCGAGCATCAGAATCAGGTACTCCCTGCCGCCGGCCCCGCCGATCGTCACGGTCTGCATGCCGGCGACGCTGCGGTTGCCGGGCCAGCGCGGGTCGGCCTCAGCCTTGAGAGGCACAGCCGCCTCGTCCTCGCCGGCGGCCTCGGCCTCGGCGGCCGCCACCAGGGGCGCGGCGGGGCTGTCCGCGAGCTCCGGGAAGACGCTCTTCCACTGGCCCCTGGCGCTGAGCACGACGTCGGCCTCGCTGCTGACGTTCTCGAACGAGTCCACGCCGAGCTCGAGGTAGTCGAGCTGGCCGCCCTCCTCGCCCTCGCCGTTGAAGCCGCCGAACCTCCACAGCCGGCTGCCCGCGACGCCGAGGCTCGTCCCGCCGCGCGGCTTCCCCGGCGCAGAGGGCAGCTCCTGCCACACCCGCGAGCGCACGTCGAAGGCCCAGGTGTCGTTGGCCCTGCCCTCGACAAAGCACCCGCCGTGCACGATCAGCGTCCCGTACCCGTCGTCGTCCTCGTCACGGCTGTTGTTCGCGACGTTGCCGACAATTGGCCTCTGTGGGGTGCCCACGACGTTGGAGTCGCCTTGTGCCCACTCGGCCCACGTGGCGGTCTTCGTGTCCCGCGTGTTGAAGTCCCGCGGCTGGTCGATGCCCACGGCCGAGTGATAGCTTCTTGCCGCGGGGTAGTGGTGCCTCTTGTCGGCGAAGGCAGGGGATATGGGCCCCGCGGCGGGGAGGAGGGGGTCGAGGTAGCTCCACAGGTGCGTCTTGGTGTCAAACACCCAGACGCGGCCGTGCTCCTCCAATGGCGCCATCTCAGGCCCGCCACGCCCGCCGAACAGGAAAATGCGGTTCCCGATGACGGCTGTGGCATGTCCCACGCGCGGGGAGGGCACGTCGCCCAGGGTCGAGCGGTCGAAGTCCGCGTGGGCCGGTTCCTTGCCCTTAGAGCTACTAGGGTCTGGGCCGTCGTTGATGTTCTCGGAGCCTGTCACGACATCCGCTTTCTCCTCGGCTGGGGTGCTGAGTGGCACTTCGGACAGGTCCTTTTCTTTGCTCGTGTCGTCGTTGCCGTCCTCGCTTGGGGCAATGACAGTTGGAACTTGCGGGATTTCGGACTTGGGCACGGCCTTGGCCTTGACGGCGTAGTAGTCGGCGCCTGCGCTGCTAAAGGGTAGGGTAATAACGTGCATGTCGTTGTCGACAGGCTCGCGGGGTCGTATCTCGCCGCCGAAGATGTAGGCGCTGCCGGCGATGACATTGATCGAGTGGGAGGATCGCGGCATGGGAGGGACATCGATTCGCTCCCAAGTGGCCTTCTGGGTAGGCAATCCCGTGTGGGCAGCCCCCGTGGCGAAGGCTGGCATCTTGGGGAGTCTGGAAGAGAGGTCGGACAAGTTGGGAAAGTTGGCTGGCATGCTGGGCATGTTGGGCATGCTCGGCAGATTTGGCAGGTTTGGCCTGGGAATATTGCCCACTTGGCCCTGAGCCTGGGACATGAGGTCGGTGGTCCGACGTTTGAGAGATCCGAATGTCTCCATGATTGGTGATTGTGTTGTTGCGTTGGTGGTTTAAGGAAGAAAGAGGAGGTGTTGTGAGAGGAGAGGGGGGAGTTCTCGTAGAGATGTAAGATAGGTGATGATGGATGGAGCTCTCTCTATTATATCCTGGTGGCTGAGCCCGTTTGCGTGTCTGTCGCAGTGGAGGAGCTGGAGTAATGAGCAGGGAGCTTCGCTGTGACGTAGGTACGATCCGTGTAATGGCGGATCTGCGCTCGCTTCGGCCGCGAGGACACTCGGCTGATCTGCAGATAGACAGCTTGTAATCAAGGCAGGCACTTCGGCGCTTCACAAACAAATTCTTGATGGGAGAGACAGTAATAATCTCTTGTGCAGAGTACTGCAATTGACCTGCAAACTTGTCGTAGACACACGAGGAACATGTGTTATACCTAGTAGTAGTCTACTAAGATGGTTCCCGAGCTGAGGGGTTCAGCCCCAGCAACCGGGTACGGTGAATTGGTGGACCCTGACTCGAATGCTGCTCGTCTGTTAAACTGCAGGTTGCTCCAGGGGCAACTTGTGTCTTCCCTTCTAACCTCCACTCCGGAAGGGTTCGGGTTTTCCATAATTTCGACAGGCCACCCTCCCCCCAACTGCACGACCCAAGGGCACAATGCCTAGGATACAGTTTCTTCGTATTACAGATCCCCACATGTGTGGCTCAGTTTCTATTTTCTGCTACGGGAACTGCATTCAACCCCATTCTACTGTAGACACGAACGGAGTGCCATGATCGTGTAAACTTAAATGTTGGAAATACCGCATACATCCGATGCCTCCTGCAACATACAACTGGCAACACAATACGTGGTACATCACATATTGGATACTCTGACATTCAAAATGCTTTGTCTTGGCCGTAAGCCTTGAGCTTCAACAACATTGGTCAGACTCGACGTGGCAGTACGACTATATTAGCCCGCAGACACATACAGTAAAATATGCGCAATTCGAACCCTCTCGGACTCATTTTGTACTTCCATTAAGCAACACCATTCCAACATAGATACACACACACACAATTATGTACATGTCAAAATAGCCTTTGCTGAATTGATGCCAAAGGTTAAGGCTTGTTCCGCCGAAGCGCCACGGCCCAGCTGTAGCTTCAGGGGATGGTAATTTTTGCGCAGGGCAGTTGTTAAGCCGAAGCGCATTCTGTTCACTCTTACTGACAATTTTAAGTGCAGCTTAGTTCAACGCCAGCGAGTTCACGATCACAGAGAGTGCGCCATAAAGTTTTTTAAGGAATGTCATCAATTTACAGCTTCTATCTATGTACAGCCCCCCATATTATCGTTTCTCAGCTTCCAGCCGACGCCTAAAGAATGTGGTATAATAATGCAAAACGAAACGAAAAAACCAATCGAGGGGAGCCGATCCAGATCAGCTACTGAGCCCCTGTTTTTGACCAACCCCTCCAATCCAGAATGACCAGGGTATCGTATTGTGGCGCACTGCGTGCACTGATTTACTCCTCGGTCTTGAGGGCACGGGCGAACCTGCGCTTGGCGAGGTTGTACTCGATAGCCCTCTTCTTGGCAGCGGCGCTCTGGGTGAATGCGACGGATCCACCGAAGGGGCCGGCAAGAGCCGAGTTCTGCATGCGGGCAATGCAGACGTTGTTGGCACCGCCAACGGAGCCGGAGCAGGTCATGCCAGCGGGCATCTGCACGGCGATGGGGAAGTCCATGGTGGCAGCACCGGACAGACCACCGATGCCAATGCCGGGAACGTCCTGGGTCATCTGGGCGTCCTTGAAGGCAGTGGGGTCAGTGCCGCCGGAGGTGGCGTCAATGGCGGCGGTCAGGGGACCAGCACCGTCCTGGTTGACCTGGTGGAAGGTCATCTGCAGGGTGCCGTCGTCCTGGGTGGTGGGCAGACCGGCGGAGGCAGCCATACCGGTGGCGGCCTTGACGGCGGTCTCCTGGGTACCCTTGGGGGTCTTGGTACCGCCGTTGGCAGCACGGGGCAGGTTGGCGCGGCGGGCGAGGGCGGCCTCGTGGATCTCACGGGCGGCGACGACGGCGGAGGTGTTGGCGGAGGCGCCGTCCATGAAGAGGCTCACCATCTGGGAGGCATCGACGGGGCCACCTCCGTTGGTGCGGCCCAGAGCGGTAGCCTTGGAGGTGCCGAGCTCGTTCTTGCGGATGATGGAGGTGTCGGCCTCAGAGCCACACTTGGGCGAGGCGCAGTCACGAGGAGTGCCATCAGCGACCGAGAGACCGGGCAGGGTCACACCGTTGGCACCCTGGACAGCGGAGACGACACCGTGGGCGAAGACGTTGGTGGCAGCGTAGGCCGCAATGAGGATGGCGCTTGAGTACTGCATTTTGACTGATTTGAAGCCTGGAGGAGAAGCTGGTGAATAAATGAGCTGTAAATAGGGCGAAGAGATCGTTGAAGTGAAGACTGTAAGACTAGGAGCTCCGGGCTCTTGGGGCAAAGAAAGGCTGATGAGACTGATTAGACGACTGATGAAGCTGCTGATGATGATGAGAGAAAAGAAATGGAGATGGAGGAGGAAGTGGCCCGTGAATCTTATAGAGAATTCGGATGCCAGGCGGCTTGGTACAGCTTGGCCTGCATCTTGGCGATGCTTGACAGTCTTGGTCCTCTGGGCGCCAAGTTGCCAGGCAAAGAGTTCGGACTCGGCGTGCTCTGGATTCTCAGAGATCAGGTGAAGCAATGATCCGACGATGGAGTTGAGGCAGTGTGGCTGCTAGGCTGGACGCAGAGCCGGGAGCTGCCAGCCCGCTCATGCTTGCTGGTGACGGGAGTGGCTGTAGATCCTCGACGGGAGGGAACAGACTCAGTTGCGATTGGCTGTGTGTCGAGGAACAGGATGTGTAATGCGTGAATCTCCCGGGAACACAACGGCAGGACCAGAAATCTGCCAGGATCTGCCAGGATCTTGCGTTGCTGGGGGTCCTGAAGGGGGTGCGGGCGTGGAGGAGGAGGGCAAGATCGGCACCCGGCTGCAGGGGCGGCTGGTCGTCATGCAAGGCAGATTTGGTTGCGATCGAGGTCAGTACAGGGGGAAGGGCACGAGGAGGCACGAGGAGACACTGCTCCTCGGTGACTGTGCCCAGGGTCGAGGGCAATCATGTTTGGAAGCCATCCCTAAAACGGGGCAAAGGGGGTCAAGGAGCGCTTGCGATTTGCCGACCAGGTGAAACGAGGTCTGTTTAAGCATTTGAGCCGCACTGGGATTTGCTCCACAGAGACACAGGGGCACGCCTCTAGAAGGGCAAGGGAAGGCCCGGGACCAGTGGGGCTGAGCCGGTTCTTTTCCTCCTCGTCGTGCTCCTGGTCCCCCTACAGAGTACCGCTGCTGCTCCTGTTGTGCCCTCCCTGCCCCCAGCCAGTGCCTGAGTCCACGAACAGGCAAGCCTAACCTAACTCGTGCTCGCCCTAGATCTGCCAGGGGTTGGGCAGATCATGTCAAACACGGCCGGTCACGTCTCCTGCAACATGGCGTCCACGCCTGGACACTACGACGACTAGCTACCGCCTCCTCTCATGCAAGCGCAGTGCCCACCTACCGAACAGTTCGCGACTAACTCACTTCCTGGCCATGGGCCACAAACCATGATTCATCCCTCGACACCTCATGACAGATCCTGTGATGGTACATGTAAAGCAAATCTAGAGACGCGGGGGACGCACTGCATGATAGCATGCAGAATGACAAATTAAGCATACGGCAAGCTGCAGCGCAGACGATAAGCGTTGCTGCCGTCGATGTCCGGAAACTAATCCCATCGTATTTCGTCACAAGCAAACCCAAGAGACGCGTCTGCAGATGTGATTTTGCACAGCCCACAGCCGGGGGAGTATTGTGCTGCATACCCAGGCCACGTGCCAGGGTGCCTCACTGAGTCTCAGAACACTGTTACCTGAGTGGCCTGCAAAATTTGTGTTTGCCGCCAAGGGAAACGTTTGAATACCCATCGGCCAGTCTCATCGTACTCGCAATTGGAAACCAGGGAGCTCCTGTTTCCTTGTTCGTCCGGCTTGGCATACCAGTGCACGCTGTGTGCTGCGTTGCGTCCCAACTTGCAAGAATGCACGCGAGTCCAAGAACGTCAAAGGCACCCAAGACCGATCAAGCTTCTTCCAAGGCCTGTCGAGTGCTTGGCCACTGCTGATCGCGCCCGCACACTGCACCAACCACTAATCTCTTCATCCCGACTTCTCTCTCGTCTCAGCAAACACTATGGATGGCATTCCTCCGTGCCACCGGGGAAAATGTAACGCGGGTGGGCTCGACGCCGTCCCGTGCGTTGTTTCCACGTCGTCCAGTCTGCACAGCATCTCAACGCCTGGGTTTCGAGTCTCTTCTTTGTCATCGTCTCAACCTGAGGCTCAAGATCCAAGAGACCCAGTGCAAGGTTCACTTAATCTGGTAATTTCCCCCCTGCTGAATGGCTGAGTCGTCTGGACTAGTCTGAGGAATTGATTCAGGATGGAGACGCTGATTCGTGGACCACAGCTGCCCCTATCTTCGACTCTCGGGTCCCTCGGTGTTTCGATCTGTCTAAAACCAAACAGACCTCACCGAACATGTTTGAGGAGCGACTTGCGGCCTCGAGGCAGAATACTGCCTGTGCCCCCTGGCGCTGGCGCTGGAGTCATACTCATCTTCCCCGTGTTCGGGACGGCGTCATGCGTTGTGCGTGATTGGTTTCCGCCTGGGTAGTCTAGAGGCAGGCATCACCAAGCGGCCCGCGGCTATCAGTCGGAGCGCCTACGTTCACTTCAGGGGCTTCAAACATAATCGCAGCTTTGTCTGATTTAGGAAGCGGCAACTTAGAGCAGGCCACTCTCCCGCGACCTATCGCTCGTCCCAGTTTGACGTCTGATAGTGACGAAGACGTTGGATTCGACGTGGGACCAGAATTGCCCGGCAAAAATTCTCAATCCTATTGTCTTTTTCGCATCTTTTCGGTCTCTCGATTGTCCATGTCTAAACATAG